GAGAAGAAAGTAATATCATTAAAAAAATCATTTAGAATCTTGTGGTTTGGTATTTTTCTAGGTTTTTAATTAGTGCTTAAGAAAACACAACTGCTTTGTGTGGGAAATTTCACGTACACACAGAGCGAGCGAGAACGAACCTCTGTGCACTTGTCACCCGGCTTCAGCAAACAGCCGACAACCGCGCTCCGGCTGCGCCCTTCCCCAGCCCCCGCGCAGCGCTGGAGTGTGTTAGGCAATTCTCAGACATATTGTTTTGTCAGTTTTTCAGTATTTTTTAGAAGAAATACCATTTTCACTTCAGTGAAATAACCTTTTAATATTACCGAATAACCAATTAATGTTTAGATTTCCCTGATCGTCTCATGTGAAAATTATTTTGAACAGTTTGCTCAAATCGTGATCGAGATAAGGTACACACACATCACATTGATTGATACAGCTCTTTTCAAAAGCTTTTTATTTTGCAATAATTTTAGACATAGAGGGAAGACCTTAAATTAATACAGAGAGTTCTCATATGACCTTCACCCAGCGTCTCCTGATGTTGCCATCTTACATAGCTGTGGTGCCCTCATCATGCCAGGAGATCAGCACCAGTCGAAGACTGTTACCTGTAGATGGCTTGAATTTTGCCAGTTTTCTTGTTAATGCCCCCTTTTTTTTAAAGATTTTATTTATTTATTTTTAGAGAGGGAATGGAGGGAGAAAGAGAGAGAGAGAGAGAGAGAGAGAGAGAGAGAGAGAAAAACATCGATGTGCGGTTGCTGGCGGCTGTGGCCTGCAACCCAGGCTTGTGCCCTGACTGGGAATCGAACCTGCGATGCTTCGGTTCGCAGCCTGCGCTCAATCCACTGAGCTATGCCAGCCAGGGCTAACGCCCTTTTCTGGTCCAGGAGTCAATCCAGGATCCACATTGCCTTAATCTGTCACATCTCACTGGTCAGTTATTTTGTGAGTGTCCCTTACTTTGGGCTTGTCTGATGTTTCTCATGATAACATGGAGGGCATACGTTTTTGACAACAGCACAGATGTGATGTGCCCTTCTCATTGTGTCGTGTCTGGAGGTGCCTGATGCCGACCTGTCTTATGACTGGAGAGGTTAGTGTTGATCGCTTGGTGGCAGGGTGGGGGGCAGAGGGGGTTCCTGAGTTTTTCCACAATAAAGTTACTGTTTTTTCCCTTTGTGACAAGTATTTTGTGGTGAGATACTCTGAAACTTTGTAAATATCTTGTTTCTCCTCATACTTGCAAGAATCTTAGGATCCATTGATGATACCTGCAACATTAATACATTATAGTGGTAAATATTTATGTAATGTTGATTTTCTGTTTCCATGATTTCTTCCACACTTTTTAGCTCTACTGTCCCTTCTCCTGCATTTATTTATTACATAGTTATTTGTTTGTATCAGTACGGACTAATGGATATTTGTTTCAGTCTGTAGGTTGTAAGCCACTAATATCTTGATTTGTTTCGTTGCTCACCCTGTCCCAGATTTGGCCACCGGGAGCTCCTTCAAACTGACCGCTGGCCTTTTCAGTGTGCCCCGTCATTTTCTGAGCACTGCCTCTCTCTCTAGGACCAGAGTCGCCCTTGACTCATCTTGTGTTTTCCCTACTTCAGTCCCAGAATCAACCACATTTCCAGGGATGCCTTGTTTCTGTATTGGAGAATGATACTTAGAAAGCAAGCTCCAGCCCTGGCTGGCATAGCTCAGTGGATTGAGCGTGGGCCTGTGAACCGAACGGTCGCTGGTTCAATTCCCAGTCAGGGCACATGTCTGAGTTGCAGGCCGGGTCCTCAGTGGGGGGTACATGGGAGGCAACCACACATTGATGTTTCTCTTTCTCCTTTCCCTCCTCCGTCTCTAAAAATAGAAAAATAAAAGAGAAAGCAAGCTCCAAATGAAAGGCGTCTTCATTGCTACTGGGTTTCATTACTTCTAGGCCGTCAGTGTGCAGAGCTGTGTGCATCAGTGTGCACAGCTCAGAAATACTTGTGTATGTGCATATACACATGCACACATACATGCATACATGTATGCACACACATCTATACTTATTTCCATGTCCAACTCTGTGTGTGTGTGGGGGGGGAGAAGGCTAGAATGAACCCTGTGGGATCAGTATGAATTCATGGGTTCACACTATCCTTCCCTAACTTTCTTAATTATTATTTAATCCATAGGTGCTCCCTCCTTGTTTTTTTTTCTTCCATGTATGAAATTTACTTGTTGAATAAGTTGGGTCATTTGTTCTTTATAGTTCTTTATTCTGGATTTTGCTGATTGTGTTTTGTAATGGCATTTAACTTGTTCTCTGCTGACTTTCTGATACATTGGTAGTTAGATTAAGATGCATGATCAAATTCAGGTTTAATTTTTTGGCAGTTTTTACATTATAGCTAGTTACCTGTGCTTCCAGTGGGAGGTGTAGAGTATTTGGTAGTTCCTGTTTTTGTCATGCTATGTCACTCACCATTGATGACCACTTGCAAATGGTGATCATTTAATCTCCTCATTCCTTCTTCATTTATAGCTTAATACTTCCTTAAAGAAAAACCTGTTTTTCATCATCTATTTAGTTACCCTGGGGTGCAGTTCATACAGGAAAGACAAAATAAGGAATTCACTAGAATTCTCCAAAGGTTTCCCATTGCTGCTATAACGAATTACCACGGCCTTAACGGCTTAACAACACCAGTTTACTTTCTTTTTCTGGACATCGGGAGTCTGGGATGGGCCTCCCCGGGCCGCGTTGAGGTGTCAGCAGCGCTGCATTCCTTCCGGAGGCTCTGGGAGAACCCACTTCCTTGCCTTTTCCAGCTTTTAGAGGCCACCTGTGTCTCCACACCTGTGACCCCTGCATCCTCATAGCCAGTAGAGGCTGATGTCTTTCTCATGCTCCCCTTGGCCACTTTTAAAGATCTTTGTAATTGTAGCAGACACAGCTGGTTAATCTCTCTATTTTAAGGTCAGCTGACAAGTAAACTTAATTTCACCTGCCACTTTTATTGCATTTGCCACATAATTTAGTGTATTCACAGATTCTGGGAATTACGATGTAAACATCTTTGGGGGGGCATTATTCTGCCTATTATAGCGATTGAAGGTGTTTTTGCTTTATTATTATTATAAACTCAGATTTTAAACATTTTAATGTATTTTTATTCATTGCGATTATCCTTGATGTTCTCATTGTCCCTGGACAGTGGAAACGTCTACTCAGGTTGACTCCTTGGTTCTTTAAACATGGACATTGAGTCTTTGATGGCTTCCTCCCTTTCTGACACGAGAAGGTGCCTGGGCTCACCTGTGCGTTGCTGCCCCAGGCCTGGAACTCCCCTTCCCATAGGGCAAACTTCAGGGTGCATCGGAATCACTAGGAGGGCTCATTAAAGCACGGACCTGTGGGCCCTAGTTCCCTGCAGCATTTCTGATTCAATAGGTGTGGGTTGGGGACCCGTCAGTTGTTTGCACTCCCTGGGTGGTGCTGGTGACCTCGGTCTGGGGACTGCGCTCTGAGAAGCACTGCTCTGAAGGGTCCTGGTTCCTTCTGCAGGGAGTGAGGTTTAGAGACTACAGTCTGGATGCTGGGATGGCAGGGATCCTCGGCTTTTTCACTGAAGGACTGAAGTAACAGAAAATATAAGTGTACATTGATATTTCCAATTCAAATTTAGAATTACGGGTTTTAACTTCTTTTACTTTGTATTTGTTTTTTCTTAGGCTTAAAGTCTTGGTTTTTATGACAGTGATAATGACTTAATAAATATACACACACAGTTTCAGAATAACAACGCCAATAGCATTTCTTACAACACGACACTAAAAAGAGTGTAAGAGTTTTTTGTGGCAGTCCCTCTTCTTAGAGAAATGTCCCATTAGGAATGCACAGTGACTCTGCTTTAAAGTTATGGAAATAGTTTTCTTTTTGTTTGGCTAACCAGTCAACTTGATACACAGATTCTTTTTTTTTTTTTTTGGTTCTGCTTTCACTTTTAGGGGACTTAATTTTATTTTAAAAATACTTAATCATTTTAATGGTTTCAGTGTAACATCTATAAAATGAGTTCTACTGTCTCTGTCCCTTCTATCTTCTTTCTTTTTCTTAATAGGCAACCATTTAATTTATTTTATGGTCAAATAAATGGCAGTGTGCTATACATACTTTAATTTTTTTTCTCCTGGGATCTCTTCCCTTCCCCCTTCTCCCTTGAAGCAATATATTGTCAAGATGGCTTTAGGGCGGTATATTTATGTAGAGAGAAATCATTCCTCTTCCTTGATAGCTTCAGAGTTCCCTCTTGTGAGTGTGTACCATCGTTCATTCCTCTGTTGGTGGGCATTTGGGTCGTTTCCACCCTTTTACTATTGCGAATAGTGCTTCGATATTACCAGTAGTACACGTGTGAGGCAGCTACAGTCAGTGTGCTGTGTTCTGTTTTTCTCTCACCATTGCAACATGAGCATTTCCATGTTATTATAAATGCCAGGACTTAAGAGTATTTTTTGTCTTGAAATCCATACACACTTATTTAGAGATGTTAGAAACTCAGAAAAATAAAAAATTAAAAATCAGTTGGAAGTCACCCATAATCCCTCTGCCTGGAATGCTGTTATTTGGTGTGTCCCCATAGCTGTGAGCATTTAGAAGACATTCCGTATCGTATTACATGTCCATGTTTGCTCTTCATGATTATGCATTTTTCATACCATGATCATTTTATAGTGAATTCCCTAGTGTTGCATATTTAGTTTCTTCCTGGTTTTTCACTGTTATAAATAATGCGGTAACATCTGTGCATAAAGCTTTTTCTAAATTTCAGATTATTTTTAAGGTTGGCTTTTCTGGACTTTAAAGGAAAAGGAAGCACACATTTGTTAAATGCATCCGCTAGCTTGCGCTCTTTCTAGCAGTAAGGTAAACAGGTGAGAGGTTGTCACCTTGAAGTTTTTGTCAAGCATATTTCATTTTTTTCTTTTTCTTCTGGTAGGACCTTAAAAATGAAGTTGAGAAATTACGCAACGAAGTGAACGAAAGAGAGAAAGCAATGGAGAATTGTTACAAGTGTCTGCTGAGTGAAAGCAATAAAAAATTACACAGTCAAGAGCCGATGATCAAACATTTAGCAGAAAGTATTGATCAAAAGGACAAGGACTTGCTTCTTCAGGTATCAAAAAAAATTTTTTTTGTATTTAAATTTTGACTTGGTAGAGGTTTTTTAAAAAACTCTTTGCAGGAACATTTATAGAGAAACAGGGCTGGCAAAAATGATTATAGCCTTCATTGCTGTGTATCAGAGCCCTTTGGAGCTCTCTCTGTGCCATTTGGGCTTCAGCTCCAGGAAGGTAAGTTTGGAGACGGGGAGGCCCACCGGATGGAAGGACGTTTCCCTGGGTCGCCTGACTCGGAAGCAGCGGATCCTGCCCAGGCCCTGACCTGTGTTGTTGTTGCTGTGGTGCCCGGCCTGAGCACGGCTACCGAGGTCCGTGCTGCTCCTCCTTCATGCTGCGCCCTTTCACTCCACTGGACTTCCCTCTGACTGCTCCTCTGTATCTTCGAAAGACCCTTCTTGTTCGCCTGGGTTCGATTCCGCTCCTGAGTTCTGGGGACTGTCATGGACTCAACACGGGTGTTTAACTCTGCTCCCGCCAAAGCCTCATTGACATGGCAGTGGGGGCTGAAAAGGTGTAAACCCACGGGCCTGGGGCAGGGGCGTGTATTATGGCAGGTTTCTGTCCAGATAGTAAGCGAATGGGCAGGTGGTAGCTCCTTGGATTCCCACTTTTTGCACGTGGCTGCTACATGCTCTGGGATGAAGAGCTAAGAAGAAGCAAGCCGATTTACCCTGCAGAACCCGGAAAGGCTCAGCAGGCCGTGGAGGCGTGTGGCACCTTGGTAAACAGGAGACCGGGCTGGAATGCTAGGCAGCTGGGTGACCTGTTCTCCTCGCTAGCAGGCACTGGGAGCCCTACTCTCTGGGGACCTCCAGTCAGAGACGCTCTGGTCTGGGGGGGTCACCAGGTGCATCAGAAAGCAGAGTGGCAGGGGCAGAAGTGTGTATACCCAGCTGTCGATTCCACTGAGCGGAGAAAAGGCCGAAAGGGGCTGACAGTTGGGGGTCCTCTGGCACAGCAGCTGAGCCCCCACCTGGTCACATCAGTGAGGCTGCCAGTGATGTGCCCTTCCCACACTCACAGGGCTTCTGAGCGCTTTTGCACGTAGGAATGGTCGGATGGCTGGAGTTCGTCACACAGGAGAAAGGCGTCTCAGGAAAGGCAAAGGCTGAAACAGACAGAGCAAAGCTACGCGGAGGAAATGGAAACCGTGGAGGGTGGGAAGAACAGCGTACAGTGCAACCAAGTCAACACTGACACCTGTAGACAGTAGATGAGATCGGGCTCTGATAAAGATCATCTTTGGAAAAGAAGGACGACCTATTGGAAATTGGAAGTGTGATTATAGATATAAAAAGTTTAATAGAAGAGTTAGAGAAGTTGGAAGATAAAGAGTAAGTCTTGCAGAAGGTAGAATTAAATGAGCGACAAGGTGGGAAGATGGGAGAGAAAAGAAGAAATTAGAGCCTTGATCGAAGACCTCCAGTGTACGCTAGCAGGAGTTCCAGAGAGAACGAGCAGGGGGAGCAGAGGGGAGACCGTTTTCAAAGTGAGGGGAAATGTCCAGGACGGGAGACAGGCAGCTCTCCAGGGACGGGGCTGCTTTGTTTCTGGCACAGTGAGTGAGAAAGACCTACAGCCCAAGGCACGTCTTCGTGAAGTTTCAGAACACAGTGGGGAACCCAGCATCCGAAAGGCTTCTAGAGGGAGGAGAATGTGGGCCACCTGCCGAGGCCTCAGCAGAAACGCCGGGAGCCAGAGACGGGAGAGCAGTGCTTCCGGAGTTTTGAGGAAGGGGGGTGTCCCACGCAGCATTCTGTGCTCAGCAGAGCTGCGGGCCACGCTGAGGGCAGAACAAAGGCTCTCCAGGCGTTCGGCGCCTGAAATCGTCTGCCTTCCACCTCCTCTTTGCAGGAAGTGCCTGGAGGGTGACTTCATGCCGGCGAGGAAGTCTTCAGAACAGGGAGACCTGGGATCCAGAAAGTAGGGGCTTCACCTGGCGTGTGAAGGGGGGTCCTAGGACGGCCTCGTGCGTGTAGGGAGCCCGGCTGCCGGCTGCTGGGGGAACGCTGAGGTTGGGATTTCTCCCAGGAACTGAAACACAACATCGTCGCATGACATATCTGACTCCATCTAGAGGAATTTTTGAGTTCTTTTAGAGAGTTTGGAGGTACATGAACATTAAGTACCTGATTTTTATGCAGTAAGGGAACAAACAGAACAAAGCAGTTGTTAGTAATTCCAAGAAAAGCGCAGAACTGAAAAGGAAACGTCATCATGGAGCTCTGCACGTGTGGCTGAGCCCGGAGCAGAGTTTGCGTGGCCGTAGTGACGTAAACGTGGAGTGCTGATTTAGCTACAACTGTGGTGTGACTGTTAGGAAAAGGGTCGTGGGCAGATGATGTAAGAGCTGAGTTTTCAAACCGTGAGAGGAGCCCACAGGTAGAATCTGACCCTGAGATGTCCAGAAACGTGAGAGCAGGAACATAGTGCAGAAGCGTGGAAGTAAAGAGCCGAAATGGCTGCAGGGTGGAAAGCTACTTTCTGGGAGTGGGGCCCAGGGGTGGGCGTGGAGACGCAGGGGCGGCTGCTTCCCGCCCGAGCCTCACAGCACTGCTGGCAGTGTGCGTGTGTAACGGGACTTCTGAAAGACAAAATTAAAACGTGTAACTCAGACCCGACAGTACGATGGCAGCTCTAAAAGTTCACTGTTGGTGATTTGATTCCCAGTTCTTCCTGTTACAGGTCAGTGGGTTTTTACAAAAATGTGTCTCTGCTGCTTTTTCGTTTGTGTTCTCCTGATTTCTTTGACCAGTTTGACATGACAAATCAATTCTGGTAGCTGCTGAGGAACGAGATGCGGGTCTTGTCCTGAATTCCTGACGCAGAGTGCAGGAACCTAGTTCCGGAGTTAGCAGCTCTGTTCCGTAGGGATAGAGTCTATGCCTGAACTTGGGCACAGGACCAGAGAAATGGTCTCCAGTCCTGTTGGGTGTCAGGTGTCTGGCATCTGATCTTCTGACTGAGTCCAGGAGGGAGGGCAGCTGTCCTGTGTGTCATCACGGGGGAGTTTTTCACGCGTGACCAGACCCCAGAGCACCGTTTGCAGTCTTGCCCTTTTCTCCCCGGAAGCCAGTCTGCTCACAGATGTAGGTGGCTCAGGTTTTGTCAGATTGTCATGCTTCAGGAGAGACTCAGCTTCGCTGGGTTGTGATACACAGTCTCCCTGACCTGACCCTGTGGGATAGGAAACAGACACAGGGGTCACACCCTGGTCCAGGGGGACTCAGGACTGGAGCCCAGTGCCCTGGGGCCAGAGCCTGGCCTTTGTCCTCCTCGACCTGCTGGGAGGCTGTCACCATGCTGGCGAGAGGGAAGGTTTGTAACGGCTGCCGCCGTGCCGGCACGCTGCCCTTCTGGCTGTACCAACATGCCGCTGGAGTGCCCGTATTCGCCAGCATTCTGGGACGACGGAAGTTACTTAGAGGACATAGAGTGTTGTGAAGGGAAAAAAGTATCTTCCCGTAAAGAGTTGGGACGATCTCTTAATATTTCTTTCTTGATGAAAACTTCCTTATGACTTGTTTTGTTTCTTTAGAAATTCATTGAAAAAGATTCAGAAGCAATACAGGAGAACCGTTACTTAACGACCGTGGAGGATCTCAAATTGGGGAGAGAAGACTTTGTAACGGAAGAGTGCTCTCCTCGGCGGTCGCCAGGCGGCAAAAGCATCTTCTCCGAGGTGAGCCTGGCTGGGACTGGACGTCCGCGTGCGAACTCACATTCTCTGCGGACACGTGTTTGGTAATTCCTTTGATCTAGAGAGCCTCAGATGCCGCCTTCTTGCTGATAACTGCGTTTACGGCAGGTGCTCGGAGGGGGTCCGCGTCTCCCCACCTTGGGGATTAGGGTCCCGCAGCTGAGCATCGGTGGTCGCCCTGCGCTGCCGCAAACAGAGATCTTGGCTCGCTAAAAGAGGAGCCGCGTATTTGCGCTCCCAGGGTTCGCCTCTCAAGGACTATGCAATCTCAAGTGTTCAGAACGTTTTTCTGTTCAAATGCATACGAGAAAGGGCACAGCAGGCCTTTCCTCGTCTGGCCCCAGGTTCTCTCTCTGGTCTCATTTCCTTCCGGCCCCCATCCTCACCGCCAGCAGCCACCTTCTTGCGCAGGATTCCTGAAACGCCATCCTGGTGCCTCTCTGTGCCTTGGCACGTGCTGCTCCGTCCGTGTGGATGCCTTTTCTTCCTTACCTGGTGACTCCCCAACGTCCCTGCTGCCACCCTAGTGTCACCTTCTCTGCTTCCCCGAGCCCGCTCAGTAGTGGTGTCTTCTCTCCCTCCGTGGCGCACAGCACTTTGCATGCCCATCACTGTAGCACTGAATTCTTGTGTCGACGTTACCGGGCCCACCTTCCTGCCTTCTCCTCCTCACTTGTGCCCCTGCACCGTGGGCAGGCACCTCCGGGACAGAGAACTAACTGGCACTCAGGTTTGAATCCCAGTGTCTAGCCCGGTGCCTGGCTAGTAGGTGTTTGTTGAGTGAATGACTGACTCTGTTGGTTTGTGAGAGATGCGTAGAGATTGTTCTGACCCCCAGTGCGAATAAAATGCACCTTGGCAGCCAGATATGGGAAAGGAAAGGAGTTCACTGTAGGCCAAGTTTTGTTTTTTTCTTAAACTTGGTTTTAATCAGGTTCATACATTCAGGACAGAGAACTCTTACACAAATTAGTTCTCTGATGAATGGCCGTGATCATGACTTGTGGTTTCGCAAAGGGTGATTCTCCAAATAATGAACCGGAGCAGCACGGGCCCATCTGCTGGAACAGACCCGGGCGGCAGGGCTGGAGCAGGGTCCTGGAGGCCTGCGTGTGTGCGTGCCAGGGACCAACCCTGCCGTTGGTGGTTGGTGGGTCTTGGAGAGGTCTGTGCGGGTCTTCACGGAGGGGCCAGGGCTGCTGGGCTGGTTGGGGTGGACGGGTCAGGGGTTATTTCACAGCCGGTGTAGCGGTGCTTCAGTGTTCGAGCACCAGCACTAGCCACTGCACTGTGTGTCGGCTTGGCATCCGCCCCGGCCCAGAGGGCCTCGCTGGGTGAAGAGTGGGAGGGAGCTCTGTCGTAACTCTGGCCGTTTGCGGACTTGCATTTTTCTGTGTCTCTGGAATGAAATTCCAGCAGAGATTAGTGGGGAGCCCCGGGGCCAGGCCAGAAGTCTGGACGGAGGCCTGGATTCCTCTCTCGGCTCTGTCACTTCTTTGGGCAAGTCCTGTAACTAAATCTCACAGGGCTGATACTTTGTGATTCCGATTGACGTACAGATACTTGATTTCAACCATGTTTGTTGGGCGTTAGGATGCCAGTAACCTGTACCAAGACACAGTCTGTTTTAAAACAAGACGGTGCCCCGTCAGATGTTTTAGGTGGACAGGTCGTCACTAATGCGAATGCATTTTGTTAAAGTTTGCTATTTTGAACCATGTGTTAGTCATGTAGAAAGTGTATACATGTTGCATAAAATGTTTATGAGCCTGTCGAACAGGCTGCGTATGTTAGACGTAACTGCACCAGCTCGGTGGTCTGTGTCACTCTGCGTTCCCTTGTCTGCGCTGGGCAGGGCGGGGTCGGAGCTTCCACGACCGCCAGGGTGACACCGCCTCTCCGGCATTTCCGCTGCACTTAGACCCTGGTGCTGTGTACATCACTGTGCAGAATTCCTAAGTATTTTAATTTACCACAGGTTTTGATTCTCTTCTTCAAGACTAATGGCAAATCATGGACCAAGAATTACACATTGTCATCGAGGAATTGTACATTTCCAGGTGTCAGTTTAAGGGAGCCCCGCTGTTGGAGCCTGCGGCCCCGTGCCCCCAGCCCCGCCCTCCTCGCCTGCACAGGGTGCTTTGCAGAGTGCGGTTCTTTCCTCGTAGGAAATGTGGATTTCTTCCGCTGTGCTCTTGGCCATTTTGTGTTGACTCAGGTCTTATCCCCTGCCCATTTCTGCAAAGAACTTGAGGCTGTGACGTGTCCCCATGGACTCTGGGCAGTCTGCTTTCCTTCTAATCATCGAATGATTCTGAGGATTAACGCTGGATGACAGGGCAGTGAAGACAGAGAGGAAAACACACTGGCCACACTTAACTTTCTGTGGCCAGAGATTTGGAGCTTGGCCATTGGCATGGGTGGGGCATCGCTGCCGAAGTTCCTGAGTATTCAAGTGAATGAATGTTTTTGTTGCAGAGCTGTGGCGTGGGTACTGAGATAGATACCACCTGTCTACCAGGCCACTGAACTGCCCTGATTATTAAGACGTGAGCCCTCCGGTTTTCTCCGTACGTATCTGCTGCGTCTTCAGATCGTGGTCGACACATTGCACGTGGTTCCGTCGAGTCATTAAGGAAACTGTGGTTGAGTGGAAAGGGCCCGGGCTTTGGTCTCGGATGTCAGTTCTGTGACTTCGTGCAAGTCGCTTCTTAGTCTCTCTGAATCTCACCTTCCTAGTCTGTAAAGTGGAGAACTCCATGCTTATTTCCTGAAAGGATTAGAAATAATGCAAGTGTGTTCGTTCAAGTTCTTTCGGTTGCCAGCTGTAGAATCCAACACTGAGTAGTTTGAGCAAAAGAGCAGTGAACGGGAGTGTTCACCGGGAGCATACCAGAGGCTGCCGCTGCGGGAGAGCCATGCAGCCGTGCCTGGGGGAGAGCAGAGCTGTGAAGCTGTGGCGGCCCACGGACAGCAGAGGCTGTCCACCCCAGAGCTCTGTCTCTGACGTGAGGCACCTCCAGTGACTCCCAGACTTCCGGTGTCCCCGTTTAAATTTCTAAATGCCTGGAGAGAATCGGGCTGGCTTCGTGTGGACCCAGTGGCTGGCTCACAGAGGAGAGAGGGGTTGTCCAGGGACTTACCCCTGTGTGTTAGGGGCAGTTCTCAAATGGGGCGGGGCAGGGTGGGGGGGCGGTGGTGAGCCGGCGGTCACCCTCGGGTGGCGGAGACACACTGCAGAGTCAGACACAGGAGGTGCGTGGTGATCCTGAGTCTTCTGCAGGATGGGCGGCCTCCGGTCTGGGTCAGTCCTTGTTTGGAGGGACAGGATGGGGGTGGGGGTTGGGTGCTCCTGCTCGGAGGGGCTTCCCCTCACCACCCTCTGGGCAGCCCTCTGCCCCTGTGCTGAGGAGACCCACTGCTCTGGCAGCCCTGCTGACGGAGCCGAATGACTTCATTCTAATGGGCGTGATTCGATGCCGGGGAACAGGTGATTAATGAAAGGGGGCCCAGATGGCTCCAAACAGTTCATTTATTTAACAAGGGTGAGCAGTGTGCTTCTAGGAAGACGTTGACTCACTCCGACTGCCGTTATGCAAACTGTCCACAGGAATCTCTGCTCTGAAGAGTCATATGGGTCCCTGTGTCCCTCTTAGCTATTTAATCATCAGGTCAGCAAGTACGGTGGCAGCACCTGATCTGTGCCAGACACTGTGCTGCCTGCAAGACCCCCAGGCCTGTAAACGGGTGGCCGGGGCACGAGCTTGGGCGCGAAGGTGCACCAGGGTGCCTCGGGGGCTGGAAGAGGGCATCTCTCTGTCCGGGATGGCTTCCTGCCGAGCGTTTGGCTTGAGCGGATCCTGTGAGGTGCCTGGAGTGTGTCCGTGGAGAGGGGTGACTGAGGGAGGTGCTCTCAGAAGGGGTGAGGTGTTTCCTCCTGGAGCTCAGGTGAAGGGGGTTTCAGTTCTCAGCGATGGGAGGGTGGGGGGGAAGCAAGTGCGGGTGTGGTCAGCTGGCAGGTGGGGGGCGGGGCCAAAGAGACCTGGGACCTGAGAAACCTGGTGAAGGTTCGGAACAGCTTCCAGAAAGAAGGGGAGGGGGGCGCTGAGCCAGGCACCCAGGCCCTGACATTGCAGTGGGTGGGCCTCGCAGCCGGAAGCCCCGCCCACGCTGGTCCAGGTAAGGTGCCGGGCCCCCAGGGTCGGGACTGTTTCTCCGGGCACGTACATCGCACACCTGGAGTCTGCTCCATCCCCCCAGAGCTCTATCGTTGTTGATCTTTTTTGCAAGCCTTTCTGGGTTGACTTTGGAGTTACATATCTCGCACAAATTCTGACTGCCATTTATGAGCTGGGCGGACCCATCAGGTTAACCTCTCCTCTCAGAGAATCAGTCTCCTCATCCGAAAAGTGGGAAGATGTACATACTTTCCTGGGTGGCTGTGATGAGGGATGATCCATGTAAAAACACCTAACACAGCACCAGAGCACAGGGATTTCATAGTTAGTGGTTGTTTATCACGTGTCGACTCCATGCCAGGCATCCTGCTGAGAACTTTGTGTAGGTTGACGCAGTTAATCTCCCTACGAACTCCATGAGGTGTAGAGTTATTGCCTCTACTTACAGGTGAGGATATTGGAGCACAGAGAGGTTGAGTAACTTCTTCAAGGTCACACTCTCAATCATCACTGCCTCTCACGGTAGGTGTTCAAGGAGCAGTAAGTTTCCTTATTTTCTTCGTCACTGCTGGCTGGTTTTTATGTGGCCGACAGTGGTGACGTTACCCTCTGCAAGCACCTGGTGATTTGTATCCATTAGAGGGCATTGACAGGTGCACTTGGAGCTCGGCGGGGTCCGCCCCCGCCTCACTGCCCTGACCTTGGGCACGCTGCTGGCCCCCTGTGCCCCCATCCCTCATCACCAGGATGGGGAGAGTTGTGCCATCTGAGCCTGTGGGCGGTTGTGAGGTTTGAAGGAGAAAATACCAGGAAGGCACTCAGGATCGTGGCCGACATGCTGAGGACTCGATGGCCTCATTGTCTTGCTGTCCTCTTGAACTCTGCCCCAGAGCTGAGGGGATCCCTGTGGCACTGTGGCCGTGCACAGGAGGCACTGGGCGCTCCTCGTGCAGTGACACGAGGCAGGGTTTCGGAGGGGCCGGACGCCTCTAGCATCCTTGGTGACTAGCTTACCACGGCCAGACTGGTGCGTTAGCATTTAAAGCTCCCATTGACGGGTGGCGTCTTCCCCTTGCTTTGTGCAGGGCGGGACATGTAGTGGTGGTCCCCAAGGTCGGGGGAGCCCGGCCAAGCTTTGCTCTCTGCTTCCCTTTGGCAGTCGGCTGGAGCAGGGCCCCTTCCCTGGAAAAATACGTAAATGTGTAGAATGTGTGCACAGGATTAAAAAGGAAACCAATTGTTTTAAAATTTGGTGATTGAAATATTTAAAAATAATAAAAATGGCACTATGTTAAATAACAAGATCTAGGGGTGAGCGTAGTGACTGCTGTAGTTTTGAAGTAGTGACGGGAATACACATTTTCAGATAATCACAATATATACAAACTGTTTCTTTTGATGACGAAGTCACAGGAAAATACTAAAACTGCTGTGGTGCGTGGCAGTCACAGTATTCTGTCACGTTATACCGAAGGGAAGGCCAAATTCCAGTCAGAGGTGAGTGAAGGTACAGCTGTAACTTCTCTCCCCTGTTCATGCTCATGTTCACGCAGCCCCCGAACTTTAATTTCAGTTAGGAACCCCTGTCCCGGGGAGTGTTTTAACTCTAGGAAGAAACATGAGTTAGTGGGAAACACAGAAGCTGCTGGCAGCTCGAGTCTCCTCGTTAGCTGACTGTCTCCCTCCCGGCACTCGGAGAACATTTATCTAGTCTGTGCTGGGCACTGTGCTAGGTTTTCTGCACACATTAACTTCATTTATTTCAACATTTTCCTCTTCTTTTTTTTAAATCCTCACCCAAGGATATAGTTATTGATTTGAGAGGGGGAGAAGGAGAGAGAGAGAGAAACAGAGAAACATCGATGTGAGAGAGAAACATTGATTGGTTGTCTCCTATACACACCCCAACGAGAGATCAGACCTGCAACCTAGGCATGTGCCCTGACCGGGAATCGAACCTGCAGTCTTTTAACAGACAGGATGATGCTCCAACCAACTGAGCCACCAGACCAGGGCACATTCTCTTCTTTTGAAATAACTTCAAATTTAGAGGCTACTTACAGAATAAAGGGTGTACTTTTCCTGAGCCATCCGAGAGAGAGCTGTCCGTGGGAAGTCCTGTCACCTCTGGACACTTGAGTGTGTGTGTCTCATAGGGGAGGACACTCCCCTGTGTGACACGGCACAGCCCTCACACGAGGGAACTGGCAGAGGCACTGTGCCACCTTCCAGTCCTCAGGCTCAGTCAGGTCTCCCCAGGGTCCCATAAGGGCCGTTGTAGCGGAGGGATCCGGTTCAGGGTCATATGCGGCGTGTATCTCGATTCTTCGGTCTCCCATCTGGAGCCGCTCCTCTGTCCTTCCTTGGCTTTCACGGCCTTGGTGCCTTGACACAGTGTGACTGAATCCAGGCCGTCGTGCCGTAGAGCGTCCTTAGGTTGGGGCTCTGGACTGCGTCAGGCTCTGGACTCCGGCAGGAGGGGCCCAGGCATGGTGCTGTGTTCTGTTGTGCCCCGTCTGACGGTGTGTGATTTCCGTTTGTCCCGTTGCTGGTCCCTCTGGCTGACATGACTTTGTGAAGGTGGTGTCCATCAGGTGTCTTGACTGTACGGTTATTCTTCTTTCCTTTATAATTAATATTTTTTGTCGGGGGGTCTTTTGAATCTATATAAATATCTCGATCTTCAAACTTTCACCCATGAGTTTCCTTTTATATTTCTCGGCTGAGTTATTAATTCCCACGATGGTTGGTAAATGGTGAGTTTTCTAGTTTCATCATTCCTTCTACATTTAGTAGTTGTTATTCTTCTATAGAGAGAAGCCTACTTTTCTTCTTATTTATTCATATCAATATATATACTCATGAATTCATGTTTTATTAAATAGGTTGTTATCTCTTACTATTGTTGGTTATTCTGGTGCTCAAATTACCCCAGAGCTGGCCTTTTCAAACTGGGCCCCCTGCCCTTCTGAGGACACACTCTGTCATTCTTTGAGCTGGTCCATCTTTCTGGCGTGACACAACGCTGTGGACACACCTTGTGCTGTCCTTGACTTTCTCACCCCAGTGTTGGCGTCGGCCACTTCTCTCGGGACTCCTGGGTCCTCACGGAACACGTGTAACTTACTGCTCCGTAACTCCGTGAGGTGGTGGTCACTGTCCACCGTTGGACAGGTAGGAATACCAAGGCTTCATTCAGTAACTCCCTGAGGTCCCAGAGCTGGGAAGTAGTAGAGCCATATTTTGAATGTAAAAAGAATTCACTTTTGTGAGTGCTAATTCACAAAATTGCACCCCCATTTTATAAACGAGGAGACTGAACCTCGTAGAGGTCTGCTAGGCCGGCTGCCGGGTCGCACGGCTGCTGGGTGGCAGAGGTCGTCCGCAGGTGTCATCATCGCCACTCTGTGCAGCAGGCCTGGAGGGCGCCCCTCACTTGACCTCTTCTTCTACGTTGGGTCTCTTGTCCCTAATACTTGTCAGGTTTCAGTTTAGGGATTTTTTTTTGTTTGGAGCAAGAACAGTTGTGGAAAGGCATTGTTTGTGGTGCTGTGAAAGCGACTGCCCAGAAGCTCTGAGGGGTGGCTGTTCCATGATGGGCGAATCAGGTAACTAGGATGGTTCTTCCGTGGCAGCTACTCGGTGTTGGGAGCACAGCTCTCAGCTTTACTCCGAGGTGAGATGCACAGTCAGTCATTCCCCACGCCGCCTGCAGGTGGTGCTCTCTGACTGTGGCCTGATCCGGAGCCCGGCGCTCTGGATCACCTTCGTTTGGGTTTAGAAACCCAAGTATGTTTGCATGAGGTAAGGATGTGCTCTCTTAAAATTCTCCTCTTAATGTCAGATGCCCATTGTCATTTCCAGGAAAAGCAACAATTAGACTATGAAGAGCTGATCCAGGTCTTAAAGAAAGAGCAGGACATCTATGCCCACCTGGTCAAATCTCTGCAGGACTCAGACAGGTAAGGGTTTCTGTCCGGACATCACACGCACGTGAATGTGAACACGCGCACACACACGTATTATGAATAAATGCTTCTTGTCTCCAAGGCAGCAAAGTTTGCTTAGGAGGCTTAAAGTTCTTGGATGATGATTGCCTTGTTTAAATCAGATGTACCTGTTTTCTATCAAGGGTTGTCAGACGTTTGCCCTAGCAGGGTAGCTCAGTTGATTAGAGCGTTGTCCCGATACACCAAGGTCGTGGGTTCGACCCCTGGTCAGGGAACATAGAGAATCAACCAGTGAGGGCATGGATGTGCAAGAGCAGATCGATGTGACTCCCTCCCTCCCTCCCTCTCTCTCGTCCTCTCTCTAAAGTCAGTAAATAAAGGGGGAAAAAAAAGAATTGTCTGACACTTGACAACACACTTAGGGTAAAAATATTTAATACTAATCACTCAGATTTTTATAATACTTTATTATTGATTTAGAAAGTGTTTCTCTGTATTATCTTAAGTGATCCTCACAGCTGTTCTGTGACGTAAGTGATTCCGTTACTCCTGCCTTTCGCAAAGCCATTTTCCATGAGAGAGGTTTGTCCAGAGTCACACGAGTGATGGGTGGCAGAACCCTGCGACCCACCCAGGTGACTTGGGTCCTCACAGAATTGCCGAGATGACTGGTGCCTGTGAGGTGTGGTGAGAGAGTCGATCATGGCTAGCGGTCTCCGTCTAGCCCTTGCTCTGTGCCCACGGGCGAGCGGCCACCTGTGGGCCTCTGTTTGCCCACCTGTAAATACAGGGGTGGCCTCTCTGGTTTCTGATATTAAAAATTCATCTTTCAGCCCTGGGATAGTTGCAGGTGGAAGGAGTGATGTCGGGGGTTCACCACAAAGTGGCGCAGGAGCAGAGGAAGTGGACGGCCGGGGGTGGGGGTGGGGGCTGTGGAACAAGGTTGGCCTTGGCTCCCTGGTGGTTGGGTCTGGAGCGTGGTTGATGGGGGAGGGGCTCGTTACATTGCAGCTTGTTTTCTTTTGTTTATGGCTAAAATTTTTCATAATAGAAATTTAAAAAAGGAAAAACCACCCTTCATTGCTCCTCCTCTTCAGCCCTTCACGCTAGCCCTAAAGTCTGCATGATGTCTCCCCTGGGCCATGTGCTCTCCTGCCCCTGCCTCCGCACAGGTTCCCGCACCCTCTCTGTCTCCCAGGGGTCCTTGGGGTTTCATCTTGAGGGAGGGTTACTCTTGTCGGGAGGCCCACGGTAACGCCTAGGAGAGTTGCCCCGGGCGCCCTGCCTCCTCCTCTGGACCATGAGCTCTTCCTCGGGGCCAGGGTCCTGTCTCGTTCACGTCCGTTTCCAGGGCCTCTCACGGCGGCCAGTATGGAGCAGGCACTTGGGAGGTGTTCGTTGGATGGACTCCCCTCCCCCATCTTCTAAGTTATGAGATAATTTTCATGTTTTTAAATCTAAAATGAGTTCAGAGAAGATGGAAAGTAGGCATCACTCTGAGAAAGTGAGCGTTTTCCAGAAGCCTTGGCTGCCACTCACTGTCACTCGGGGGAGGGGTGAGTAATGCTGGGGACTTGGAGGGGGTCGGCAGAGTGGGTGGGGCTGGCAGGCCCTGCGGTAAGTGTGTCGCGGTCGGCTCCTCAGCATCATGGGTGGCTGAGTCTCACAGGCTCGTTCTTAATGTGTAAAGACGTAGGATGGGCCTTGGCCGGGTGGGTCAGTTGGTCGGAGCGTCGTCCCGTGCACCAAAAGGTTGCAGGTTCAATCCTCAGTCAGGCACACACTTGGGTTGTGGGTTCGATTGCCGGTTGAGGCGTGTATGGGAGGCAGCTGAATGGTGTTTCTCTCTCATGTCGATGTGTGTCTCTCTTTCTCTCTCCCTTCCTCTCTCTCTGAAACCAATGAACATATCCTCGGGTGAGGATTAAAACAACACCTGTGGGATGAGACCAAGGCAGGTCAGTGCTGTGGCTGACAAAGATGCTCATGAGGTTTCCTGTTCGTCTTCAGAGCTGAAACACCTTTAGGAGAGGACAGGCCTGGGTCCATACCCCGTCTCCGCCCTCAGCAGCTCTGCGTTCTGGGCTGAGTCGCCTTTCACTCTGAGCCTCAGCGGATGTGTTCTTACAGTCGAGATCGGGTGACCCACTCTCTGCTTTCGTTCCCACCTGCCTGCCTGCCTACTTACCTCCCTGCCGGCCTCGCTACTTACAGACTGGTTTTGAAAGTAGTTGACAGTGTGCGAAGCCCTGATACGGCCGGGCACATACAAACACTCGATGCATGTAACACAGTAAGAGCACAACATGAAAAGCTTCTGTAGTCCTCGGTATCCCCGTGCGCATAAACCCAGTTGTACGGGGTTTCTGAATCCTCAGTCCTTGCCGTGGGCGGAGGGCAGGGTTGTGGGCTAAGGCCGGTGGCGTGCCTTTTGGTAATATCAGCGTTGCCTGCCTCCTGGACACTGGCCCCAGCGGGGGTGTCTCTGCTGCTGTATGTGTGCTGCTGCACTTATAGTTCAGGCAGGGGAGGGAGGTCAGGGGTCGTGGGCAGCCGTGTACCTGGCCCTTTCCCCTTTACTTATTTCTTCCTCACAGCAGCACTGGGAAGTCAGTGGCTTCGTCCCGGTTTCAGGAGAGGGACCGTGCTGTTGGTGGTGTTCAGGGTGTTGTCCCAGCGTCTGTACAGTCGGGGACCACCAGAGCTCAGAGCTCAGATGCCCCTGGCTCCCGAGCCAAGGCCCTGCCACAGACGTGCCTCGTCTTGCGAACCACTGCGGTTCCCACTTCCCAGTGACCCAGGCCCCTCGCCCTCGGCACGGCTGGGATTGGGGCTGGGTAACTTGTTGTTGGGGGGGGGGGCGGCCCTGGGCCTGGTGGGATGTTCAGCGACACCCCTGACTTTCTCCACTGCGCGCCACCGGCTCTGTTCCCACCCCGGGTGTGGCAGCCGTCCGTGCTGCCCCTTGTTCACCGGGCGCCACCGTCGTCTCCAGACGAGAGAATTACAGCTCGTGAGAGTCAGAAAGTTTGACTTACAAACATTATCTTTCGTTCAGGAGTTTGTAGGGTATGTGGAAGGAAGGAAATGATGTGTGTTTCGGCATGTAGTATATGTTTGGTGTTCTTTCCCATATAACATCTCATTTATTCCTCAGAACAATCTTAAAGGAAAGACACTAAAGACACTACCCCATTTTACAGAGGAGGACATCCAGACTCAGGCCTGGCTGAGGTCATGGAGCCAGTTGGTGGAGGTTTGCCTTGTGGAGCTTGAGTCTCCCGGCCCCTGTTTCCGCCTCCTCCCCCCTCACATTCCAGGAAGAGGCACACACGGGGCTTTTGCTACCTTCGCTGCTTTTGTTCCACCACCGCCTCCCACCGTGAAAGGGTTCTGGGTTGGGGAGACGTACATGGCAGACGGGGCCCAGCAGCTGTGCCCTTTCGCCCTGTCGGAGAGTGGAAGGGGGTGAAGCTGTTGGCTTTCCCAGCCCGCGTCGTCGCCAGAGCTTCGCTATAAAACGATCTCCTTTTTTTTTCCTCCCGTGGTTGAATGTGCTGCAGCTCGACCACATCCGCGCGAGTGCTGTGCTGTGGCACCTCTGGAAGATTTCCATCAGCCTCACAAATTGGCCGTTGTGATTGCCTTGGAGTGGAAGTGGGCACAAGTGGCTGGTGGGGCCCCTGCCTTTGCAAGAAGCTGGCTTCACAATGAGCTGTTGTCAAAGCAGCGAGCACAGAAGATTAGACATAATGGCTTATTTTCCCTCCGATATATGTCGATTTGTGTGTGCGGCCGGTGGACGGAGCTGGAGGAAATTTCCGAAGGAGAATTGGGGCTCGCGTCTGTAGCGCGCATTTAGGGCACCAGCTCTCGCCTCTTTGGGGGTGCGGACCCCTTTTGAAAAATCTGTGGAAAGCTGGTGGGCCCTCTCCCTGGAAAAAGCCCCATAAAGAGCCGCCATTGCAAGGTGTTGATGGACACTCGTGGGGACCCAGAGGTCTGATGCCGGACACTGGCTGGTGTGTTTCGTGGTGTCTAAAAGAGGAAGGCTTCCTGAGTGTGTGTCGGTAGTCTCGGAAACGGCGCTGTAGTTTGACCCGCTAATTGTGCTGCTGGGAATTTGTCTCACGGAACTAACCTGAGTGTGAAACGAGGCTTTTGGCATGGAGTTCGGAGAAGCATGGGCTGTTTTTCAGATGGCAGCGAGGGCTTCTGCCCCTCTGAGAGCTGCTAACCAGGGGTTCAGGTCCCTGCCGTGGGCACATCCTTGTGGGCCTGCACGGCCCAATCAGTAGCCACTAGCCATGTGACTATTTAAATCTAAATTAAAAAAAAAATTAAGCACTCAGTTCTTCAGTGTGTTAGCCACAGTGTAAATGTCGGGTTGGCACCTCCAGCCTGCGGCTGCTGTGTTAGTTAGCCCAGCTACCAAACGGGCTCCTTCTTGGGGAGATGCTGTCGGAAAGTCCTCCCCAGGACCTGCGCCCGTTCCGGGAGGTGTGGTTCTGGGAGGTGCGTGTTTCCACCGCCTCCTCTGGGCTCCGGGGTGCGCTCCAGCTCCGTGGGGCTCAGCACCGCATCACAGTGACCCTGCGGGGGCACGTGGCACCCCAGCCTGAAATAACACCCTTCGCACCGTGTGCTTGTGTTTCCTTTGGTCCCTAAGCTGGCCCCTCCCTCCCTTCCTGTGTTGGCTCCCTCGTTCTTTTCTTCTCTTCCCTCCTGCCCTGACCCCTGACCCCCGTGCCATGTGCCGCGGCTTTTTGGAGCGACGTTCTCTCTTGTCTCCTCTTCCTGAAGCCTGGGCGCCAGGGGACAGCCGGGCTCTGGAGAGCTGCCCCTTGTATGCCCAAGGTCTCACTGGCGTCTTCCGGGCAGAGAAACATGCTGTGCATTACACTGTTTGTACTTAATTACGTCTGTAGCAAAGACTTGGGAATGACCCCGATGTGCCCTGATAGGAGTGAGTTAAAGGAAATGGTGGGACATCACCTATCATTGTCACATGGTGAAAAAGTGGTGTGGATCGCAAGTAATCCCCAAAACGCAGGGAGCAGTTCAGTGCCGAATGCACAATGTAGTGTTGTCTTGTACGTCCGTTACTACTTCAATGTTGTACGATTATTCAGGGACAAAGATGGGGTGGGAATACAGTCTGCCGTGTGTTGATTGGTAGTAGGATCGTGGTAATTTTTGTTTTCTTCATACTTCTGTCTTTAAAATTTTCTGTAACACACATACGTACATTTATAACCAGAAAGTAACCTCAGATGATGTAAAATTCAAAAGGAAGGCTGGCGGGGTTTTGCGTCTTAAAGCACGAGCAGGCCTGTTTTCACATGTCTGGTGTCTTGCTTTACCCAGTGCCCAGAACCTGCAGGCCGAGTTAAACAGCATCTTGGCCCTGCGGCGGCAGCTGGAGCGGGACGTGCTGGCCTATCGGAATTTGAAAAAGACGCTGGAGGAGCAGATCAGCGAAATTCGGAGGCGGGAAGGTACAGGCTGTCCAGAGTGTGTGTCCCTGTGGTTTCCACTTGGAGGGCCTGGGCTGGACGTTAAGGGAACCCTAAACTCCAGCAGGACAGGGGCCACCCACAGGACTTCATCTGGCGGTCCTTTCCGTGGTGACCGTGCCAGAGTTGGCTCTCTCAGTCTGAGTGCGTCTGGCTTTGGCCCTCGCTGTGGGAGACCCAGCAGACTGTGTTAATTCTGCAGAGGTCTGCTGCAGGCTGTCCCCCAGCGCCTCTGCTCTGTTCTGTAGCATTTGAGACTCAGAGCTCCAGGAACCCGTGAAACCTTGCAGCCCCCTTTCTCTGGGAAACAGCCTTGTTGCCCCAAACGTCTGGGCTCTGCCTGCCACTGCACCCCATGCAGAGAGCCCAAACGGCAGACATGTGGGGGTGAGATCGCTGCTTCATGTCAAAATGTTGCTTTTTGTGTTGTCACCACCCCAAGTGGACTCACATAGGGAGGGCTGCAAGGGGAGGGCCCTGTGGTGCTGGCACTGCGGTGCCCGTCACGGTGGTATCGGCTCGCTGCCTTCCTCGAACCTGAGCCCCTTAGAGTCTTGGCTGGAATCCTCTTCCTCTCGGTACCCCCAGCCTGGCTTGCGTGGCAGAACTGTGTAGTGGTGGTAGGCTGACATTTATGGAGCAAGGGCTGTGCGTGAAGCACAGCTCCAGGCACCTAACTCCTCACCCCTGATTCTGACAGTCATCCCATTGGCGGAGATATTGATTTCATTTTACAGATGAAGAAACTGAGGCTCAAGGGTGGATGTGGGGTTGATTTATCCAGGTAGGAGCCAGGACATCTTTCTTTGAAGTTTAGTTCTTTCTAGTACATTAGCTGTATCGGCTCTTACCCGCATGTGCTAATATATGCGGTCATGTCTGTGGACATGCCTCACGCAGTTAACAGACTCCCCCAACCCCGCATCTGTCCTCCCCATTTGCATGTCCACGTGGCTGTGGGGAAGCGGTCCCTTACGTAGCGGGTGACTCGATTCCCTTGTGTGAGCCCTAGCAGGCAGCCTGTGCACTCGCTGTGCTCGCTGCCGTGGAGGGCCGTGGGGCCAGTAAAACACATCAGGCACTCACCACCCTGAGATCTCCCTTGAGGGTCACATCCGCTTTTCCTGTATTCCCGCCTAAACGGAATCACTCCCTTGCCTGAACTCAGATCACCATTTCCTTGTGCCACTCAGAAGGGTCTCCAGGCACAGCACATGATACGCAAATTATAATTCAGAATCGGCTACAGTGAAAGCTTACACAGCCCGTGATGAAACCACACTTTGAGATATCAGCCTGTAGAGGAAGGAAGGAAACTTACTTTCGCCCCAAAGGGTGGACTCCCCGTGTGTGCCTCTAGGACTGGCCTTGGAAGGATCTGTTTCTGATTTTCTTTTTCTCCTCCCCCCCCACTCTTCTTTTTTTTTTTTGCAGAAGAACCATTTTCGTTTTATAGCGATCAAACATCTTACCTGAGTATTTGCCTTGAAGAGCGCAGTCCGTTTCAAGTGGAGCATTTTTCTCAAGAAGAACTTAAGAAAAAGGTATTGGCCTGCTCCGTTCGGTGCTTCCTTGGTTCTTTGTTGTCTCTTGGGTTCCTAATTAGAGGTGTGAGATTCTCAACCCCCTTGACTCTCCTTTCTTCCCTCTCCGCCTGCTCGTCTCTGCTCCTGCCCCACCCTCCCTATGTCTGGTGCACTGCCTCTCCGGCCTGGGGACCCAGCCCGGTGAGCCCTGCTCTGGCAGCTGCCCTCCAGCCCGTCCACGTGCAGTTCGCCACCTGTCCTGCAGGTCGCTCCCCTCTCCCCTTGTGCCGGTCACGTGGATTCCCTTCCCAGCGTGTCGGCACTCGTCTGGGTGTTTCTCTGCGTCCTCTGCTGGGCCGTGAACATCTAAGCGACTGCATCTTATTTATTTCAGGTTTCCCAGTACCTGGCACACGTAATGGGAGTTAATAGATGCTTTTTGAAAGAATAAATGTTCACGTTTGATCCATAAATCTTTTCTAAAGCTGAAAAGGTTTTTCACTCTGTTGCTTGTTGGTGCGGTTACAGTGGTTTAGTATTTCAAGGCTCTAAGAGCCATTGATGAGAATAGGAAGTGTGTGCTCAGAGGAGCCGCCTTAATGTAAAATTATCCTACGTGTACGACAGGCTCAGCTCCTGTCTTGGAGTGATTCTCGTTCCGACAGTGGACAGACGTGTAGCTAGGGAACTGCAGCATGGAGTGCAGGGGTCGCTGTGACAGGCGGTGTGCACGGCGGAGGGTGGCCGAGGGCGGGTGGACTGCTGGGCGTGGGGAGTGCCGCTTTATCAGAGAAGCCTTCTCCGCAGAAGTGAGGCCTGACGTGGGTTTTGAAGGATGAATAGGAGTTTGTCTGGGTGGACAGTTTTCTCAGCAGAAAAAGAGAAACTAGCCGGTGCGAGGTACGAAAGTAAGAAATAGATAGGAGAACTATAAAATTTCAGTGTTTTGGGAGGAATGAGGCGCGGAGCGTCGAGGCACTTAACTTCTGAAGGTAACGAGAATGGGAAGGGTGACAGCTGCTGCGAGCACCTGCTGTGGCGGTGCTGAGGGCAGGAGGTTGTTCCCGTGGTTGGCACTCAGTGTTTCCAGGGCCAGCATGTCCTGCGTTCCCCACTGTTGCATTCACGTTTTGGTGGGTTGTGGACATCTGCGGTAGGCAGTCAGTCTGGGTGGGGTTTCCCCTTCCTTTGAGTGGCTGCTGATGACCAGGTTCAGAAGGCTTTGGGAAATCACTGGCCATTGGGATTTAAAACTCTCTGGGGACAAAGGTGGTGTCTGCTCCATTGCTTAGGTACCCGCTCTAGCAAGACCTGCACCTCAAGGACGAGCACTGGGCCGGGGGTCCCCAGGTCTCGGCCCCCAGGCCTGGCTGTGCCTCCGTGGCAGCGGCAGCCCTTTCCCACATGGCCGGGTGCTGCGGCTGGTAGATGCCGTGGCGTTCTCCAGACGCCCCCAGCTGGGGGACCATGGGCAGTGAACTTCCTGTATCTCAGACTCTTTGTTGTTAAGTGGGGAGGGTCATACTGGCCCACCCACCTCCTCAAGACTTTTGTAAAGAATGATTGACTAAAGCTTGTAGGACTCTTTCAGTAGCTATACATTGCTTTGTAATTGAAGATTATTGTTATTACCGACATTGCTAGATAAGTGCACAAAGAAGGCGATGCTGTAAAATAAGGCTCCGACAGTTTCAGAAACTTCAGTCTGGGGCAATTTTCACCCGAGGGTCTCAAGTACACGAGAGGCAGTATGAGCTGTCGTTAGACTGTACCAGGGACGTCAGTGCACTGTGACCGTGATCACGTCCAGTTCTCACAGTGACCCTTTGCACAGATGAGCTGCAGGCTTAGCTTGGGCGGCTTGCCCAGGGTCTCTTTGCCTTGAAGGCTGGCTCTGGGACTGGCGCACAGGCAGGCTGGTGGTTTTCCCCCATGCCCAGGGCAGCCGGAAGACTGGAATCAGGCCGCCTGGTTCTCCATGGCTATGGTGCTAAAGGCAGGGAGGTCCGCGGCCCTGGGGAGCTGAAGTCTGCCTGTGGGTCTGTAGTCCTTTCTGCTCTTATCTCCCAGGTCAGCGACCTCGTCCAGCTGGTGAAGGAACTGTATACAGACAACCAGCACCTGAAGAAAACCATTTTTGATCTCTCCTGCTTGGGCTTCCAGGGGGATGGCAGACTTGAGTCAACAGAACAAACGGAGGTAAGCAAAACATTGTCGTCATCATGTGCTAATTACCAAAAAAAATAACCCCCCAAATTCCTCAAGACTGCTTCTGTCCTGGGGAGTCACTATTGAAATTGGGGTTTTGAGGGCGCCCCCGGGTCTGTAATTGTAATGTCTGCAGGCTTCCTCATGTTCAGGTCATGTCTGTGTGGACACAGTCGATGTGTTGTGACGCTTTTGACCCCCAGTCCGGCCCTGGGACCCGTGCTGCAGATGGTGCGTCTGGAAGACAGTATGGTCGCAGAGGGGTCTGGAGAGTGGCCAGATCACCCAGATAATTTGTGTGGGTAGATGCTACATTAATGAATGCATTAACATCGAAAGACAAACGAGGAAACACAATTTTCACTTTCTTTTGTGTTAATCCTCTGAATTTGGTGCATCTTCTCACGCACGGCACCTGGGCCTCTGGATTTGACTGGACGCGTGTCGTTCCTGCCCACACACACCCGAGCACTCCTGCACTCTGCCACGTGCAGGGGACACGGCAGGGAGTCCACGGTCAGTGTCCCGCCAGCCCACAAGTCCAGGTTCAGGAGTGTGGGAGCTCACTACGGCCGCACTGAAGAGTTCGGCAGGGCCCCGGGAGGTGAAATCCTGGCGTCTCTGTCCGCGCACTGGCCGCTGCAGGGCGTGTCGTTCACTGGGCTTGTGCTGTGAGGGGGAGAGGCCCCTTCTCTCGGTTCCGCCCCAGCAAAGCCTGCTTCACCCTGATGGCTTCTGGTCTCTGCTCGTCCTCGTGATGGGTTGTATCCGGTTTTCTCTGTTCTCGGCCGGTGCTGGACACTGGAAGGACCCTGAAGCTGGGGCGGTGAGGAAGAGTTTGTTATTTCCTCCCGTTAGCCCCTAACTTGGCCGAACTCTCCTGCTTGCGGAGCCTTGCTCCCTGCACCCGACCGCCAGTTCAGAAGGCTGGCGCTCTTCTCACCGTGAAACGCAGGGGGACCTGTTTGTACTTGGGCCCCTGGAGTCTTGTTGGCTAGAGTTGGCTTGAGGTCAGCCTGGCAGGCCAGGTGAATGGAAGTCTCATTGCCACCTCATTTCTGGGGGTAAATTTGTCAGCTTTAAGCTGGCTCCTCCCCGCTTCAAAGTGGGAAACGCTCAAAGGTATTTGTGCTGCACCCTGGCCATCTGCTGTCTTTGAGAGAGGGAATATTATTGATCTAAGCCTCTGGGGCTCCGGATAATTTTCAAAACCAAGAAGATCTGCAGTCCATTTAGGGAGAAACAAGTCTCTTGGCTTATTTTCTCCAAGGCAGCATTTTTAATAAGCAGCTCATTCTTCACCTACTTCATTTGAGTCATAAATGGCGAGTTTGTTTGTTCATTTGCCCTTTGAAAAAAATCTGTTAAATGTCCCATTGTGTCCTTTGGAGAACAGAGGCTTTTTCCCCTTCCCACACTCTGAGATCTTAATACCAGCCGATTCAGACTGAGTCATTTGTCAGATCTCACTCGACCGGATGTTGCCTGTGAACAGCCCTGTCCTTCGCAGCACGGTTCTGGGGCCGGGCGATCCGCCGGGGAGGGGCCATCCGCCGGGGAGGGGCGATGTTCCCAAACTGGAGCCGGGGTGGGGGTGGTGGGGTGGGGGGGGGGATGTTGTTAGGGGCGGAGGGGATGCTAGGAGGGGAGGCGGAGGGCCGCGGAGTGGGCGTGGTTCTCTTTGGTGAGACCGGAGACAGGAGCACGCTGGACATGCTTGTCCAAAGCAAATATATTTTGTGATTTTAAACTTTGGTATTTTTTTGTCTGATATTTAATTAACCCACAGCATTACCTAATACTTGGGAAGGGGAGAAGAGAAATGACGCCTAATCCTGTCACTTTAAAATACTCACAGTTACCTAACACTTTGGAATCTTTTTCTGTTTGTGTGTATGAACACGTGTATGCCCGCAGGACATATACACAGTTTCGTTTTTTCCAGCCGTTGTACGTTAGAGCATCTTATGCGATCTTGTGAATGTACTGACATGTCACTGACTGCCTCACTGTTGTTGAACATGGAGGTTGTTTCCAGAGATTCATGATTTTGCATTTACCTGTGAGTGTCTTTGGACCCAGATCTTTCTCTGGGTTTAGGATTTTTTTTTCCTTAGACTCTATTTCCAGATATGTAGTTACTAGGTCAAAAATACAAATAGATAATAGGTATAAAATAGGCCTGTTGTTTATTTTTATATACCCTCCTCCTACATCTTTTAATTTGACAAAGGGGTATAAATAGCAGGAGGCCCATGACAGCAGTCTGTCAGGGTCGGCCTCAAACGGCAGCTGCACTGGTGTGCACTCCCCTGGCTGCTGCCCACTGCCCACTGCCCACTGCCCGAGAGGTGGCCGTGCACTTCCAAACCAGCCGAAGAGCGGACGGCCAGGCACAGGCATGCTTTTGTTTTCAAGTGCACTTGAACTCTCTCGTGAGGTTGCCCGTTATTTCCTTATGTTTATTTACTGGGGATTAATTCACGTATTGGAGGGAAGCGTGGTTGACCTTCAGGAGTGGTCTGAGCAGACGAGAGCCAGGGGAGTCTCTCCACCTAGATCCTGCTGTCTGCGTTTTCACCTGTCCACCTGTCCACCGTCACCCCGCCTTACCTTCTTGGTACATTGGACTACACAGACAGCAGGACACTTCCCCGTAAACACTTCAACACGCTCATCTTTCACCTGAGTGTGTTTTATAGTTATTTTTTCTCTCAAGGTTCATTTTGCACACAAAGAAATGAAGAAATCGTAACCCTGCATTTGATAAGTTGCACACGTCTGTGTACCTGTGCGGCCCGAATCCTGATCCCGATCATGTCCCTTCTGGTCACCTCCCACCCTCGCCCCCGGCCGCTTTTCTAGCTTTGTTCTGCCGCGGGTCAGTTTCACCTGTACCGGGCCTTCACGTGGGTAGAGTCGTACAGAATGTTTTCTCTCGTGGAGCGCTTTCTCACTCGGCGTGTTTTTGATCGTTACCCATGTCATTACACGAATCAACAGTTTATTCCTTTTTACCGCTCAGAGGTATTCCAGCGTATGAGCACATTGCGGCTCGTTCACTCATTTTGCTCGTGGTGGACGTTTGGATTGTTGGAGTCTTTGGGTGCTATGGCCAGAGCTGATAGGAATGCTCATATGTAAGTGTTCGTGTGGGCATATGTTTCCGACTCTCCTGATGAATACCTAGGAATGGGACTCCTGGGTCGTAGGGTTACTAGTTTCATGACCGATTCCAGTATTTGTCCCACAGTGGTTGGACATTTTATCCTCTCTCTGACAAGTTGAATAGTCCTGCTTGATCTGTATCCCTGAGGAAGTTTTAATAATGAGGGAAGAAGGCAGTAGCGAGAGAGGGTTCCTCACCTATGTGTACAAACTTTATGCTTAACAAGCACCCTTACGCATGTCTGGTCTGTGACCACCAGGTCCGTTTGATCCTTGCTGCAGATTCGTACGTGGTAGATTTGAACATATTCTGATTCCAGGAAGTTTCCTATGAAATGACTTTCCTGATTCAGTTTGCTGTGTTTCGCTTTTCTTCTTCCAAAACAAGGGTTTCCTCTAAAAAGTAAGGGCAGAAACACTTAAATTGGGCTGGGAGAATTATGGGGGTAATTGACTAAATGCAGGAGCTCATGGAATGAAATGGTGGCCGTAGATCCCCAGACATCTCCTGTGTACAGCATGCCCGGCATGTGGCTCAGCACTTAGTTGGGGGCTTCAGCACTCACTTCGGTGAGATGGGGTTCGAGGTAGCTACTGAAGCAGCTTTGACTGATTCCCTCCCTGGGTGTGGCCGCGTTTTCCCATTTTTAATTCGGTTAGCGCGGGTGTCCCATGACCAGCATCCTCCCTCTTCCAGGGAGCTGAGGTTTGGCCTTCTTGACAGCTTGGTCCTGTCCACTCTACAGAATGCGGAACCTCTGGGGCTTACACTTACTGAAAGCATTAGGAATTTGTGCACTTTTCATAAATAACTGTCCTTCATTTTCAAAAGCATGAAGTTATCAGCAGGGAAGCCTGACACTCTTTATTAGCAGTGAGGACCTCCTGTCAGCACAAGGGCAGCGTTGCTGGGACTGCCGTCTGTCGCAGGAGTGCGCCAGCCCGCAGAGGGGCCGACGTCCTGTGCTGAGCAGGAGGGGCGGTGCCGCATCAGGCACACCGTAACTTTCATTCCTGCTTCCTCGCCGTTTGATATTTTCAATTCCATCAGTAGCTGTTTTCCAAAATCTCGTTCCTCTTATACGATCTGAGAGTGGAGTTAGCCACAGCAGGAGTGTCAGCGGCACGACAGACAGCGTGTTCGGTTTCCAGCGGCCCAGGGAGGGCCCAGCATGGCCGCGGAAGTAGCTGGAGTTGTCTCCTGGGGGTCTGTCCTGAAGTGATGCCTGAGCCCAGGCAGCTGTGTGTGATCTGCCAAACCAGCAGCTCTAACTTCAGCTAATTTTATTTCATGGCTTTGCCATTTGTTTCTGCCTCTTTTTTGGTTTGTTTTTTTGTTTTGCATTATTTAAAAAAAAAGTCATCACTGACTTATTCATACATATTCATGCTGCATCTTTTTTTGGGTTGCATTTTCACACCATTCCATGCACCATGTAGCTTCCAACCAGCAAGGAGGACAAGGACACGATCAGAATTGGCAAGGATGACGAGAATAATTTCCTGAGTGGCCAGCATTCGGAGCAGAGTCACAAGGTAGGAACGTGGCAGTTAACTCCTCATTCCACCAGCCCCTCTCTGTGCCCAAGCCCGTCATCTTGTCTGGGGCGAGACCTGTGGCTTTTCTGTTCACTCCGCCTGTGCTGAGTGCCTGCCATGTGCCTGCGGAGAATAAAGAGACAAGAAGTTACAGACTGGATGGGGGAGCCGGTCGTGAAACAGCAAATAAACATATACTTGCAAATAAAAGCAGGGCTTCATTAGGAGAACAGTGGGCACTGGTTATGGGACCTGGGCAGATCTTTAGAGATCTAACCCGACCCATTTGTTGTTTGCATTGGAGACTGAGGCCCATGAGGGGGTGGTTCATCCAAGGCACAGAGTAACTCAGTGACAGTTGTTGGGATGAGAGCCCTTCTTTCTGGACTGCTGCAAGCTCACAGGTCATTGGCTTGCAGCGTCAGGAGCCACCAATAAAACCAAATGCCCCTTCTCAGGGGCCCTTTGCAGTCTCTTGGTCTGGAGCCCAGCTTAGCGTCATCCGGGCACTGATGAGAATTGGCCTCTGTCCACACAGACTGGGCCCCCAGCCACACTGGTCCTGGGCATTTGGAGCAAGCACTCTCCGAGTTTGAAAAGGACCCTAACGACTGGGATGTGGTGGGAGACAGGAGGCTGCAGATTTGACATCTGTGGCCTTCGAGGTGTTCAAGTTTGTGACGACGAATGGGAGATCATTAAAATGTAGATAGTTGTGTAGCTGAAGTGTAGAGAGCAAAGCAATTATAAGTGAGGGCTTTGAAATGAGATCTGATTTTGAGTCTTGGTCACTATCTCTGTGACCTTGGTTCACCTTTGCTTAACCCCTAAGCCTGAATTTCCCCGTCACTGAAGATAATAATACTTCTTGTTAGAATTGTTGTGATATTTAAATAGAAAGGCATGTACTAAGTGCTCAGTAAATGATAGCAATTACTATTTTTCTTATTACGTTCTAGACTTTTCCTTCTTGGGAGGTTGCTTATTTAGGTGGATTTAATAACTAGGTTGGTGGCAAATAAGGCCCTATAAATAACAGCTCATTTGTGTAGGTCTTGTCTCCCATTTAAAATCTTAATCATTTTACAAGTGTGGAGAGAGGAGTGTGATGGCTAGCGCATATATCACCAGCAGTGATGGAGTCACGGGGAGTTATTTATGGGTTGGCAGAAGAAATTTACAGCTTTGGGAAGGAGGGGCGAGGATGCTAATTGCAGCACCTCCAGACACGCTCAGCGCAGGCTTTAACTAGACGCTTCCTTGGCACCACTCCTCGGGGACCCTCGGTGACCTGAGAAGTTGGATCCGTAAATAACATCTCCATGGGAATTAGGAACTCTCCACTTTCCTAATGAGACAAATCAAAGTTACGTTAATTAGGATGTATCTGTAAGGAGCCAGTTGGCTTTCTGTTGTAGAATGGGGAGGCTACATCGCAACAGTACCTGTAAATGCCAGAAGCCCTGGCAGTGGCATGGGTTCTGTGCACTTGGCAGGAACAGCTTCCAAAGAGTGGGCTGTGGGGTTGGGGGCGTGCCCTAGTGGGTGGGGCCCTGAGCCCCACACACGTGGGTGAGTCAGTCTTCTCCTTCTGTTCTCACAGTCACCCTGGGAGGTGGCATTACTGTCCCCATTTTATAGAGGAGGAAGCTGATGTGAACATCTTTGTGCTCTTGCCAGAGCACCTCCCTGCTGTAGAGAGAGTGTGTGTGGCCCCGTGTGCCTGGGTCCCTTTCCCCCGCTCCCTCTCACTTTCTCCCGGGCTCACTGGTGCTCGCTCACTCCCTGTGTGTCTCCATCCTTTCTCCCTCCTCCACACGCCCCCTCCCCTCCTCCAGAGCCCATTATCTGACCAGGTACTTTGATGATTTACAGATTATTGAGGACAGTTCCAAAGAGGGCTGCAAAAATGGATACTTAAGGCACATGGATTCCAGTATTTTGGACCACGGTGGAGCCCACAGACCTGGCCATCCTGGAGACCCAAGTGTGGAGGAAGGCGAGCTCGGGAGCCTGCTTGCCCCTCTCCTCAACGAGAAGGCCGCGTCGTTACTGGAAGCCAGGTAGACGTGGGGCCCAGGTGTTGCCCTGTCCCTGTAGTCTGAGGGGAGAACAAGCTCATTTTGCTAAATGGCTGTAGATGGTGGTGCTGTGTAATTTACCTGAGAGAGCTCCTGAAAAGACGTGGAAGGAATCTTGCTCGTCATGCAATTAAGGAATGAGGCTGCACGCTAGTGGCTGTGAGGGGACTTCAGCGAGGCCTCACGCAAGTCCATTAGAGAGAGGAGAAAGCACGCTTTCCTTTGGAATTAGTCCTGTGAGCCCCAGACAGGGCTGTCTGGGTGTCGGCGACAGGAACCAGCCCCAGTGAAATTTCTTCCAGTTCTGCAGCCGCTTAAAAACTACTGTTGCCATTGTGACTGCTGTTTTATGTTGAGCTTGAACTAAAATTCTCCTCTCATTGTATCTGCTGGGAGTCGTTCTTACATGAGGAAATACTACAGGGTGTTTTTCTTAAAACAGAAACGGAGAAACAGTTAGTATGTTTATGTTTTTAAAATCAACCCTGTAGGAGCCAGCATTCCCCCTTTCGAGTTCTTTCCGGCCCAGCGACAGCCGCTTGGGCTTTGGAGCCAGAAGGAGCGGGGCCTCCTGCTCGGTGCCTCAGCCTGTCCGGCCGCTCTTCAGGCGTGGTGCGCGCGTGAGACCAGGTCCCGGGCGGGAAGACTGCTGGCCTGGCGTGTGCTCAGTAAGCGTTTCATTCTCTTCCAGCGTAGGCGGAGAAACGGAGCGGGTGCCACTGCCCGTGACTCTTGGCAAGAGCCGGGGACCCCACCGGTTCTGTGTCATTGGTGGACTGAGCCTCATGGGCATTTCTTTCACTAAAAAAGAAAAAAAAAGAAAGTGTTTTGTTTTTGTGAGCACACAGCAAGCTAACCCTTCCCCAACTCTGACATCGATCTAAAATTTTTCTAGCCTGAGTCCTCTTGGGGGACATGCCCAGTTCTGGTTTATTATCACAGGGAGTTAGATGACCACAGTCAGCGTCAGAGCCCCAAATAGTACATCGGAGTTAGAAGATGTGTGCCTCTCTCTCTCTCTCTCTCTCTCTCTCTCTCTCTCTCTCTCTCTCGTGCGTGCACTGTCTCTCTCAGGACCACCTAGAATGCACCTGGGTGACGTGAGCTGGAGAAAGTCCAGTGGGTGTGGGTGGAGTGGGGCGACTCGGGTGTGAGTGCTCCCTCCTCTTGGGCAGGAGCTTCTCGGCCCCACTGGCTGTTGTCCTGCAAACACGTGGGCTCGGAGCTTCCAGACTTCCGGCAGAAGCCCCTGGAAGAATATAATTTAGAAAATTATATTCTAAACCTCTTGATTTTTTAAAAAACAATTGAGACCTAGTTACATGTTTAAAGAAAGCACTCCGTGGACCAACATCCTTCAGCAAGCTCATGACGTGTCATGTAGTTACCTGTTCTCTGTAGGTTCTAGAGGTTTCCAGGCCATTGTGGACCAGTTCTAGGATCAGAAAAGACTTCCGTATGTAGGCCCAAATCTGCTTCCCCAGTCTCGTAGCTGTCATTGAGAGTGCATGCCATCGAGTTCCGTGACAGAGAGGTCCTGGATTTCGGGGCCCTCCTGAAGTTCTGACTGGGACCTGTGCCCCTTGCTGGCACACTACCCTGTGCTAGGGCCCAGGCGGGCACTTGTAGTAAAACCTCTGGTCACATTTAACCTCACACCAGCCTTGCATGCTGCTGGCGATCTCCTCTTTTGCTGTGGGAGCTGACTTTGGGGAGTTGACATTTCCTTAGCTGGTCAATGGTGCAGCCATTGGAGACTTTTCTGGAGTAGTCTTTGAGAAAGGCTCCTTGGCGCCCTGGCTGGGTAGCTCCCTTGTTAGAGCCTTGTCCCAGTACGCCAAGGTTGGGTGGGGGTCTGATCCCCAGTTAGGGCACATTCAGGAGTCAACCAATGGATGCCTAAATAAGCGGAACAACAAATCGATGTTTCTCTCTCTCTCTCTCTAAAAAATGAGTAAGTAATTATAGTAATAAGTAAAAAGACTCCTTGGGATAACCAGGATTCTGGTTGGTCAGAGAAACCCCATCTTCTGTCTGGGTATACCCCCTAGAAGCCAGGTGGTTTTGGTGCACTGGGAAAAGCAGAGTTTCAGAGTCAGACAGACAGACCAGGGCTCCGGTTCAGCTCTGTCGGTTAGACCGTCCCCATCTTGGGTTCCTCATCCACCCCATAGGTATCTTCTGAGGATTAAGTGCAATGATGGGCATATAGTATAGATCCAGGTTAGCATGAGGTGGGATTTTAGTGATATTACTGCTTGAATTGTGCCCTGCCAGTTACTCCTACCCTGTCCCACTACCCTCAGGTGAGATTTATACCATATGCAAGACACAGTGGCCAGCCTGGGGTTTGTGCCTCTGAGGTCATTGCTGAGCCATGTCCGCTAACCCCAGTGCAGAGCCGGCATCGATGTGGCCTGAGAGTTCCTTCACTTTTGTGCTCCCCCACCTTCTAGCCGTCCTGGGGCTCAGAGGCTGGCCGACGAGCTGGGCCCCTGGACGGCTCTGATTCGACTTGCCCGTCCGCCAGGGTGGAGTAAGGAAGCAACTTGTCCAGTAGTTACCTTAGCCTAACTAGTTGTCTTGCACTTGACCAACTGGAGCGGGATATTCTCAGGAGGTGGGGTGAAAGGGTCGGTGCAGGCCCCGCCTGGCCGCTCCCCCTCTCCTGCGGTGGGCTATCCCTGGGTTGGCTTCCAATTCGTTTTGGCCCCATTCCTGGGAGGACATGGTTTAGGATGTTATTACCTAAATGTTTTGGTCTTTGTAGCCTAAAATTAGGTGTGAAATTTGATATCTAAAAATCTAAAAAGGTAGCCCTGGGGGATTATTTTTTTCTTCAAAGCTAATTACAGTCTTGAGCTTTACGTAGTAGAAATGGGGAAGCTAGCTCCTAGGAAATCGGAGTCTGCCCTGCTGGGCACGGTGGAGGGACAGGTAGGGCACCGCCAGAGAGAGGCGCCGGCGAGGGGTCCAGAGAAGAGTGGAAGTGAGCAGATGAACAGCTGGAGGGACTCGGCAAGGGCCTGGGGTGCGGTCGGTGCCGAAGAGGGACTAGATCTGTGGGCTCCAGGCAGGACCTCCTTGATTCTCCCCTTTTCTTCACCTCCCAAACCTACGTCTGCCTCTTACGTCGTTCTTAATTGACACACTTCCCACCACCCCTGCTGCCTCCCGCCCATCCTTAGCTCTGTCAGAGTGCTCCGGCATCGCTGCAGCAGCCTCCTAACTAGCCCCCTGCAGCCACCCTCGCCCCTCCAGTCTGTTTTCGACACTACTCCCAGAGCAGTTCTCTGCCTAAAACTCTTCAGAGACCCTCCGCTTTTCCTGGGATCAAAATCATTAACACGGCCTGCGGGGCCCCATTAGTGTGTCCTGGCCGCCTTGTCTTTCGGCTCTGTTCCGTCCCCACTGTTCCTGCTTTCTGTGCTTCTTCTCTCAGCCCCCGGAGTGAGCTGACTGCCCATTTCAGAGCCTTTGCACATGCAGAGGTTGAACGTTCCCTCCCCAGGGCACAGGTAACCCCTGTCCATCTGTTGCATCCAACCCTTTCTCAAGACCTCGTCTTGGCCATCTACTCATGGGACATGCAACCCTGTGACATCAGATTATCATCACTAATTTCAGAACGAGCATTCAGCATTGCCCAGCGCAAGACAGTTTTTTGCAGCTTCTCCTCTCCCTGCCCTGACCGGTGATCCTGCCTTATACTTCATTGAAAAAACAAACAGTGAACTCAAGCTATTTCTCCTTTCCTGCCAGAGCGACCAGCTTATTTGCCTCTGTATCCACCACCTCGGACTGTCCTGCTGTCAGAAGGGAAGAAACACATATCCCGCTCCTATGGAGGACCAGCCACCCCCCCCGGGGTTCACAAGCCCCTGTCCTCTTGGGGCGCCCTCTCTTTTCTGTGTCCTCGGTAACTGAATCATTTCCATGAGCATACGGCATGCGTTTGTATCACCCATTTGGGAGAGGTTCCTCCTGCACCCTCCCCTCCCCAGTTTCACTCCAGCTGCTGCTGCCCCATTTCCATATTCCCCTGAAAGGCACGGTTTCTTTCTTTTTTTTTTAAACTTTGCAAATAAATGTTTTTATTTGTTTTTTTGTGTTTATTTTAAAAAATATTTTATTTATCTATATATTTTTAATCTTAATTTTTTAAATTGTTGTTCATGTACAGTTGTCTCCATTTCCCCCCCATCCCAGCCACCGCCACCTCCCACCCTCGATCCATCCCCCTTTGGTTTTGTCCGTGTGTCCTTTATAGTTGTTCCTGAAAACCCTTCCCCCTTTTTCTCCCCATTATTCCCTCCCACCTTCCCTCTGGTTACTGTCAGTTTGTTCTTAATTTCAAAGTCTCTGGTTATATTTTGCTTGCTTGTTTGCTTTGTTGATTAGGTTCCACTTATAGGTGAGATCATATGGTGTTTGTCTTTCACTGCCTGACTTATGTCACTCAGCATGACTCTGTGTCCGGTTCCACCCACGCTGTCACAAAGAGTAGGAGCTCCTTTCTTTCTGCTGCGTAGTATTCCATCGTGTAAATGTACCACCGTTTTTTGATGAAAGGCAAGATTTCTTGGAAGAACCATTCCTATTCACTGTATCCACTTTCTTTCCTTCCATCCTCTCTTTATCTTATCCCGAGGGTGTCATACCCTTCACTCCGCTTATCAAGGTCAGTGACTGTCTCCAGGTTGTGAAGTTCAGTGGCCAGCGTCAGCCTTCCAGCAGCAGCAGCCGGCCCCTCTCTGTGGCCTTCCGTTCACGACTCGCCCTCCCTGCTTGCCTCTGCCTCCCTGGCCTTTCCTTCTCGGTCTCCTCTGCTGCCTTTTGAATGTTGGAGTGTCCCAGGGCTGTGTCCTTAGCCCACGTCACTATGTCTTCCCTCTCCCATGGCTTTTGAGTATGCTTTGGGACTTCCAAATTTATACCACAGCCTAGACCTTCTCCAAATCTCCAAATCATACAGTCAGCTATCTGCTTGACATCTCCACCTTGATGTCTAAAAGATGTGTCAACATTAATCCGTCCAAAGCCAAACTCCCTGTCCTGATCTTTCTCGTGTCAGTTAACGGCACCGCTATCTGATTGGTGTAGCCGAAAGCCTAGTTTCCACAATCCCCGTATCCATCAGCAAGTCCCACTGATCCCACACTCAGTGTGTACCCCTGTTCAGCCACTTCCCCTCTCTTCTACTGGTCTTGCCCGGACTCCCACAGCACAGCCTCCTCTGCAGGCCGTTCACCACAGAGCAGCCGGAGGGGTCTTTTTAAAAAATTTAGATCGGGTTATGGCCCTTCCACGCTTAAAGCCCTGCAGTGGATTTCCGTTGCCCTTACAGTGAGACCAGAGCTTCCTGGCCCGGTTCTGCTGTTTCTCTGTCTTTATCACCTGCCTGTCTTGTTCGCCGTGGCCCAGCCACACAGCCTTCTCTCTGTCCCTCAGGTGTCCCAGCCTGTTCTCATCTCAGGGCCTTAGCCGCAGCCATTCTCTCCAGCCGGAATGCTCTTTTCCTGGGTGCACACAAGGCCGGCGGTGTCTCTGCTGGACATCGGCTCTGCGGAGCCCTTTCCCGACCGCTCTGTGTAAAGAAACTCGGCTTCTCCTCATTGCCTCGGGACTCCCTCCTTCCCTTCCTTCCTCCCCTCCTCCCTCCCTTGCTTCGCAGTACTCACCATCGCTGCCACCGCGTGGATGTCTGTCTGTCTCTCTGTCTGCTCCTTAATGATGTCTAAGCTCCATGATTCCTCTTCACTGTGCATTGCCACGGCCATACATGACACATGGGGGGCGCTGTGCTCAGTAAGTACTTGAATGTGCAATTAAGAGCTCAGCATTCTAGCAGGAGACATGTTTAGAAAACGGGGCAGAGCGCCATGCTTCTTTGGAGTCAGGAAGGCCTGAGTTCCAGTCCTTGCTCTGCCCTTTGCCAGGGCTCTTGGATCTTTAGGAGCCCATTTCTTCACCTGTAAAATGGGCTTGACATTAGTCCCTGCCTTACAGTCTTACTCCGAGGACTGAACGCAGTTAGTGTATTTAAAGGATCTGACACCGGCAAGTGCTTCATAAACGTCAGTTCCTTTCCCCTTACACCTTCCGTGTGTCAAGATGCCCAGGGGGCACATAAACAATGTTTGGGCTCCGACAGGACCCTTGGACTGGACCATTAAAAAGGTCCCCGTTACAGTGACAACTTAATGAATCTACTGTTCATGTTTCTAGCGAAAGGAACACTCGCTATATTTTATTTAACAGCACACCACTTTAGTGTATTATAATGGCCTCTCTCACCACCTTTTACTCCCCATTTGTAAAGTCCTTTTCCTGGGTTTTATTGTGTATTGTTTGGTTGTGAGTAATGGTGCTCCTTTGGCTAGCTGGATAGCGATTGTCATTATTTTTAATCTACGTTAAGGGAAGGAGAGGGAAGGGAAATTTAGCTTAACACAGTTAAAACACCAGAAATATTTCTAATAGTCTGGGTTTGCTGAATTTTAAGATGGTTTGTATAGTCTAAATGATTTCATATTAGAAGTGAAAAATGCACCAGACATTTTAATTTTGTTTTTTATAATTTTATTTTTTACTCTGTTGTGGCGTGTGGGAGCTGTCTCATTTGAATTGAGTTGACTCTGCCCCAGAGCCAGATGGTCGGAATCCAGGTGGAGACCTGGCCCTGCCTTGCCCTGAGAGGGCTCAGTGGGGTAGGGGGCGCTAGGGCTCCTGTCACTGCCGGCGGTGGCACGGACCCAGAGCGAGGGAGGCTCAGGGTGCTGGTAGGTGCAGTCCGACTGCCCCACAAGGATCTGGACATAAGGCAGGCCGGAGAAACTGCAGAGAGAACAAAGAGAGACCTGACACCGCTGAGGGCCTCCCCTGTCCCCGCCGCTCCCCTGGCTGCGGCCGCCTCCGCCCGCCCCGCAGCTGCCTACTGCTGGACGAGGGCCACAGCGCTCCCGCCTCTCCCACCGTCCTCGCCCCCTCCACTGCCTTTCTTCATCATTTGCTGTCTCAATTTCACAACCTCTCCTTTTTTTTACAAATTTCTTTTTCTCTTATATTTTTAGATGATTTAAAATGCTTATTTTAAAATCTTCAGATTGCTTCGTTATTTCTGTTTTCTTGAGTGTGAGCTCTCACTTGTTGGTGTTATCTTTCATAGTAGTGGGTTTTGCTGGCAGGCTTGTTTTGCCTATGGTAACAGCCCTGCTCCATCCCCTCCCCTTACCCTCTCCGTGCGGTGGTTTTGCCTCAACCTGACTTTTGAGGGCTTAGGAAATTTGCGTGGTTCTTCTTCCTCCATGGGAGTTGAGTTGCTGGTCCTGCTGCTTTCTGCAAATGTCCCTTTCTCCTGACTTTGGGTCTCTACTGTTTCTGACCTTTGGATAAATTTTATCTTGATTTTGAATCCTGTAGTGCACCTTGAAACATTTTGGCTGTTCCGGGTTTGTGCTGTCCTTGCATGGGTGTAGAACTGTGTGTGCTGACACCACCTTCTGGACAGGAAACCTTTCCATTCGTTCCTTACCCCACAGTCCGAGTCGCCTTGCCACAGCACTGTGGCTGCCTGCTCCCTTGCACAGAGCCTCCAATGGCTCTCCTTTCCCCAGCATGGCTGGCTCCGCCCCTGCCTCGCTCCCAGCCCCGCCTCCCTGTTCTCCAGGGTGTCCTGACTGTGCTCCTATTGTTTTCCCCGCTGAGGCTCTTCCATTTTCCTTTCCCCTGGCCAGCCTCTGTCGACTCTACAGTCCTTTTCTGACGTTCTTCCTGCCACCCAGTCTTGACGCTGGAGCTGTTGCTCTGCAGCCCTGCCACACTTGCACGGTGCCGTGTGTCTCTGCACCCTGTGGAGGAGTAACTTGTGCACATGCCTGTCTCCGACAGCAGGCTCACTCCTCGCAGGCAGTTCTGCACCCCCAGTGCCCGTTACGAGGACTCTTCTTGAACCACTCCACGGTCTTTTACATGCTGGCTCAATCTGAGTTCCTGGGAACTCGGAGCCTGAAATAAGGACTTGGGTGCATGTGGTTTATTCGGAATGGTGATTCTGGGGGGTAGGAAGGAGGAAGCAGGGAGAGGAAGGTAGAAATGAAGGGCACCTTACCGTTCTCGCTACTGCTGTGGGCAGCTGGGGCTCGGTCCCACTGGGCACCCTGTGAGGGACGGCACAGACTGTGCCTTAATGTTGGTCCCTCTGAAGATGGGAGCCTGGGGTGTTTACTCAATGGCTCTCCTCCTTCATTGCTTGAGGGCGTCCCTCAGGTACTCACCGGTCCCCACTCCCTGCTGCCCAGCTGGCTGGCCCAGAGGGCTCTGGGAAGAGTCCCACGGCAGCAGAGCGGGCAGGGAGAGCTCGAGGTGGGCCTGTCGTGTGCGCTGCCCACACGGCTGCAGCTGCAGTCCGAGTGAGGCCCAGGGCGTGTGGCAAGGGGCATGGAAAACATCTGCCCATGCGCTCTCTGATTTAGCCCTCAGAGCTGTCCTGTGGAGGAAGGCTTGCCTTACTTTCACAGAATCGCAGGTAGAATTCGAGTCCATTTTTGTCGGATTTTAGAACCACTGCTTTTCCGATTGAGAGCAGTTTATAATATCCCTTTATTCAATCCCTAGTTACTGAGCACCGATTCTGCATCGTGACCAGGTCACTGGTGGGTCCACCAGCCTGGCCAGCTTCATCCAAAGCCAGATTTACCCCCCAGACGCAGGCATAGGCCAGGGGGGCAGGGGGACCTTGCATTGTCACGAGTACTTTGTGACCCTGTTTGTTCCTTTCCTAGGTCCAGCCTGCGTCCATTCAGCCACTCGGCCCCCTTGCTTACTGTGCTGCTTATGTCAAACTAATTCTCTTTTTCTTCATAAAACAGACATGGTGGTACCTACCTTGTGTGGTTGTGCGGTGACGTGGGGTAAAACACTAGGAGTGGTTCCTGACACGTGGTGGGCACTCCCTGGGCCATTCAGGAGGGAACCCCGGGGAACTGCACGGGGACGAGGCCAGAGCAGAAGGCTTAGTTCTGCCCCTTCTTTTCCTTCCGGTGAAACAGGCCCGACTTCCTGAAAGAGCTGCGTGAACTGCTTCTGGGACGAGGATGCTTGCCAGAGCAGGCGGTTTCTGGAGAACACCCCGATGGGAAAACTGAGGAGACACTCAAGCAGATGGCTGTGCAGCTGAGAGGTGAACTCAGACAGTTCCTCCAAGCCAGCTCGTTTCCCCAGCCCCACGGCGACCTGAAGTCACCTTGGGGAGCCCCGCTGGTGAAGGCTGCTGGGCCAGCCAGGGTGGAACTGAGAGATGCCTCGGTGCAGACCACGGCCACGGAAGGCGACGCGCTCGGATTCAGGCAGGAAGCCAGGAGCGGGGCTTGGGAAGAGACCCCGACAGATGCTGCGTTCAGCACAGAGCACCCGCCCGACAACTTGGACGGGATGCCAGGGCGACAGGCCGCACCCCCTGCCTTCTTCCCCAGGGCTGACAGAGTGAGTTTTCCGTACGTCACTTACTTAGTACAAACAGAAGGCTTAGAGAATCTCCCAGGTTTGTCTAAAACTGGATTTATGTAAAACCCGCATCCTCCTCTGCCTGCACTTGTCCCGGCCTCTGCTGAGAGGTGTGCGTCCGCCCTGACCTTCCCGAGAGTGTGCCTGCGTGTCCCCGTCTCTCCTCCCCCATCCCAGCCCTCTCTCAGTGGTCTCTCTGTCATGACACTCACGTGCTTTCCTCCCACAAATAGTCACGTGTGCCCCTCTGTCTGTAGCTTTCTCTCTCATGTTATGCGTTCAGGCCCGTCTCTTCTCATAATGGCCGTGTACACCTGCATTGTGTGGAATGCACTTAAATTTACATAATTCTCACCTATTGCTGGACATTTACCTTTTCAGGATGCAATAAAATTGTAGTAGCCAGATTTTAGGGGCAGGGATGAGAAGCTAGGTTTTAGTTTGTGCAGACTGTGTGTCTGAGAGGGCCTATTCTGTGGCCTTTGTCTGCATCCTGTGATCCTTACGCAGCGGAGCTGAGGAAGCCAGATCCCGAGGGCCTGCGGTTTGCCCGCAGTAAAGGGGCCGAGCAGGGACCCTCATTGCGCCTGTGTGCACAGCCCTGCCCTCTCCCTGGGTCAAGCCACCCTCCAGCCCGTGCTGGCCTGACGTGGTAGGGTCTCGTTTTGTTGAGTGAATGTATGCATTTTCTTTCTGCCAAGATGCTGTCTCTAAGTTTCTCCTCAAACACAGTCCAGTATACCAGCTTATTAAAAACTGACTCTCCTGGTACTGTTCGATTGGGCCTTTTGCTTGAAGTCCTGCTGGGAGGAGGGGCTGGGGCTGGGAATCCCCATTGCAGGGAGATGTGAGAGTTCTGGTAGAGAAGGGAACAGGTTGTGTTTCTGATAGCGCTCTAGTGGTGGCTATTGGTGTTCTTGTTTGTGATGGGTGTTCCGTGTCTGAGAAATCAGCTGTACACACCACTTTACAACATCAGAATGGAGAATTAAGTTTATTTTCTGACCACCAAAATTACTGCTTTTGTGCATTCCAAAGACAGTTAGATAAATCATTAGCAAAATTGCTCTTGATTGTTTTAAATTATGCACCAAAACTGTAATTTCTAGAAAAGGGTTTTCTAAAGATATCAGTAGAGACGAATATATATAGAGACACTGCCATTATATTAATGGTTCTTGAGATGCAATTTGGCTAGAATAGAAATGCTCTCCTCTTCCCCATCTCCTTTAGTTTCTACCTATATGTTAGAAAAACTAGAATCCCCCACCCATTTGTATGGGAGACATCATTCTGTGTTCAGGAAGTTTAGATAATTGAATGGACTTAATTTCCCCAAATATATTGATGTACTTTTTTGAGTTTGGAATTATCCTTTTTGCTTGTGTCTTAAAAAGAAAGGTAACAGTGCTTATTTTTTAGCATTTGCTCTGTGTGCCGGGATGGTGCCAGGTACCTGTGCACACTTCATCACGTTTATCCTTCCTAGCAAGCATGTGACTTAGGTAGTTATTACCTTCTTTTTACTTGGGAAAAGGTAGAGGCTGTGAAAGGGTCAGAAAATTGTCCACAGTGACTCAGCTGCTAGGAGGAGGAAGAGGGGTGTAAACCGAGGTCCTGTTTTAGACGTAGACAGGGGTCTTACAAGACAGCCTTTCTCTGGAAGGGAGGAGCCCTCTTACCACCCTGGTGGCCTCCATTCTATGCGGAGTAGAAGAAAATTCAGTGATTTTCCTTGTGGTCTTTGGTTAGTCAGTGCATCAGTAATCCCAAGGCTTATGACGCCAGAACTCTGGTATCCATCACTGTGGCCATCACTGTGGCCATAAAAAGGCCATCACTGTGGTCCAGCATGGGAACAAAGAGATGGATATGCTTCCAGTTGTTTAGTTTGAAGGGCGAGAGGATGGACTTCACAGCTATACCCGTGATTGCATCGGGCCTGGCCATTTAGCTACTTTGAGTCCTCGGGTAGATCACCCAGCTGTTCCCAGTGGCTTGAACGGGCTCAGTGTGACCTAGAGCCCGAGGCTGGCATGATGAATACATGGGGTCATGTGTGGTAAGTGCCTTATCCATGGTAGGAGCTCCGTGTGTGTGCCTCCTTGTTCCCCTTCCATTGCCAAGTGGGAAGTTCCATGATGCCATCTTTAATAAGGTGGTAGGTGGGAATCTGTTCAGCATCCATAAGGTAGCATTTTCTGGGGTGTTATTTTAGAACCGGCATTAGGTTGACTGACGGCAGTCTTCTAGCCTGAAATTGGCTTTGGCATTTGTGCACTTGGAGATATGTTTTTGTTGCCATCTGACACACAGATTTGGATCCAAGAATAAAGATTGGAGGAGACGGAGGACCAAGCAAATGACTGTTATTTTCCAGTCCTTTTTGATGAGGCAACCACCTCCTCCCAGAGGGGTCTCTTTCACTACCACTAGTGTTCTTGTCCTTGAACCTGTCCTCTCCTCTTCCCTGGAATTTCAGGGCAGCAAGTACCTCACTTTTCTTCACTGGGCAATAGATTCTGAAGAGCTGGTTTAGGTTCCAACGGTCTAACCTTGTTTATGACATTGACTGGTTTTTTGACATCTCAGTTCTTGTCTGGAAAATAAGCATGATGACTTTGGTTATCCTGTGAACTTGGGGAATACAGAGTTTACTTGAGGGTTCTGGGAGAATGTGCTTGAAAGCATTTTATATCCTAGAACATGCAAGAAAGGGGTTTCCCTCTTTCGTTCCTGAGAGACCTCGCTGATCTTCTCATTCCCAGGGTCCCAAATATTTCCTGGTCTCCTCAGGTTCCTTTCCCACCACTTAGAAATACCTTATGTAGATATAATTCACATCTCATACAGTTTATTTATTGAAAGGGTACAATGTAGTGGGCTTTAAAAATGTATTCGTAGAGTTGAACAAGCATTATTGTAGTCAATTTTAGAACATGTTCATCCTTCCAAAAGAAACCTTGAACCCATTTGCAGTCACTTCCCATCCCCCCTGCCCCGGGCTGGCCCATCCCATTTGTAGGCAACCACGGACCCCCTTCCTTCCTCTCTGTCTTTTTATACATTCACCTGTTCTGGACAGTTCGTGTGAATGGAATCCTGTGCTATGTGATCTTCCATTCAGCGTAGTGTCTTCAAGGTTCATCCATGTTTTAACCTGTAACACTACTTCATTTATTTCTACTGCTACACAGTCCATTGTATGGGTGTGATACATTTAATTTATCCATTCATTAGTTGATAGACATTTGGACTGCTTCCACTTTTTGCTTATCATGAGTAATGTTGCTGTGAACTTTCTGTGTGCAAATTGTGGTGAGTGTACATGATCTAATTTCTCCTGAGTGTGTGCCTGGGAGTGGAACTGCTGGGTCACAGGGTAAATCTGTGTTCCACCTTCTGAGGAACTGCCAGCCTGTTTTCTGAAGTGTCCGCTCCTCCTCTGCATTTTCACCAGCGAGGCAGAGGGTTCCCACTCCTCCACGTCTTGGCTGGCACTCATTGTCTTTTTCACCGTAGCTGTCCAGTAAGGAGGAAGTGGCACTGTTTCATTGCAGTTTGACTTATATTCCCCTGGTGACCGCTGACGTTGAGCATCTCTTCCTGTGCTCACTGGCCATACGCATGTGTGAGAAATACGTGTCTCCGTTTGAGAAATGTCTGTCAGATCCTTTGATAGAGCTTTCACTTGAGTTATTTGTGTTTTTAGTATTGCGATTTAATATTTTTTTATGTATCCCTAGATTCAGTCTCTCTCCTCAGTGTTTGAATATGGTTAAAGTTCCCGCACTGGAAAGGCACCCTCAGTTGACCTCTGAAGTTACTGCTGCTTGCTCATCCCACAGTCGTTGTGGGCCATCTGCTGTGTGCGAGTTCTTGTCCTGGAAGCTGTGGGTAGAGTGTGGCCAAGAAATGCAGAGTCCCTGAACTCTGGCTTGCAGCAACTAGACCAAGAACAAGAATTGCACAGGCATTTAATCACAGTGGTACTAGTGCTGTCCCAGGAGAGCTGTAGGGAGGGAGCAGTGAGTGTATTACAGGCAGATCTGGCCTGGTCTTGGAAATGGAGGCCCATTTTCCCGAGCAAGGCGCATTTGAACAGAGCCCTAATGACTGTATTGGGATTAGTGGGTGAAGCGGGGGATGTGCAGGAAAGAGTGTCCAGGGCGGAGGAGGCAGCGTGTGCCAAGGCTCTGAGGTGGCAGGACGCTAGCACTTTGAAGAACTGACGGAAGGCGGGTAGTTGGCAGTAGGGAAGTGGGGAGGGGCAGTAACTCAGGCTGGAGGTCCTGCGCGGCGTGGGCTGTGGTCGAGACTGACCTCGTCACCAGGAACTGGGGAGCAGTTAAACTGGTGTAAGCCGAGGAGATGAATGGTGGGTTTGCCTTTTCTGTTGCAGTATGGAGAGTGGACTGGAAAGGGCAAGGGTGAGTGTTGGGGGGACCACTCAGGACGCTGTGGCCGTGGCCTAGTGAGAGCATCTTGGAGTTGGGTGGTGGCAGTGGAGAATGAGAAGAGTTGAAAGAATTCAGAGACAACTTGGGAACTGGAATGAATGGAACTCGGTGAGTGATGGAAGTGTGTGATGAGTATACACAGGGAAGTTTAAAAGGACCCCCACATACTGGGTTTGCCATAAACTGGCCGTGGTGTGATTCACCAAGACAGAGACTGCTGAAGGGGCCCAGCTTTGGGGGCGCTGGGTGATGGACTTGAAGGGTTGAGTTTTCATTTGACTTTGGAGCACGTGGGAGCCGTTGGAAATGAAGATGCCTGGGATGGGCGGGCCAGGAGCTCTGAGCCTGGGGAGTATTTCATGGATCAGTGACTCGGTAGCCACTGAACACTTTAGTAGGAGGTGGGTCTGGTAGACTAGCAGGGGTGGGGGGCAGATTGGCTTGGTCTGAAGGATGGGTGGGAAATGAGGAAATAGACAAGGAGGAAGGAAGTGTTTCCCAGAAGACTGTGTTGGAAAAAAGACGGCCACATGTGGAACGTCTGGAATGTCCAGAGGGACGGTGGGCCAGGGCCAGAGGGGGTCACAGAGGAAAAGCTGGACACTTGCCAGGCAGCGGAGGGACTTGCCAAGATCTAAGCTCTGTAGACTGGGAGGCCAGCGTGGATGCCAGTGTAGGAACCAGGAGTCTGGACAGCGGTTTGCACTCCGTTTTAGGAGGTTGGCATGAGACAAGTGCAGGGAGCACAGGGAGTCCCAAACAAGATGGATGCAAAGTGGCCCACTCCAAGACACATCAACATTAAAATGCTAAAGGTTAGATAAGAAGAGAATCTTAAAAGCAGCAAGAGAAAAGCAGTTAGTTACCTACAGGGGAATTCCCATAAATCTGTTAGATGATTTCTCTGAAGAAACTTTGCAGGCTAGGAGGGATTGGCAAGAAACACTCAAAGTTATGAAAAGCAGGGACCTATAGGCAAGATTGCTCTATCCAGCAAAGCTATCATTTAGAATCGAAAGGCAGATAAAGAACTTTCCAGACAAGAAAAAACTTAAGGAGGTCATCATCACCAAATCATTATTATATGAAATGTTAAAGGAGCTTATTTAAGAAAAAGAAGAAGATTAAAACTATAAACAAAATATGGCAATAAATACATATCTATCAACAAATTGAGTCTAAAAAACAAACTAAGCAAATAAGAAGAACAAAGACAGAATTATAGATACAGAGAGCATTTTGATGGTTGCCAGATGGGAGGGGGTGTGGGGGAAATGGGTGAACAGGTGAGGGGATTAAGAAGTACAAACAGGTAGTTACAGAATAGCCATGGGGATGTAAATTACAGCACAGGGAGTGGAGTCGCCAAAGAACTTATACACATGACCCATGGACATGAACATGGTGTGGGGATTGCCTGAGGGAGTGGGGGTTCTGGGTGGAGGGGGCAAGGGGGGGAATCAGGATAACTGTAATAGCATAATCACTAAAATATAGTTTAAAAAAAGATTGGCATGAGCCTGTTGACTGTGTGACAAAGGAAGTGTGTTCATTGCTGTCTGTGTGTGCGTTTTTAGGAGGCTAAGAAGTCCCGCTTGCCCATCCTGATGAAACCTTCCCAGTCGCTGGGAAGTGTGTGCCGGCTCCCTGACCCACAGGAGGTGGTGGCCCAGCTGCGGGGCCAGATCTTGGAGCTGCAGGGGGAGCTGAAGGAGTTTAAAATGCGCAATAAGCAACTTCACCAAAAGTTAATTCTGGCTGAAGCAGTGACGGAGGAGAGCCCAGTGCCAGACAAAACGCTCCTGAAAGGTAAGCACCTAGAAAAATGCGTTCCCCGCGAGCTAGATGAACGACCCGATAGCACCGCTGGAAATGTCAGCCTTGTTGTTTGGAATTGCAATAAGTTTGAGTGTAAATTTTATGGATTGCAGTGATTAATCTTGACTCTTGACAAATATACAATCGAGGGAAACAATCAGGAAAATGAATCTATTGTTTTCACTTTCTTGTGGCGGCTGGTTACAGCCAGGGGCTCGCGGCGCTCACAGGTCTTCCGAGGTCACTGCTCCCTTCCCTTGGGGTTGTCTGCAGGGGCCCCCCGTTGGGAGGGCTTGGCCCTGGGCATTTTTTCCAGCTTGGTCTGTGGAAGCCTCAGGCATGAGACATGGGGCATCTGAAAGTCCTCTTTGCTGGGTTCTTTGGATCGTCCAGGGCTGATTCCAAGCCCTGCTGACCTTACGTCTGGCTCTACGAGTGACCAGCCTCCCCACCCGCTTGAATCTGCTGCCTGTGCTCTCCCGAGAGCTCCCAAACCAGAGAGTCCCTGGGTCAAAGCAGACTTGGGGGGAGCGCCTCAGGCGGGCCCTCTAGGACGGGCAGTGCTCTCGGAGATTTGGGACTGCCGCCCCTGTGTGCCGCCGGAGAAAGCGGAGGGCCCCTCACAGAGCAAGGGTACCTGCTCTCCAGAGGGTTCTCAAGTCCACGGAGGCGCTTAGGTCGACTCCTGGTTGTGAACATCCGCTATAAGCAGATGAGAGCAACACACAACAATAAGAACAATAGCAGTAATCTTGTATTTATCTATTCAGAAAGCGTTCATTAAACCCTCCTGTGAGCCAAGCTCTGCTTTAGTCACGGGGGAGCTAGGAGTGAACAAATCAGATGAAGTCTGGGTCTAACTTACCTCCTTGTGTGTGTGTGGGGGGGGGGGGGTGGAAACCATAAGCCAGTGAGCAGATAAAGGAGGTGTGAGATAAGTGCTGTGGGGAAAATAAGACAGGGATGCTGTGGAATGGGGGGAGTGTTTGCTAATGCCCATGGAATGTTCTAGAAAGTGTCCCTGATGAGGCGGCATTTAGACAGAAAGCAGGGGGAAGTGAGTGGGCTGCTCCTCTTGGTAGAAGGAACGAGGGCAAAGTCCCCGATGTTGCTTTGAGCTCACAAGTCGGATGAATAGGAAGAAGGTCGCTTGTATGGCTGGACTGGAGTGAGAAGGTGGGAGATGGAAGAGGTCAGGGAGCTGGCAGGTCAGGGCAGGGACTTGCAGGCTCTTTCCAGGCCTCCACCTGTCACCCCAGGTAGGCCCGGAGACTGCCGGAGGGTTTCCAGCAGCGAAGTGATGTGATCTGACTCGAGCTCTAAAGCAGGGACTCGTAAACTGGGGCCTGTTTGCACAGTTTCACTGGAGGGCAGCCATACTCAGTCACTGGCGTAGTGTCTGGGACTGCTTCTGCACCACGGTGGCAGAGTGGAGCAGTTGCAGGAGAGACCCTGTAGCTCCCAAAGTCTAGAACATTTATTACTTGGCTTTTAAGAAAAGCGGGCCAACCTCTCTCCGTTAAAGGACCACCTGAATGTGAGCCGCCGGAAGGACGGAGTTGTCATGCAGTAAGTGGGGAAGCCTTCAGGAGACCCAGGCCTCGGGGGTCTGGTTCCAGACTTGGGGGAGATGCCTGCTAGCCATCCCAGTGGGCACGTCAGGTAGGCAGCTGGAGGTCGACGCGTCTGGAGCACAGGGAGAGGTCTGGGCTGAGCTCAGAACATAGGAAATAATCACCGTGCCCCTGGTATTTGAAGCTGTACGACCCGGAGACATAGGGAGTGGGCCCAGGAACTGAGAGTGGGGTTCTCTGCTAAGCAGAGGTTGGACGGAGAAGGAGCAGAGGGTGCTTGCGGAGGGGAGCCACGAGAGGGTGCCGGCCAGACGCTGAGTGGAGAGCAGACGAGCTGTGTGGAAACTGCCGGTAAGACGGGCGAGGCAAGGACGGAGGACTGGCCTTGGCATTGAGCGCTGCGGGAGTGCTTGGTGACTGTGCAGGGAGCTGTTTCAGTGGAGAGGTGGGCCTGCCTGGCATGGGTCCCGGAGAGGGCACGGGGGACAGCCGCTGCAAACAGCAAGAGCAGGCAGCTCTGAGGGATTAGAGCCGCAGGGCACTTAGAGCCACACTGTCGTGGAGTCAGGTGACTGGAGTCAGGTGACCGTGGGTGACTGCTGCAGCGGTGTCGTCTGACGGCAGGAGGCGCAGTGCCGAGTGCTGAGGGAAGAGAGAACGCGGTGGAAGTGCCAGGGGAGAGCACAGGCACCTCCGCCCCAGGCCCAGAGGCAGGGGCTGTGGGGAGGAAACAGCCCTGATGGGGAGGCGTGGGATGCGCCCTCTGGGGGCGGGTGGACTGTGCGGGGAGGAGAGCGAGGTGCTTTGGGGTTTTGCCAGGGAAGGGTTTGCCTGCGAGGTGGGAAGATGGCGTCATCGTCGAGGGCAGGGGTGTCAAACTCATCTTCTTTGGGGGGCCACGTCAGCCTCGAGGTTGTCTTCAAAGGGCCGAATGTCATTTAAACTCCCTCACAGTTAAGGAGTGGTTACATTTACACAGTCCTAAAATTGTTTCGGCCCTTGGGAGTCTGGGAGCCTTCCTGGGGCCGTGACAAACCAGCACCTACTGTTTGTTCGGCCCCACTGTCCATTCTGATACACGATGTAGCCGAATCCCCTTCAGCCCTTCGGAGGCGGGTGCGCGGGTGACCCCTGCTCTGTCGCCAAGGCTGCGGCTTAGAGGTAGGGCGGCTTGGCTGCGGGCACTGCCCTCCCGAGCGCGGTGTGAAGCAGCCCGCCGGATTCCAGAGCCTGCGTCCTTCACTGTTTCGTGAAGTTAGTATATGGTGCTTTGCTTTGGGTTTTATGGTGAGCTTTAGCCAGGGGTGTTTTCCATTTAACTTTAGGTTCTTTTGTGAGTTTACCATAGTTTCGGTTTCAAGAGTGGCCTCTAGCCAGATTGCTCTCTCCTCTCTCCCTCCCATCCCTTCTCTCCATCCACTCACCTGCCCCATGTGGGCGTCTCTTCGCCCGTGCAGTGAGTGTTCCTGTGAACTTCCTGGGCCCCCAGCCTCGCACGCCGGGTGTGGGAGACTGACAGAGGACTGGGAGAGAGTCCGCCTTCTGAGGACTCCCTGTCTCTCGGGGTGGGAGTCACTAATTAAATCAGTGTGGCTCAGGAGGTGGGGACCCTTCAGAGAGGAAAGAGTTTTATGGTAAAGGTGACTCAGCCAAACAGACGCCCTGGCACTGTGCCGAGGGCTTGCCGTGTGCACTTACGATTTTTTAAAATTAATCCTCGCCCCAAGTATGCTTGTTGATTTTTAGAAAGAGAGGGAGAGAGGGAGAGAGGGAGAGGGGGAGAAGAAGAGGGAGAGAGAGAGAGAGAGAGAAACATTGGTCGGTTGCTTCTTCTACATGCCCTGACTGGGGATCGAGCCTGCAGCCTTTTTGGTGTATGGGACGATGCTCCAACCAACTGAGCCACTTGGCCAGGGCTTAACAATGTTTTCACTTCTTGCTCAGACCCCAGGGTGCCTCAGCCAAGTGGTACTTCCTTCCAAAGTTGCCCAGAAGACGCTGGGGCCTCTCTCTTGGGAGAGGTGGGCGTGAGTCTCTAGAATTCATTTTCTCACTCCCAGTTTTTTGAGAGCCTGGACTTAAACCATTTCAGACAAGCTGCAGTGTATTTATGCTTTTTATGTCCTGTTATGGCAGCTCGATAGATTAATTTTATCTTATAAATTGCATTTTGCCTCCCCAGTGTTTTTATTTCCCTGTTGTATCTTTGTGTTCTTCTCAGTTGCTTGGCTAAGTTTCAAGCCTGTGTTTTTATTTATTTTTTGTTCTCTTCGTGGATGCCTGTAGCCCAGCCCCTTGTGGGAGCAGCCTACCAGGAGAGCAAACGGGAATTAAAACCACGCCCTGTGTCTGGAGAAACGAGGGAAGGGACAATGACAGTGATCAGCAAACCAGTTACGAGACCACTCAGAATTCAACCCCTCTGTGTTTGAACACCTACGGTGTGCCAGGCACCATTTGCGGTGCCTTATGTAAAAATTACTACTAATTTATTACGGGTGGCTCTGCAGCAGCCATCTTCAGGCATCATCATTGTTCCCGTTTAACACGTGAGGAAGCTGAGGTTTTTAGAAAGAATTGGTCCCGGGTCACCCAGCTGGTAAGGAGGGGGGGAGTCAGGGTCCAGCGGGACGTCTCTCCGAGCTGCCCAGTCCATCGGTCAGACGCTCTTCTCCCGGGCAGCGGGCTGGGTTCCTGCGGTTCAGCCGTGAAGGACACGGCACGCTCTCCGGATGCCTGCCCCTCGGTCGGCCGGCGCTCTCCGTGGTGCTGACCGTTGTTCGGTGCGCACAGTCAGCCCCTGGCCGCCTGCGAGGAAGGGTCAGAGGTGAGCCTGAGCCCACACCTGTTTTGTGGGGTTGGCTGAGCGCGTCAGTGGGAAAGGTACAGAGATGTGAGTGAGGCCCCAGGTAAGTTTTTTTTCTTGAAATTATGAATTATTGTAAACAGAGAGAGAAGCACGAAGGATAATATAACAGTGTTCACGTTCCCATTCAATCAGTGTGAACCAGTGCTTCCATTTTTTGTTTTACCTTAGATCTCCCCACCTCCTTTATTTTAAAAAAAAATCGCCATCAATCTGTAAGAAATAACTGTCTTCAGGAATCCTAAATGTTTCATGGGGTGGCTGTGAGAATGCCGGTCTCTGGGGAAACGCTGGGCTGCGGGCCCCGCCCCCGGAGCTGTCTGCTGTCTCAGTGCCTCCGCTCTGCGCGGGGGAAACGTGGTCGTGTGCTCTGAGTGTTCTGGGCTCTGAGGAGACTCTACCAGGTCATAAAGTACGCCTTAGCCGAGTTGTAGAAAGTTCTAGAACTGCAGTATTTCCTGTAATGCAAATAAACGGTCCTTTACACATGCTGCTGCCTCTATACTGAATTTCCCCCTTTAGTTCTTGCCTAGCTGACGCCTCCTTCTTCCTTCAGGCCTCGCTTAAAGGTCACTTCAGACGAGGCCTTCCTGAATCCCCCGGTTGTTTAGACGCTCCCATGAGCCCCTCCGCTCCTCCATATTTCGGTCTTGAGCTGACTCGCTCAGTGGCTGTGCTCTGCAAGGCTGGGCACTGTGCGTGACGCTGTCCGTCCCTGCCGTTTCTTCTTCGGTAGCCCCTGAGTGGACAGGTGGGAGGTGAATGAAGGGGACTCCCAGTGAGGGCTGAGGAGTGTCGCTCCTTGCTCCTGCGCCCCTGACACAGGAGACAGACCCTGGTTGCAGGAGGCACGCGGCATTCAGAGTGGGGCGGGTGCTGCCAGCTGTGGCGGGGGCTGCGCTGCTCACGCGCCCTGGGCCTTGGGCAGGTTCTTCTCTCTCTAAGCCTCGTCTCCTCTTCTGCAGAGCGAGGACACTAGTGGTGCCTCACGGGTTGTTAGGAAGGTCAAGTGGGCAGCGTGGGAGGTGCTGGGAGCCTGGGCCTGGGCCCGGCACAGAGTTGTGTGTCCTGAGTGTGCAGGTTCACGCTGTGCACCCGTGGCGCAGTCCTCCCTCTCCCACACCCCCAGGCAGTGACTTTTAAATGAAAAACAGCAGCAACTCCTCTGGAACTTCACCGAGGGCCACGGAGCAGCGAAGCGCACGGCCGCATTGCCGTGCCCGCGCTGGAGCCTGGATGTCGGACCCTTACTTCTGCTGAACCCCAACTTGCTGCAGGTTAGCGGCACTTCTGGAGTCAAAATGATGAGTGTCGAGTGTCTGGATGTTAGGTTGGTTGTCCCGGAGGAGCAGAGTTTAAAGTGCAGTGAGCATGAGCGTGCACACTCTCCCAGCCATTCTGGGGGCTGGGGCGCGAGCATGGGTGTAGCTAAACATTGGAGCCAGCCTTTGTCTCTATTCCAGAAGGACGTTTGTATGGCTCTTACATTGGTCTCTGCCTCGTGATTACTTAACAAAACTCATCAGAACTGATCTTCATTCTCACGAGTGAACAGTGCTCCTTGCCATGAAATTCCATAATCATATGGTTGTTACAGCAAAGCTGTTTCCTTGTCTTGGAGGGTGATGCAGTGGGGAACAGAGCCTGGCTGGGGGCCCTCGCTCTGTCTCTGTCCTCCTCACTCAGCCAGCAGCACCTCCCGAGTCCCCCCTCTGCCCCAGGCCCTGTGCCAGGCACTGGGACACAGAGATGAGTGGGACGGTCTCTCCCCTGGAAGACCTCAGAGACCAGTGATCAGAGCAGATTTTGTACAGTAAGAACGCTGCATCAGGAAGGTTTCTTTTAGGTCAGGTAGCAGCTGCTTTCTAAAATAAAAAGGTTCATTTTATGGTATTTTCATTGGGAGCAGAGAAACAAGAATGGATTTAAGAGCTGTGAGGAGCAGTTGCAGAACCCAGAAACTGGAGTATACAGTCCGACAAGGACTTGTGTGGGCTTTTCTCCCTGGGAGGGTGCCTCAGGCACCGTGTCCAACCCACGGCGTTTTCCAAGTCCACGGCCAGTGCTGGAAGGCCTCCCGTGATAGGCGTCCTGCCCGTCTTCGAACAGTTTCAGGGAAGCAAAGGGTGTTAATGTTAGTTGGGTTTCTCCCCTACTTTGTACCAGAACCGCTAACCTTTTTGCAGATGTCGTCCCATTGGATGCTAAAACAAAACAAACGCAGCCCTTCTTAGTGACCGGTGTTCTTCCCGTGACCAGTGTTCTTCCCGTTCTGCAGGTGAAGCTCCGAGGCTCAGCGGGGTTAAGTAACTTGCCGGAGTTCACGGGACTAAGTGGCGAGGAAGTAGATGGCAGAGGCAGGGTTTGACACCAAGTCTGTTTGACTTCAGAGATGGGTTTTTCTTAAATGTTGCTGCCTCTGAAGTACTCAGACAGCTGTTCATGTTGAGCGGGGCTTTCCCTGGACCGCAGGCAGTGTGGTGCGTGGTTAAGGACAGACGTGCCGGGCTCGGGCCTGAGCTTGGAGCCTCACAGCAGCATATATGTTAGGCATCTCTGGGGAAACCGAGGCTCTGGGTTAGTGAGTCACTCGCCTAACAGTGTGCAGCCAGCAAGTGGCAAAGCTGGGTGTGACCCAACTTCCCTCTGGCTCCAAAGCGTCCCTGGGGACTTAAAGCAGCCGTAAGGAGGTGTGTCCTGGAAGGGCTGTGAGCTGTTGCATCAGCTCACTGCAGGGGCTCTGTGGCATCTCCTGGCAGCGGGCGCGTGTGGGAATGAGAAGACGACTCACCTGGGTGGGTTGTAGGGTTACTGTTCTTCAGCCGTACTTCCCTCCGTCCTCGATGTTTATCAGAACTTTATTGACTCCTGGTGCAGCTAGGCACTGTACTAGGGACTGAGAACGTAAAGGTGGAAGGCCAGGGAGGGAGAGAATCCACATCACTAATAGCCACGTAAATAAATTTAAAGAGACAATTGTAACTCCTCCACGAGCACTCGGCATGGAGTACATTTGTCCCGGGTGGTATATGTAAGGTGCTGTGGAAGCACAGATGGGAGGGACTGTTTTGCGTAGTTTGGAGAGGGACTTGCAGAGGAAGGAAACGAGATCTGGGCGTGGAAGGACGGGTAGGAGTTCACGGAGTAGGAGTGGAGCAGATGGGCCGAGTGTGTCCCAGGCAGAGAGAAACGCACGTGCAAAAGCATGGAGGCGTGAACCAGCCGGCTGTGTGGGGGGATTATGGGAAGCAGGGAATCGCCATGGGTGGTGCCAGAAGGCGTTCTAGAAAAGATTGCTTGGAACTAGATCCTGGGGGGTCTCAGATGCTGTGAAAGGGAGTTTGGGTTTGGTCCTCAAGACAGTGGGGATGCCGATCAGTGTTTGGTGGCGGGAGGGTGGTTGCCACGGTTAAATTCACTTCCGTAAGACAGCTGCTCTGAGGAAGGGGGTGGGCCGAGAGGGAAGAGGGAAGCTGGCAGTCAGGGAGGCTCTTGTAGTGGTCTCTGCCTGGTGGTGTCTGTGAGGGAGGGCAGAGGGGGCGGATTTCAGCAAAGGAGATACTGACCTAAATGTGTTCGTTTTCAGACCCTGAAATTGACCAGCTCAGTGGCCTTGCTGTCTCGCCAACGGGCAAAGAGGATCCTTCTGAAGACGTTTGGGGCCCAATGTCAGTAGCTCCCTGCCTGAGTTCTAAGGGTCAGCTTTCCCCTAAAGTCAGTGCCATTGCAACCGATCAGTCTGAGAACGTCGGTACATCAGATGATACGGAAAACTTAAAACAGAAAATCGGTGACTTGGAAACGGAGCTCGAGGGCTACCGGAACTTCCTGTTTCAGCTTCAGAAGCACTCCCGGTGCAGTGAGGCCATCATCACAGTTTTGTGTGGGACAGAAGGGGCCCAGGATGGCTCCAGCAAGCCCAGGGACGGTACCGACGAGGAAGAAATGACGTTTTCGAGTTTGCACCAAGTACGCTACGTAAAGCACATGAAAATCCTCTGTCCGCCAGCCCCGGAGATGATTGACAGCAGGATGCTGGGGAGCCTCGAGCAGCAGCGAGGAGAGCGGGACTGTGAGCTGCAGAAGGAGCAGGACTTGAACATGGAACTTTTCAGTGAGATCCAGAACCTGCAGAATAAGTTCAGAGATCTCTCGCCCTCTAGGTACTGCCCTCCTCTGTCTTCTCCCACTGTTAGGTCTGCGGTTTCCCTCTGCTGCCAAAAGGTCGCAGCCCGAGATCTAAGAGGGGCCACGGCCTGGGGCATGGACCGCGGGGCTTGGTGAGGGTAGCGAGGCCCTGCTGAGCAGTGAGGCCGCAGAGAATGGCCTTGTGTCCTCTGGGCCCGGCGGGGCAGATGCCGCCTTCCTGTGGCTGGGGATTCAGGGTGAATGGTTCACACCAGTCACTCAGTGACTTATATAATATGTTTGCCGAACGACAGTGTTCACTCCTGGCTGCCATTATTGGCTTTTACTTACTGTGTTGCAGGACCGAAAAGTGTCCTAGGTGAGTGGGAAGAATAGAAATATTTTCCGTATCTTTACCCTTTAAGGTCATCTCAGAGAAACAAGCGGGTATTGAAAGAGGAGAATTCTTAGGTCATGGAGATACATGTTCTGTGGGCCTGGATACATACAGTTTTGCTTCATGAGATGTGGCGAAAATGTGATCGTTTGTGAAGCGGACCTTCATTTGCCGCTACTTTGAGACACACACATTGTCAGGGGCCAGAGTGGATTTTTCGGAACTCCCCAAGTGATGATACTGAAGGGAGCTCCTCTCTGTTGAAAAGTGGTTGTGTCTGAACTTCATTTGGGCACTTTTCTTATTTAACCCTCAGAGTCCCCCGAGGAGGGGGTGTCATGAAGTGTGTTTCTGTAGATGAGGAAACTGAACCTCAGAGGGGTGACCTCGAACCGCCCCAGGAGGTTCACAGAGCCGTCGACTGGGGTCAGGCCCACGTCAGCCCCCTCTGGTTCTCGGCTCCTTCTCATCTGTTTGCTGACCCCCCTGCGGTCCTGCTCTCCTGCGACTGCGTGTGCACACGTGAGGGAGTCAGCAGTCACACACACGTCATCGTTTCAGGGGCAGGGGAACCCGTTAAACTGAGGGGTCAGTGTCTCTGCCCAGCCACTCGAGAGCCAGGTCGCTGCGGCCACGGTGTCTGTGAGCTGCGCTTTCCCTAACCCGTGGTTTCCTCAGTGCCTCCCGCTCGCTGCCCGAGGACTGCAGGGGAAGCCACGGTGGGGTGTCAGGAGGTACTAGTGCATGACGGCACGGGCTTTGTTTGCATCCGAAATCCTCCCTGTGTAACTAGCTGCGATCGAGGAGAGTCAGTTTCTTCGTCTGTAAAAGGGGAGGTTCGTACATTTGTTGGAAGATCGGGAGGATCAGGTGTTGTACAGAAATCCCCTACTACAGTGACTGACGGGTCGTAGCCCCTCCATGAATGGTGGTTAGGATTCCGATCCCTCCCCGGCGTTTCTGTGGAGGGTAGGGAGTCCCGTCTTTGTCTTCCTGCCTGCAGTTCCTTTTGTTGCTCTTCCTGAGAATTTGTGGTAGCTTCCCTGACCCTCGGGCACTTGTTTCTACAATTCGGAAGAAGATTTTTGAAGAGCGTATGGAAACTGATTGTTCTCCTGAGTCCTTGCCAATCTTACTTTAATTGGGGGCTTCATAAGGTTAAAAATATTGCAGAGGAACCTTTGTTCCAGCATTTGTTGGCTATTTTGAAATCGAAGGAGTGACCTTGTACAGTTTCAATTTTTCTAAAAGTATACATAGTTGTACAGCTGCAGGCTTTTAAAAATTGTGCTCTTGTCATTTTTCCAATTAGCGTTAAGGTCACAAAAATTCAATCCCAAAATGGTACAAGCACTTTCTTTCCCCCTTTTATCAGATACAATTCATTAGTGCAGTCCCAAGCCAGGGAGCTCTCCCTTCAGCGGCAGCAGATTAAGGACAGCCGTGACATCTGTGTCATCTGTCGTCAACACGCGAGCACCATGATCAAGGCGTTCGAGGAGCTGCTGCAGGCCAGCGACGTGGACCGCTACGTGGCCGCGGGCTTCCGGGAACAGCTGAACCAGTGCGCCGCGCTGCTGGGGAGACTGGAGAAGCTGTTTCTCGGCGGTAAGTGGGTGAGGCCCTCCGGGTCCTGAGGCACATCTGTCAGCGACCCAGGACCTCTTGGAGGGCCCAGGAGGAGCCAGCTCCTGGGCTCTACGTACCTGCCGCCCTCTGCTTTGATGAGGTGACAGCAAGGCCACACTGGCTGCTGCTGCCTTCCAGTGACCGCACCACTGCCCCCAGCCTGGGTTTGTGCGCCTGCCTCGGGGCCAAGCTGGTAAGGCACAGAGGAGCCGGCCGAGAGGGGCCGCCCCTCGGCACCTGCCGCACGGTTTCTGTCCCCGTTGTTTCAAGATAAGGTGGCGGTTGGGATGTCTCGGGGAGGGGCGTGAAAATGAGTGAGTTTTAAATATTGGTAACAACAAACAAACCAAAATGAACAGATCTTTTATGGGTTAAAAAATATGTTTGAGAGTCTGAAGTAGTCAAAGGAAGGACAAAAGAAAGCCTTTGCTAACCATTTGCTATATGCTAGGTGCTTTAATTAATATTACTAATTTAATAAATATTATTGCATTAAAATGTTTTAGAAAATAATCTGCAATTTTCTGAGACTGCAATATGGAACTTCCATGTACCCTCCTGGCAGCGTTGTCAGTGGTTGGTGTTTTGCCCCATTGCTTCTCTCTCCCGACACACAAACACGTACATGTGCACACACACATTCATTTTTTCCTAACCCTGTGAGGGTGGATTGATGATGTCGTGTTCATCAGTCCACCTAGGTACTCAGACCAAGGCCATTCTCTTATTTAACCACAATTAACAAAATCAGGAAATGGTATTTTCTAATAGGTAGTCTGTAGTCAAAATTTCACTAGCAGATTCAAGGATGTCTTTTATGATCCCACAGGCAACCACAGCTCTGAACTTTCCATAGATGAGTCTTGGTGTCGATGGAGTCGCACAGTATTCATAAAAGATGGTCTTTCATGGGAGCTTTGTTTTGATCCTGAGCCAGTCCCCACACTGTGCTCAGTTGTCATGGCTCCTGCGGTGTCCTTCAGTCTGGGGTAGTTCACCTTTTGTCCTTTGTGGCACTGACACCTTTCAAGAGTCCAGGCCGGTCTCCATTCAGGGTCATCTGTCGTGTGCTCCTGATTAGATGGGACGAGTCACGTGGTTTGGGCGGGAGCACTGCACAAACGACTGTGTCCTCCTGGTGTCGTGTTATGGGGTCCCCGCTAGCAGTTTGTCTTGTTTTTGGTGGTATTAACTTTGATCACTGGTTAAGGTGATGTGCATCAGGTTTCTTCACTCTAAGTTAGAGTATTTCCCTATGTAATGTAAACGTCATTAAAGGGGGATACTGTGTGACTCTAAGTATTTCGTTGCTCCTCAGACTTGTACCTGTGAGATTTACCATCCACTGATGGTTCTTGCCCTCGTCAGTCAGCACCACGATGATGTCAGCATGGTGATTGTTTTCTAGCGGTGTCGTTCCTTCTTCACTTATTATTATTAGGTGGCCTCTGTTACAAGAATGGATTCTCCCTTTACCTCCTTTTATTTATGTATTTGTTTATTATCAGTATTGACTTGCAAATTCTTTATTTTTTGTTTTATTTATTTATTTAGTTTTAGACAGAGGTGAAGGTAGGGAGAAAGAGAGGGAGAAAAGTGTCAATATGTGGTTGCCTCTCCTACATCCCCCAACTGGGAACCTGGCCCACAACCCAGGCATGTGCCCTGACTGGGAATGGAACTGGTGATCCTTTGGCTCACAGGCCGGCACTTAATCCACTGAGCCACACCAGCCAGGGCAGATTCTTTCTTTTTTCAGTGGACTACTTATTATCCACTCGGTCATTCATATCAATGCTCAAAGTGTTCCAAACTCAGCAGGTGACAGTTCCTTTTAATGTGTCTCCCATCTTTTGGGGGCATACTTTCTTACTTTCTGGCACAAAACAGATGTTCCAAGCTCCTCTTCTACTGTCCTTGCCCCTGAGTCAGCCATCAGCCATCTCTCTATTAGCTCTGGTTCACTTTAAAGGGCAGCGCCACTTAAGAACCCCGAGTTGGTGCCAGCTGTGTTTATCGCTGTGGCCGTGTCACTGTTTCTAGGCTCGTTAGCAGGCAGCAGGCAGTTCATGTACACACACACACACACTATATATATATGTATATATATGTATGTATGTATAAAATTATGCATATTTAAAAATGCATAATACATTTTAAAATCACAGCGGTACCCCCAATTCCTAGTCACACCCGCTGTGGTCTTTCCGGCCCTTCTTGCTTCCGAGTTTGTGTCCCCCTCTGCCGGCTCTCACGGCATCGGCCTGTCTGCGTGTTTGCTCAGTTCTGTAACACCCACAGAGTCCAGAACCGCTCCGCTCGCACCATGGTGAAGAACAAACCTGAAAGAGTTAAGATTTGTTTATGGTGATTTTTGTCTTTAGGCGAAGGGCATTTAGTCAGGTATTGAATTTAGTTATTTGGTTTCATTGTTTCTACAGTCTTGTTACATTATTCATTTGAAATACAGTTAAAATTTTTTTTTGTTTCCATTTGTATCTAGTTTTAGGGTTCCCCTACCCTTATTGATTTAACTTAATTTTATTTTTTAAATATGAGTAACATTAAGGTGGTTCCAAAGTTACAACTTTTATTCTTTTAAATTGTTTCTATGCGGTCCTTATTTTTGTGCCTTTCCTTAAACCCACTGAAATGGGGCCCTCAGACAGCCAGGAGCATTTGCCACAGTCACTGACGGCCTCCACTCGCTGCCTCCAGCGATCCAGCGGTTTTCAGGCTCAAACCCGCAGCACTTTTGGACATGAGAACCTCTTGCCTCCCTTGGCTCCTAAGGTGATGCCGATGAGTCAGTTCTCCAGCCACCCTGCTGGCTGCCCCTGGGAAGCTGCCCCTCCAAACTGTGTTCCAGATCGGACCAGTCTTCCCCACCTGGGCTCCAGGTCACCACTGCCACCCCTCTTCCTCCCCCTTCCCCTCCTCCCTGGGTCCGCACCTCCACCTTGTCCCGCCACTGTGCATTTCCACACAGTAGTCAGGGAGCCTTTCAAATGGGAGCGGGCCAGTCCCTTCTCCGCCCAAGTTCTAAGGCTTGCCTTTGTGAGTTGCAAGGGTTACGTTAAGTAACGGATGGGAAGCACTCACGTGTGCATGGCTCCATGTCTCGAGTGCTCCTTCGTGTCTGTTCCTGTGGGGGGTGGGGGGCGCAGTCCTCAGGACAGCCTGCCTGGCGCGAGGAACTCTGCCCTCAAGAGGCACGTGAGTTGCTCAGAGTCACAGCTGACTTGGCAGAACCCGGACTTGACCTCGGTTCTCTCTCTCCGTGCGTATGGTACAGATGGTTCATGAAGGTCCACATATGTTCAGTTCAATTCCGAGATGGAACATGGGGTCCCTTGGCCTCTGGGCCCAGGGATTGTTGTTCCTGGTTTTGAAAGAGCCCAGCAGTGAGGCCCATCGCAGACCGACTTCTCTGGTTCCCGGTCTGCGGGACCTTTGAGGGCCGCCAGGGCGTAGGAGTGCTTGACTTTCCCCAGCTTTATGAGATCTGCGTCCTTCTGGCTGAGGTTTTCCAAGTAAGCTACTTTTCATTAATTATTGGAGAAGTTACCGAGTCCTCAAGATGGAGCTGATCTTCCGGGCCCGAGATGGCTTCCCATCTGTCTCCTTCCTTCCTGCAAGCCCTCTCCCCGACCCTAGGCAGCGGGGGCTGAGAGAGGGAGGGCCCTGCGCCAGCTGCCCTCCCTCGCGCGTGCAGCCACCCCCCTTGATTTATTTCCTAGTTTTTACCTTGACAAGCCCAGGGAGGTCTCACTCTTTGTTTCCTGCAAAGCACAAGTGTTGCAGGCTTGGCAGACAGTGCCAACGGGACTTTATTTTCTTCTCCAAAAGGCATAAAGGTCTCAGGGGCCTCACTGCGCCTTTTTTCTTGGAAAAAAAATGCAGCACAGGTGTGTCTTTCCTAGATGCTGTCGAAGGGGTCTGGCTCCTGAATTATGAAGTGAGCTTCTCACAAAGCAGTTTTGTATTGGAGGCAGTTGCATAGCGTGAGTTCTTCAAAAATTTAAATACAGTCTTTTTTTATTAATACAAAGCACTACATGTTTATTGTGGAATAACAGATAAGCAGATAACTCCTGTAATTGCATCATTTATAAAGCAAAACATGAACACCCTGGAGTTTATATTTTCAGACCTTTTTAATACATATTTGTATTTTTTTGGTAGTAAGACTGTTTGCCATCTCTCCCTTTGTTCAATTATAGATAATAAACGTTGATCTACATTGTAAGTGCTGGTTGCTGCAGAGCATGCTTTTGTATGAATGTACGATCATTTATTTAATCATTGCCCATTAGATGGACATTTCGGTGGTTCTCCATTTGGGGTTATTGCAGTGGACACTGTACTGGAGTTCTTTGTGCATGTCCTTGCTGTTTCTTTGTTAATGTTTAATGGGCTCAGCCCAACGAGTAGTGGGACAGTGTGGTGGTGTAATGCTTGTAATGAAGAACTTGCGGGGCTAGACCTGCGAGCGCTGGGTCGGGCCCTGCAGGTTTCGTGAGTGGGTGCGTTTTTCCGGGGTGAGGGCCTCAGACAGATTTCTTAAAGCAGGTCGAGCCCCGAAGTAGATCAAGAACTGGTGTTGCAGTCTCAGGTGCTCCACCATTTCCTGGTGCGTGGTGCCTCCCAGGCCCAGCGGCGCAGGCCAGGACGGCGGTGTTTGTCGCCGGCGTGTTTGAGTAAGCCCCGGGGAGGCGCACGGACGACTGGGAGCGTCCCCTTCCTCGGGGAGCTCCCATGTGTGCTAGGGCTTGGCCACCCGACCAGAAGACAGCTGCGGGGTCCCTGCTCCTGGCTCTCCCTCACCTGCTGGGCGAGTCTGGCACGCCCACTTCTTTTAAGGCCTTCCGCAGCAGTGCGCCTGTTCCAGCCCGCCAGCCTCTAGATGATGATGATGATGATGATGATGATTCCTGACCTCCAAATGATGGTGATGATGATGATGATGATGATGATCCCTGACCTCTAAATGATGATGATGATGATAAGGAGAAACGGGGAGGAGGGCTGGTCTCTAACGAGTGCTTCTTATATGCTGGGCATTGCTCTCAGCCTATGAGGAGGCAGCATTCATCTTCATTTAATGAGTGAGGAGCGGAGAGGTTGATGTGCTTGCTCAGGGTCACACGGGAAGTGGCCGAGTCTGGGTCTGAGCCCGGGCAGTTGGTGTCCGCAGCCGGACCTCTGGGCTACCACGGCGTCCATCTCACACCCCTGTCCGGTGAGGTGTCTGGGTCAGATGTTTCTGTGGGTCAGGCCTTGCCTTTCCCCACTTCTGTGACTCTCTTTGAACCAGCCCCTTTTCTAGAAGGCTTTTCCCCCCGGCCCACTTCTAGAGAGCCTGCCTGCCTTCCAGGGGGCTTTCCCTGCTCACCCCGAAGCTTCGGCTCGGCACACGTGCCTGGCTCCACGACCCGAGTGCCCCCTCGAGTCTGTTCCTGTGGGGGGTGGGGGGCACAGCCCTCAGGACCGCCTGGCTGGTGCGAGGCCCTTGGCCCTCACGGGGGCACGTCCGTTGCTCAGAGTCACAGCTGACTGGGTGGAACCAGTTACTCTGGGTTGTGCGAAGCTCCCCGATGACAGTCACTCCTGGGCTTGTGACAGAGGCCTGGTGCTGGGGTGGGAAGAACCAGCGCCTTGGAGCCCAGCAGGCTTGGGCTCAGATCCCGTTTTTACGGTTAAGGGATCAGTTTCCTCTGTGACGGAGCAGCACCTGTTTCGCAGGGTGGCCCGGCCAACCGTGGGGGCTCAGGAGGTCCCAGCAATGGTTTCTTGTGGACACACTTTATTTCCTCAGAGCTTAAGCTCCTGGGAGATGGGGGCCTTACCCTGTTCTGGCCTTCGAGCGAGGGAGGGGCAGGACAGGCAGTGCCCTCAGGATTTGAGGGCATTGCCGACAGCTGTGCGTGGTGTTCCAGAGGGCCCCCTCATTCCAGAGGGCCCTTGGATGCGAAACCGCGCCCCCCCCCCGCCCCCCGCCCTGTCTCACACGCAATTGTGAGCCTGGCAGGAGGCACCTCTGAGCCCCAAAGGCAGGACCTCCAGGGGGAAAGGGTGTTGGGCCTTGGCCTTCACAGTGGAAGGGGTTCATGGTCGTTGGGGAGGGGCAGCAGGAGCGGTAGAGGGATGTGCAAGTTGGGGTCCGCACAGCGAGCCAGGCGATCAGAGAAAGGGGAGGGCTTTGTCTTCCTGTCTCCTCCTGTGATCTGGCTCCAGGTAGCCCCGTAGCTGCTTACCTTTACAGAGCAGTGCTTTCCTGCCTCACAGGCAGAGCTCAGCTGTCACCTCCTCTGCATTGTCCCCCTGGCTCAGGTTGGCCGTGTTCAGTTTCCTCTGTGGGCCCTCCCAGCTGCCCTTTGTCTCAGCCCTGCAGTGTGGTTGCCTTCGGGTCCACCACCCCCCTCAGCCGGGGACTCACTGCAGGCGGCAGGGTGGCTCCGCCCTCCTCTCTGTGCCCCCAGGGTCTAGCACGGGCACCTGGGGGAGCACCGTAACCCTGAGTAGGAGTTGCTGTGAGACAGAAAGGGGGAGACATTTGGGTCAGTAGGAGGTGCTGGGCTCCGATATTCGAACTTCGTTCTGGGTGACCGATGGATCTGAGCTGGGGAGTCCTGTTTGCAAAGGGGGTTTGTAAGCGGCGGCAGTGTGCCGGATGTGTGCCGGATGGACCGGTGCAGAGAGGAAGCGGAAGGCGGGTCACCAGGTGCGAGCCCCTACTGCATGGTAATCTCTTGCTTGTTCAAGTATGAACTGGGTAACCAAGTGTCCCTCTCTTTGGAAAGACGAAGTCCCTTCACGGCCACACAGCTTTTAGGGAGAGCGGGAGAGCGGTAAGACTTACCTGAGAGGTGGGAGCAGTGTGTTCACCACATCCTTCCTCAGCGCTTGGACCTGCCTGACAGGTGGTGCCTTGTCACCTGTGCGCAGGCAGTTTCCACTGCGAAAGTCGGCGCATCAGCCCTGACGACCTCCCTGTGCACCCCGCAGCAGCAGTTTCTACTTTGGGTTCTAAAGAGCACTGTTGTGATCGGGGGGGGGTGTGTGGCTGGAGTGCAGTTGTTGGGTCCTTACTAGCTCCTCGAAGGATCTCTCGTTTGAAGAGGAGGAAACCCGTGCTGCTGGGAGTGTCGGGACTCTTCCTTCTGTGGTCATGGGCTTTGTTAGGGGTCAGGGAGAGTTTTTTGTGGTCTTCAGGTCAGTTCAGGGATGCCTAATGCTTGCCCCAGACCAAGGGTCTGCCACCCCGTGGAGGTCCTGAGGGGGCGTCTGTGCTCCCGCAGGGCAGTGGTGAGTGTGAAGCTGGAGTCACTGTCGGCCTGGTCGGTGAGTGTGCAGCGCCTGAGCTCTCTGGAAGGCCGGGCTGTGGCAGAGGGCCCCTCCTCGGGCGTCTGTGGGGCTGAAATCAGAATGCCGGTGAGCAGCCCCCGTGCAGGTGTGAGATGAGAAGTGCAGTCTGCGTTGTTCTGTGGGCGTGCGCTTGTGCCCGCCCGTGCCGGGTGGTCCCGCAGCCTGGGACTTGCAGTCAGGGTCTCGGACTCGGACTCCGTCCGATACAGATTCTCTCCCTGCCCCCTCAAGGAGGAATGTAGAGGACAGAAAGGTGGAGGAGCCCTGGAAAGCACCCCCAGTGGGAGAGGCCTGTCAGCCCCCTTCTGCCTTTCGGGGAGCCCCAGTACCCCGTCACTGCAGGACGTGAGCACGAGGAGGGGGGGACACAGGTGTGTGGTGGAGCTGGCAGCAGCCATGTCTCCACGTCCCTTGTGAACCAGGAGCGAGCAGGAAAGTAGGTGAGCGTGTGTGGGCAGCGTGAGAGGGTGGACACGCCACGCCTCCCGAGTGTGTGGGCAGTGCGAGAGGGTGGACACGCCACGCCTCCCGAGTGTGTGGGCAGCGTGAGAGGGTGGACACATGAAGCCTCCTGGGTGGCCGCTTCTTTGTTGTGAAACGGAGGCGCTCACCCTGGGCCTGGAGGGTGGTTTGAGGTCCAGGACATTAAGGAACCATCCTCAGGGCCTGGCTCCTGGTTGCTCAGGCCTGTCTGGCTCATTGCCGGTGCCCGACAGCACCCTGCAGGGGAGGGTGACGTCCAAGCACTGGGTGCAGGGCCCTGACCTGGGGCCCAGTGGCGGTCCTGGTGGGGCCAGGGGTGGAGGGGGGGTGAACAGCCCTGCGAGTTCATCAGTGGGAACCGCGAGGCACGAGGCACAAGGCAACTGTGCGCGCCCCCAGTGGTCTTCTCCTGTGCGCTCTGGCGTCTGAGAACTCCTCTCTCAGGAGTAGTTTTGAAAATGCTGTGTGGGGTGTGGTGTAATTATAGTCTAATTTTTCAAGTACAGCTATAGGAGGGTTTGTTTTCCTCTTTAGCCACACATTAGTTTCTTCAAAGAGCTCATCCCGGGCTGCAATTTCCAGGGTTCTCAAGTATTTTTCAAACAAAGTTGTTAGTCCCTTTGAAACCCGGGCTCCTGTGCTGCCTTTCAGACAGCGGATGACAAAACGCAGGAGACAGAGGAGGACCTTCTGCCCGGCTGTGCTTTGTTTTGTCATTTCTTCCGTCATCTCCCCTGTCGCAGACACTGGCTTCTTCCGCTGTTCTCCTTTCCCTGGTAATCCCGCTTCTGAGAGCCTTTCCTAAGGAAATAATTTAAATGCAGATACAGCCGCACGCCCAAAGATGTTTGTTTCATTTATTTTTATAAAAGTGAAAAATTGGAGATGACCTCCATGTCAACACGGGACTGGCAACGTTGTGGTGTGTGTACGTCTACCACGGAATATTAATGCGGCCATAAAAAATGAGGTTTCAAAAGCAAATTTAGTAAGAGAAATGCTTACAATAAAGTAAGGAGTGAAAAAGTAAGCCATGCTCTCCTGCCACCCATGCCAACATGCACAGAGAGACAGTGGAAGGCGGTCCTGCCGGGGTGCCCTCTCTCTCGCTCCCGGAGCCCGTTTCCTGCAGAGAGCCTGCCTGCGCTGGCGCCAGAGGCGGGAGAAGGACGGAGGGCCCGCGCCCAGCAGCGCCTCGTCATTGCTTGAGCTCCAGCGCTGCCACTTTCCTACCAGAATGAGTGATGAGGAGTCTGTAGTCCGAATTGTGTTCTTGGTAATCCTCCTTTAAACACCCGGGGTTGTTGGAAAGAGTGGTTCAACAAATGAAATAGTGCCTGTGCAAACGTACGAGCCGGAAATTACTTGGGAAAACTCTTTGAAAATGTTTTCCTTCTTCTTAATGTTACTTCTGCTTCCAGGGAAATCGGGAGGAGTGGAAACGGGCGCCCAGAACGAACTGATGGAGAGGTGAGTGCGCGGCGTGCGCTTGGGAGACTCCGTGGGTTTGGACCGTCTGCTGGCTGTGGCAGTATTGCGCTCCCTGCCATGCTCAGCCCCGCTTCTTGTTAGTGAAGCAGGAACGCCTAGGAAACTGAGACCGGCCACACAGAACCAAGGGGTCATGCCGAGTATCATGCAACCTTCACTCAGCTGTTGTAGGTTACCTGTAGCATTTCTCTGTCAGGTGGTGTGACCCAGACGACGCATCCTCCCGCTGGCACCTGGTTACCTGTGGAGTAAATTCCAGACTCCCTAGCCTGACCCTTGAGGCCCTTCTCAGTGTGACCCATCCTTCCTTTCCACCGGGCACCCCCGCTTCAGCCTTCTCTGACTTGTGCTCCGGGCCATGACCTGGCGCAGCTGCACACTCCACCTTCTCCCTCCTGAGGTTGGAAACTCCTTCTTCGGAGTCAGGTCGCAGGACATGCACCTGGCTCCTCCTGACACCCCGTCTCTCCAGGACATCCCAGGACCAGTTCTTCCTCCTGCAGCACCTGACACATCATTACATTACAGAACTCACCCCATGGTTGTGTCATACTTGCTGCATTTATCTTTGGCCCCCAGAATTCCTTGAGAGAGGAAAGGAGCTGGCCTTAATTGGATATTAGCATTCCATATTTCTGACCCTACCTACAAGGGGAGCAATAGTCTCATTTTTGGGTGAGGAGCCTGAGAGTCACAGTTGCATACTTGCCATTGGGAGGCAGAGGTGGGATTTGAACTTGAGCCTGTTGTATGGTACTCCAAGGCCTGAGCTGTTATTGTTATTCCACATTGCCTTCAGAGGGCAAACACTGCGTTTTCAGTGCCTTTATACCTGCTCCGGCCCCAGGTATCTGGCACGTAGTGGGAATTCAGAAGACATTCACTGGATAAAGGGGCTGCATACTTGCTTGGCTTTCCTCTTGGCCAACTGGAAGTGTCAAGGTCGTGCCCTCCTGTTTACTTGTTAAAGGCTCTGAATGGTACGAGTGCTGTGGGCGCTTCCCTCCTCTTTGGGACAGCAGCCCTTGGGCCTCCTGGGGGGAAAGTAAAGGAACAGAGACCAGTCTGGGGTGCAGAATCTTAGTTTTCATTGGCATCGTGAAAGCCACCAGTGTCATTAGAGCGAGCAGGCAGGGAAGTGGCCGCAGTAACTGGAGGAGGGCATTTTCGTCAAGGCTTCTGTAACTTTGGAAGAAGCACTCCTCTCCCGCTGCCGTATTCCCAGTTCACCCCTCCACTTCCATCCTTAAAATAACGGGTCACGTCCCACCGGCAGGCAGTGGGGAGGGCGAGGACGGCGCCCCAGACTGGACACAGTCTTGGCTGGCATCTCAAGGCTGAGAGTGGGTGGGGCCTGGGGCTGTCTGGGCGTGTTTCCCACCCGAGGTGGGGGAGACATCGCCCCTCTGAGCAGTGTGGCTGGTGCGTTGAACGTGAGGGTCATGGCAGGAGAGGTGGGCAGGGCCTGGCTGGGCCGGGCAGAGCCCGCACTCTGCTCTGTAGGAAGAGGGGAGTCTTCTAAAGAGGCGAAGTTGGGACGAGACGTGATCAGATTCGCCGCCTTGAAAGGGGGTGGTGGTTCTCGGGGAGTGGGTCAGAGGGCGGCCGGGAGCAGCCTGCTCGGCCACGCGTCACCCCTTCGGCCTCTGCCAGGTTTGCTTCTTCCCTCCGCACCACCTTTCCCAGCTGTAGCTTTAGCACTCGCATGGGTCACTCCCAGGCTAATTAAATGGGTGTCCTTGGCCCAGTCGGCACTTCTGCAAGGCAGCAGCAAGCCCACACATCCATCATGCTGTCTGAGCAAAGTTGCATCTGGTGTTTACCTGTTAATGAATGCGTTGCAGCTTTGGAGTCCTTTGCTCTTGTCTGAGCTTATGAATAATGAGACAAGAAGTAATAGGAAAAGTGGGAGGAAAAAAAGAGCTTAAATTAAGGAGCTTATCTATAATGGAGATTCACATGGGCTTTTCACAGAGTTCAGGATGTTTTTCCTCATGGCTCAGGTTGCCCTTGGGAAATGCAGGCTAATAACCAGATGATTGCCAGGACGGTGATATCGGGACCTGCTGGGGGACCGCCAGGGGCCTGAGGTGTTTAGGCCCTGTGAGACGACTTCATGGGTTTGGGCTGGTCTCCCACATTCCCCTGGGGTCTTGAGGGCAGGCAGACCCTGGCTCAGATGTGAGCTCTGTCACTTGGAAGCTGTGAGACAGCAGGCAAGTTTATGATGAGCCTCAGTCTCCCCAACTCTCAGCGAGGGTCTTCCTCCCCACTTCAGAGGGGTTCCTCGAGGCCCGGGTGAGCTGGTGCATCTAAGGTGCCTGGCGTGGTGCCGGCGTTTGGCCAACAGCTGCCGTTGGCCGGTGCCCTCTCTCAGATCTCTCCCTGGGAGCCCGATGGTGGCTTCCCGTCTACATGGGCTCCAGACTCAAGCCCACTGAGCCTGTCTTGGTTTTAGAATGTCCTTGCTAAGAAAAGCTCTGGGGAGACGAAGGGGTGCCCCAGCAGCAGCCCAAAGTGTGGTGGAGGTGCAGAGGGCCCGGGAGCCCGAAGCGTCCTTCGGTCAGGGTCCTGGCTGGGGTCTGAGTGCGGGACGTGATTTCTCTCCCAATCCCCATGGTCAAGGGTGGAGGAAGACAGCTTAACCGACCAGCACATCCTCCCCGAGTCTCCTGAGCCCTCGGCCTCTCACGCGTTGTCCGACGGCGACACGTCCGACAAGTCCTCCTGCTCACGAGACCAGAAGCAAGACAGCGAGACCGAGAAGACTTCAGTCACAGCGAACAATTTTTCTCAAGGTAAGCGGAGCTGTATGAAGCATTTCAGCATAGCCGAGGTTTCCTGGTTCGAACGCGGTTTGCCGTCCTGCCTTCGTAGGCAGAGTGCAGGGACGTGTGAGCATCTCCGATGGAGGGCGAGCATCTCCGATGGAGGGCGGTCCTGTGAGGGCCCCGCGGGTCGTTGGGAGTGCTGTTGTCACTGGGGGAGCTGCGGCGGTTGGGAGTGTTGCTGCCTGGGGAAAGTCGTCCTCGGTTTTTAGGTGGTGACTTGTGTGACTTGCCCTTCCCTCGCGCTTCCGACAGTGGCAGGCCGGGAAGCGCTGAGGTTACGTGTCAGTTCCGACTCTGGTTCATTGTTTCTCGCTTCTTTCGAGCGCAGGGGCGCTTCAGAGACTCTCCAGAGATCACCTAACCCTGTCTGGACATGTTGCGATTCTAGAAATCTGCCGTGCTTCCCTTCCGTGCGACCCTTGGCCCCCGGGTCAGCCCCGTGTCCTGCCTCTGACCATGGGGCCAGGGGCCCAGTGGGCCGAACCAGCCTCCGAAGCTCCCACCTGCCCCTAAGCTGCCCTTTGCCCCTTCTGTGCTGGCAGCCTGTATTCCCTCCTGTTGGGGTGTCAGGCGGGGTATTTTAGAAGTTCAGGGAGCAAATAGTATGGACCAGAACAGAGAGACCAGGGATCCGTGCTCCCTGGAAAAGGCCAGGTAGTAAATACAGGATCTGGCACAAATAACACCCCCCTTTTATCACCTAAAAATCTTTCATTACAAAATTGTAAGTATGTGATTCTGTAACATAACAGTATCACACTCAAGAACATCATATGTCATTTTAGGTGAAGTGTTCAAATTGCTGTCCATCTTGTGCGAGACATTCATACATCCTGCCAACAACACTAATGGTGTTGCTTCTGCTGGACCCTGTATTGTAAGCTTGGCAGAGCATCTGGTCCTTTTTGTACTAAATCCTGGTGCTGAAGCACAAAGGAGCCACATCATTTGCATGTAAACGAATGATGTGTGTTGGGGCCCAATTAAACTGCCTTTACTAAAACAGGCCTGGGTGTGCTGACCCCGAGGCCCTGGTTTTCTGGCCCCTGGAACGGACTCTGGGCCTCGGCCGACGTCTTCCGGTCTCCCCTCTGGCGGGTTCTTGTGAGGCGTCCAGAATGGACCCCAAGCACAGGGCAGACGCTGGCACCTCCTTGTTCAAGTTCTTTGCTGACACCTGATTACATGGAACAGCGGTTTTCAGAAACTTCAAATCTTTTTTTAGCAACACCCCCTTCCCTTTTTTTTTTCAGATGAACCTTTACATGTAGCTCCAGTATGTAAAGGAAATGAGTGGAGGCGTTGTCCCCATGTGGCCCCTCAGGCTCCCCTGGGACACCCAGGGCCCTGAGGAGCACAGTTTGCAAACACACCTAGAGCACCACGTGCACCTGTCGGACGTGACTCAGGTCTCAGCTGGGGTCGTCCAGCGGCCGGTTGCCTGCGTTTGCTTTCTTTGGATTTCTGGCTGTGTCCCCTGCGATTTCTGTGAGTTTCTAAGTATGATCTGCCTTCTCTAATTTAGGTCAGACCATGAATTGTTTCGTGTCCAGTGCTTCGGTGCAGAATTTTTAAAAAATTTTTATTGTTGACACTTCCAGATGACCTCCACCCCCCCAACCTTTGCCACCTCCACCCAGCCCCTCCCCTCCCCCTGGCCTTCACCACACTGTTGTCTGTGTCTGTGGGCTATGCATCTGTGTTCGTTACTGATTCCTTCGCCACCTTTTGTCTGGTCGCCCCCTGCCGGGAGGAGCCGACTTGGCTGAGCGTGAGGCACTGGAGGGGCCGGGTTCACAGGGCAGCGAGCCCGCTCGCTGACACGGGAGGTCCCTGTTCTTCGGAACCTCCTGCTGGGGTACTGGGCAGGTCCCGGTTTCTCCTCTTGCCGGCCCCTCTGTTTCCTAGTCTCCACCCTGTCCACCACCCCAGCCTCTGTTTATTCTCTTCCATGCAGAACCATCCGGGGGTCTTCTATTTCTGATCCTCTGAGGGCCCAGGACCGCAGGCCCACCCTGCCTTCCTGGTGGGGACCAGGCTTTTTCCAGTACGGGTGGAGCGCTCGCCAGAGCCGCCCGATAAACCCACTGCTCGCTCTCTCGGTTTTCGTGTCTTCAGGCTTTTCATCTTTGCATCTGTTTTTTCTCTTGTCATATTTATACTCTGAACACAGACAGAATTTTGTGTTTTTCCTTTTTTCACTTAATATTGTATCACAAACTTTCTGACATGTTTTTATAGAACATCATTGTTACTGGCTTTAGATTAGTTTGTTGAGTGTCTGAACTGCAGTTTTTCTTGTGTTCCCCTGTTGCTGAACATTGAAGTCCTTTCTGAAACTTCACAGTTTTGAATAGCACCGTAGGGAATATCCTTGAACATGGAGCTGTCCCCTTATTTGGGGGGTACTTTGTTAACCTAGGTTCTCTAAATTGGAACTTCTGGGCAAAAGGTGAGCGCAGTGTGTCTGGTGGTTGCTTCTTAACAGGATTGCTGGTTTTAAAGAGTCAGCATCGTCAGAGGGTGTTTATCATGAGAGGGAGGAATGTTTTTCTCCCACTTTGCAAAGGCGAGGATAGTGTTTCCTTCGCCTTGGTGAGGGCTGCATAATTAATACGTGGTGTCCAGTTCGACTGGGAATGTTTCCTGAAGCCCGAGGGGTGATTCCAGCGCCCGGCCGGGCTCCGTGGAGGATGACGTGTTCCCACGGCTGCTGAGCACTGTCCCCGCGCAGCAGCAGCAGCAGCAGCAGCGTGTGGAGTGGGCAAGCCAGCAAGCAAGGCCGCAGGCGGAGCGGATGAGTTCCTGGCTCACTCCCACCTGCCTGGCCGCCGGCAGGTGTGCAGGGCAGCGAGGCCCGAGCGGCAGGTGCAGGGCGGTGACCTGCGGACGTGACGTACCTGGCGTGACGTGCCCGGCGTGACATGCCCGACGTGCCCGGAGCCCGCGGCGGAGGGTCCTCTGGTGCCGGGCTGCAGTGGCGGGGCTCAGCCAGACGTTCCGGCGAGTGACTCGCCGCACTCGTGGCTTTACTGGGAGGTAGCTGGCGGTTTGGGAATTAAGTCATCCCATAAACATTTAGATTCATGGCGAAATTACTATTTAATTAGGAAAGGATCTGTAATATAGTACTATTTTAAATGAAAGTCGTTTTGGAGGAATTAAAACTGGGTCATAGCATTAGTATAATGTTTTAAAATAAACATTACTAAGACATACCGAGGGCACCCTAATTGATGAATTAAAGACATTAGTTTTTGCCTTTGGATACTTAATGCGGTTCTGCTTTAAACACTGATCCTGGAAACCCACCTCTGGGCGGGAACTGTGCTTCTGTCTTTGTTAAAGTGAGGTTTGGCAGAGGCTAAACAGTAATATATATGCTCATTTTGGAAAATAAGGAACATTAAAATTTTTATGGTCTGTATTATTAAATATAGTATTAAGATGGATATAGAAGTTTTGAAAGACCCGACATCTACTGCCCAGATGCAACCTCTGTGAATATTCAGGTGCATCTTTGTTTGTGTGCGTGTGTCTTTGCTGTCCGCGGGTGTTTAGTAGGTGTTTAAATAGAGTCACGACTGTGAGGACTACCCGTTTTGTACGTGTACTTTTCTGTGATGTTATAGGGTCTTCATAATGTAATTTTTAATTTATTTTAGTGATTATGCTCTTACAGGTGTCCCAGTTTTTTCCCCTTTGACCCCCTCCACTCAGCACCCCCCGTCCCTCAGGCAGTCCGCCCACCATGTTCATGTGCGTGGGTCATGCATGTGAATTCTTTGGTGACTCCATTTCCTGTCTGTACTTTACATCCCCATGGCTGTTCCGTAACTGCCTGTTTGTACTTCTTGATCCCCTCACCCCTTCACCTATTCTCCCACACTCCCCTCAGGGGAAAGAAGAGGAAGGGTTGTCAAGGAACATGTACAAAGGACTCATGGACAAAGCCAAAGGGGGGTAGGATTGAGGGTGGGAGGAGGGGGTGCGTGGGGCAGGGGAAAGTGGTGGCGGGAAAATGGAGACAACTGTACTTGAACAACAATAAAAAAATGGAAAAAAATAAAACTAAGCAAACAAGAAGAACAGAGACAGAATTATGAGCATGGAAAGCTTTTTGAGGGTCTTCATAATATAATTTTAATAGCTATGTAATACTACATCATAATGGATGTAATACAATTTATTTAATAATTTGAGTTATTTTCAGTTCTTACTGTTATATACAGTGCCAAAAAGAACATTTTCATGCATTCTAGCAAATGGTTGTCAGCATCTCTGGTGACCTCATTAAATGAACTAGAAGTAGTCTGTTTTTGGTAAACGACATTGGGAAGAACCTTTCTTTCTAAGACTAATGATAAAAATCTTTATATATGTGTGTGTATATATTTATACTTATGCTAACAGGGTGCATTCTTGAGAGTGCCCTTCTCACCATTCTTACTAACATTGAGATGACTGTTTTGTTTTTAAGTCTGAAATTAGTCAAGTGATACATGGATAGCATTCCTTTCAAAGACTTAATCCTGAAAATATCTGGATTCATGATAAAGGGAGTTTAATCAACTCTCAGGCAATTCACGCAGACTTGAAAATGATGTTAGTTTCACCATAAGGAAGATTTTAAATTAATATTTGATATTTACAAGAGTAAAGGGCTGCATTAGAGTTGGCATTAAAGTTGTATGGAACATGATCTTGCTCCGTGATGTAAAACACCTTCCTCGTGGAGGCCGCAGGGAGCCACTTCAGAGCTGTGCCTGGGGGCAGCGGCGCGGGCCCCCTACATGGGCCTGGGGGAGAATTGCCGTCACCGACTATCTTAATCCACCCAGGACTGTGGGACTCTCAAGATCACCCCACAATCTAGAAATTACTCACTTTGTTAGGGGCTTCAGACTTTGAATTAAAAATGTCCTTCCTGTAGACCTACTGATGGAGCATATACAAGAAATTCGAAGTCTGAGAAAACGTTTAGAAGAATCCATTAAGACAAATGAGAATCTGCAGAGACAGCTGGAGCGGCAAGGGTCCGAACTGGATCAAGGTAAGAAGGACCTTCCCGCAGTCAGTGCTCGCGGGTGAGCACTGCGCCTGTGGCACACTGGCCAGGTGAGCATTCCGTGGGTTGGGGAGAGTGTCGGACTTGTGGCCGGAGAGATTTCAGTTCAAATCCTGACTTTGCCGCTTACCTCCAGGGTGCCCTCACGTAACCTGGCTGACTCTCAGTTATAGTGACTTACCTTCAAAACGAGAATGATACCTTCCATGTTACCCTGTCGTGATGAGAGTTACGTGAGCTGACTCGGGTCGGCTCCCGCAGTCCCTGACGCAGCGCTCGTGCAGCCCGTGCTGGTCCCCCGCCGTGGGAGCAGCCTGCCGGCCTGCAGCGGCGTCCCGAGCTGTGGTCGGCTCCTTGTGTGCCTTTGGCAGCTACAGAGAAATGGATGGGTATTTTAAAACAAAACAAAGCAGTATTTTGTCTTCTTGTTAATAACGGATTGTAACAACATTAGCATTTTAGCAGTCTGGTAAATCTCACACGCCAATCAGAAGGTCATCAGTGATGTTGAGTAGGTAGCCACAGTTAATGCTGAATGCAGTACTCTTCCATGAAGAGTTTTAAAGCTTGTGTTTTTTCCCATAGGTAAGACATTCACGTGATTCAAAAAGTAATACCTCCGTTCTGCACCCATCCGTGCCATTATCCCTCTTCCCACTTCCACTGGTGTCCTTAAACAGGGTTTTTTAATGTAAAAACAAATACATTTTCTTCTCCCTTCCTCACTTATCCCAAAGGTATAGGATGCCTTACAGCACTGTGCTGTTCCCCTTTTTTCTTCAACCAATACATTTTGAACATCTTTTCTTGTTGCTCCAAAGAGAGTGTCCTCATGCCATGAAGAATGTGTTTCGGGAGCAGCTTTGTGCGAGAGGAAAAGCCCGAGATTGCTCGGGACTGGACTGCCCGAGGGTGGGTCCCAGCTCTTCCGTCTGTGAGCTCCTCGACTCTGGGAGAGCCCCCCGCCTCTCCCTGCCCTGACTGGCGCCTGAGAGTCACCGAGAGGAAACGAGGCAGAGGCAGCGTGCGAGAGGCCTCGCTCAGCGCTCCTCTCAGTAGATGGCGGTTTCCTCACCGCTGCCAGTGTTATCTTTCTGTTGTGTCTTGTATAACGTTACTAGTTTGACACTGCAAAGCTCTGCAAAGACACGAAGTGCTGGAAAGATGTGCTCAATGGCGGCGCTCGAATCTTTGGAGCCCGGTCCAGGTCCCGTTCCTCCCCAGCCCGTCGTGGCCATCAGCGCAGAGGGACGCCTTCCCAGAGTGCCGTGCGTGCTGCTCTTTGGCTCAGGAGGGTGCCGTTTCTCGCCCTGCCCCCGCACCCCCCCACCCTGCGTCCTCCGCTCTCACCCCCAGGGAAATTTATTAATCTGAGTTATTAGTCATATCAAACACAGGAAAGAAATACACGCCTGGGCTCTTCACGTTCACTCTTGGTAATGCCCGAATTAGATTCATTCTGTTTTACATTTTCCCTGGCAAATCCAATTACAGAATTATTTGGGGGCTCCGATGGCCACCAGCTATAATGGAGCAGGCGATCGCTCTGGAGAGTAATTCACTTTGACGGGAAGATTTATAAAGAGGCATTCATAAAGGACTCACGCTGGTGGGAAGACACGCTCTTCCTCTGTGTTGTCACGGCTTCGGAAGAGACAAAGAAGTAGACGTGGTGGCTGCGCCTCCCCCCGCCATGAGGGGGTCCCCCGGGAGTGGGTGCAAGAAAGGCACGCCCCCTTGTAGCGCTGAGGTGGACTGCTGTTGAAAGCCATCATCTCCCGTGTCGTATCTGCCAGCTGTCACCGGTTGGTTACACGGGCCTACGGTGATGGCAGTCAGAGGGCAGACTGGCCTCCCCACAGCAGAAGTGACCCCCGCTGGCTCTGGCCTCATCAGGAGCTGCTCTTTGGCCTGACTGTTCCTTTGAAAAGTGACCACCTCAGCTGTGGTCATAGTCGACTTCTCTAGAATTTCTCTTGTTCATCTACATTGTTCCTGGGTTCTGTTTTGGCTCCAGCCTGTCATCAGTTGCTACATTAGTACAGACGGTAGTTGCAGTAACAGTAATGTCCATGTTTCTGCTGAGCTAACGGAGACTTAGGGAAGTTATGTTGCCTTAGGTCCTGCAGCTAGTAAGAAGCCAGAGCCGTGGTTCGAACCCAGCTGTCTCTGAAAAGACACCAGAATTCACAGGGAGAGTGGAGGAAGGCGGTGAGGAGGGATGTGTGTGGGGTGGAACCTGTAAGACGCTGAGGCGGGGGAACCACGAGCATGAGCAGAAGGGTGCTGCGGAGCGGGGAGTGTGAGCTCTGGCCCTGGGAGGCCGCGGCCACACCTTCCCTGTGGGGGTTGGGATGCTGCAGGCCCTCACTGTGTGCCGGGATGCCTTCAGCTGCAGGTAACACAGTGTGGGTGCTGACCTGCTGACCGGTGTAGACAGTGGGGGTGTGCATTTTCTCACAAGGCGAATCCAGAGGCAGGCAGTCCAAGGCAGGGTTAGTGCCTGTGAAGACTGCAGTAGCTATAAGCGTCGCAGCCTCTCAGGGCAGTGTCCAGAGCGTGGGAGGGAAGAGGTTGTGGCTTCTCCCTGTCCTTCCCTTTTCTCTGGGCGGGAGATCTCCCAGAAGCCCCAGCAGGCGTCCCAGCTAGTCACACTGAGGAGCAGCACAAGGCCCTGGTCTGGCTGCACTGGAGGCGGGGGAGCAGGGGTCCGGCCTTCGGCTCTGTGGTGCAATCGACGCAGTCCCTATGGGAGACTGCAGGGGGGAAGCACGTCTCCCTACATGAAGAAGGCACCTGTACGTACTCTGCCAAGGGCAGCTGTGGACAGAGACTCCATGTGCGGGGCAGACGTGGAGGGCCCAGAGGGCAGGGAGTGCTGGGACGAAGTGTCAAGGGAGGCGTCTGGCCAGAGGAAGGGGTAGGGTTTGGATAGAGAGCCCACAGCCCAGGGAGGTATTTGCAGACGAGGAACCGACTGGAGCTGGTCGGTGACCGTAGATCCCGTCCGTCCACCTGCAGGCCCTGGTCTGGTTAGCATGCACATGGAGGCAGCCAATTCAAGCTACAAGTTGAAAGACAGTGTGATTTTTGACAGGGGAGGAGGGGGTAGGCTTTCTAGGCAAAGGGAGTACTACCTCGTTCTTCAAAGTCAGGGAGACGTGTGGCCATGGAGCACGGTTGGGACATGGAAGCGGCCCGGCCTGCCAGCATTTGAGGCAGGAGATGGGAGCTGAGGGGTGGTGCTCTGAAGTTGGCCCCGGTGTTTGGTGGTTTTGTTTGCTTTTCGAGGTGTGGGCCAGCGCATGTTTTTGAGCCGAGAATAGCATGAATGGACGGTGTTTGGGATGGTGACCGCACTGGCAGAGCGGTCGGGAGGCGAGGCGGTGAGGCCTGAACTATATATAGGGGCTGCAAAGGGGGCCGGCGTCCAGGCATTCAGAGAGAGACTCGGCCATCATGGTTGTGGGGGCTGGGCAGTGGGGGCGGCGGGGGGTGCTCCTGGGCTTCTAGCTGGGGTTTGGGAGAGCAGTGATGCCGTCGGCAGGCAGCCGGACAGGAGACAGCCGGACAGGAGACGGAGAGAGAGCAGGAGAGAGAGCAGGTTTGGGAGGCCGGGGGGCTGGGGGGGGGGTGAGGAGCCCCTCTTCGGCTCTGTGGACTGGGGAGGCCCTGCGGGCTGCCAGGTGGGTGGGTTCGGACCTCTGGAGAGAGTCTGGGGGGGTGAAGAGCGCCACCCACTCGCCCCACCGCAGCCCCGGTCTCCTCCTCGGTCCGCCCTGAGGGCAGGCAGCATGCGGGGGAGCCCCGTCTCGTCTCCCCTCCGCAGCTCACTCTCACTTCCTTTGGACTCTGGTAACACCCCATGCAGGTCACAGGAGTGATTCCCAGTTATTTAAAGCTGTTTCCTAGAAACTTCCATATTGACCTGGAGACTCGGCATGAACCACTGTGTGTGTTTTTATAGGTTCTTCAAACACTTTTGTTTGTGGGTCGGAGCTGCATAATTCTCTGACGTCAGAAATTCGTTTCCTGAGGAAGCAGAACCAGGCCCTCAATGCAGTGCTTGCCAAAGGATCCAGAGGTAAGCCCTGAAGGAGGCACCGCTGCCGCCGGGGGCCCGCAGCCTTCGGGGGCCTGGAAGGAAGGCAGGCGCTCGAGTCCAAACGACCAGGGGTCACCTACTTGGCCCTGTGACTTGGGGCAGGTCACATGACCTCTCTGGGCCTCAGCATTCCTAGCTGTGAAATAGGACCACTGTGCCTCGCTGGGCTGCTGTGACAGGCAGACCCTGTGAAGCCCTCAGCTGGGTGCACGTGACTTTTTCTGCTCGCCGCCCACCCTCCACACAGCTGCCCCTCTCTGGTCTTCGCGGTGGGGGGAGAGGGGGCCCGGCAGGGTGTACGGCCACATCTCAGTCAGAGATTCCCTACCGTCAGGAGTGTTTTCCCAGTGTTTCTCATAAAGGTCCCTTGTCTTAATTCCTCCTGTTTGGAGCTTAGTCCCCCAAGAGCTTTCACTCACTTTACCTCTCAGTACTTCAGGTGCTCCCAGGCTGATCCCTGTTGGTCCTGCTTTGCCGGTATAAGACTGCGGCCTAAGGCACTGACTGCACAGTGGTCGCTGGGCCAGGAGCTGGTGGGGCTGGAACTTGGGCCACTTCCCCCAGAGGTTTTGGTTTGAGAGGTGAAATTTGGGCTTGTGCAGGTCAGCCGTTCAGCCAGCAAACGCCCCCGGCGCCAGTTCTATGTCAGGGCCCGAGTGGGTCCCTCGGGACCCATGGCAGAGGCCGGTGCAGGGAGCTGCAGGAGCCTGGAGACGGCATCCCGACCCGGGGGAGGCTGGTCTTCAGAGGTGGGGTTTGGAAGGACGAGTACGGATTAACCCAGGTGCCTAAGGTTTAGAAGAGCCAGGACCTTTTCAGCAGAAGGGGGCAGGCAGAGGCCTAGGGGTCAGCGACAGGGTGAGGGTCCACCAGGCAGGAGTTACATGAAGCTGAGTGGGCCGGAGTCTGGGGCGGGGGGCAGAGAAACTGGCTCGGAGGCCACTGTGTTGAAGTTGAGAGTGGAATCAGGACACCTGGGTCCAAGTCCTGGCCCTGCCACTTGGTGGCTGTGCGATCTTGGGGAAGTCTTAGCCTCTTCGCTCCTTATTTTCCTGTCTGGAAAACGGGGAGAAGACTAGGACCTACCTAGGAGGTTTTCGAGGAAGAATAACACGATGACGCGTGTGAAGATCTTAGTGGGATGCCTGCAGTTAGCGGTTACCAGCTCTGCCAGCAGCCCGCACTGCGGGTGCTGATAGCCTTCAGTGCGCTGGGGGGGCCCCGTGCGTGTAGTGCCCGGCTAATCCTCCCACCAGCACACCTGAGGAAACTGAGGCACAGAGCACTGAAGAAACACACTCAAGGCTGTGGAGTCAGTAAGCGGGAGAGCACTCGCACACGGCCCTCTGCCTCGGGGTGCTGGGCGAACCCCATTCCTCAGGGAGGTGCTGCCCTTGGGCCTGGGGGCGGATGGGCCCCGGGCTGCCAGCCGCCCAGCCCTGCTGGCCTGGGGCAGGGAGGCTTGCGGGCTTTTCTAGCACCCGGTGCCAGGATCCAGGGCCCGTTTCTTGCCTCCGTCTGTGATTTCTCCCCACTCTTTGCTCTGTGAAGGCAAAGTAACTAGGTTTGCACAGCCCATTATTTAATAGAAAATTAAACAGGGCCATTTCATCCCAGTGACGTTTAATCTGCAGCCTTGATGTTGACAGATTTATCTGCCCAAAATGCGTAAGATAATTGGAATGCCAGAATCATAAATGCCAGATTAAATCTCATTCTCTTTTGTATTCTTGGAGTGCTCGAGCTGAAGTGCTGTATTTGCGTAATAAGGTTGGAAAAAAACAAATGGTGTCTCTTCTCAGTGGCGCATTTTGTGTTTGCAGATAAACAGAAGGAGAATGAAAAATTACGCGAGTCCCTCTCCAGGAAGGCCGCGGACCTCGAGCACCTCCAGCGCGAGCTGGCCTGCGTGCAGGCGGAGAACGGGAGGCTGCAGCAGGAGGCGGGCCAGCGGCAGAGGCACAGCCAGCAGCTGCTACAGGAGCTCTGTGACAGCCGCAGCGAGCTGAGCAGGTAGCGGCCTGGTGCCCCCGTGTCCTAGGGGCTGTGCGGGCGTCCACGCGCTGGGCTGCGGTCACGGCACGGGGCACATCCGCCCCGCAGCGCACAGGGCCGGCAGTGAGACAGCGAGCACCCGGACACAGAGTTCATCAGGCGGGGATAAAACTTATGGAGGGAGCTCATCGCAGGAGGGAGGATGGGGCCTGGGGGCAGGCTGTGGTGGTTTTTCCAGGGCGGGTCAGGGAGGCCTCTGCAGAGACGCCCTTGGAGAAGGGAGGGCGTGAGCTCTGCGGTATCTGGCGGGAGGTCACTGTCAGAGGAAAGGGCACAGGCCCTGAGGTGTGTGTCCTTGGCCTCCCAGGGCAGGGCAGAGCAGGGAGGCCGGTGCAGTTGGGGAAGAGGCCGAGTTGGAAGTGAGGGCGGAGAGGTGGCTGGGTGCTGGATCACGCGTGACCTTGTCACGCGGCAGAGACTTTGGTTTTTGTGCTGAGGGACACAGCGGGGTTGGGGAAGACTCTGAGTCGAGGAGGGCACGCACCTGACTTCGGTCTTAAAGGGGCTGTACCAGCTGCTCTTTGCAGTTTCCCCTTAGACCCTGTCTTGTCCCCCATGTCTTCCGTCTTCCTGTCCGCACTCTTGAGTGTCCGGCTCTTTCAGAGTGATGGACATCACCCTCGGTCACCCGGGGTGGTGTGGTGATGCGGCGAGGTCAGTGACTTCGCCGTCACCCAGCCCTGGCTCCCCAGCGGGGCGGCACGCCCTGGAGAAGATGTAGTCTTGGAGCGTCACTCCAAGGGTTAGCGTGCCCCTTCTCGGGTGTCTCTGAAGGTCTCAGACGACATATGCGAAGGGCTGGGCTCACAGGGGCACTCGGGAAGTGGTGGCTGTGCCTGGAATTCTTAACCACGCTTGTCGCCTTGTCCACACTCCCCTAGCTTGAGGGTGGATTGGCTAGCCCGTGGGGTGTGACCGAGTCCCTCCAAGTTGGAATTAACTTCTCCCCGTGGCGCCGGGGCCTTTGCAGGGTGCAGGAGGAGGTGAAGTGGAGGCAGCAGCTGCTCTCACAGAACGACAAGGTGCTCCAGTCCCTGCGAGTGGAGCTGAAGGTGTACGAGAAGCTGGACGAGGAGCACAGGATCCCCAGAGGTGCGGGCGCTCTGGGCTGGGGCCTCTCTCGGCCTGGGCTCTGTGTCTTGGGCTGTCCGCTCACCCAGACAAGGTCCAGCGCTCCTTCCTGAAATGCTGTCATCAAACCCCACGCTCACCTCCCGGGTGCAGCAGGTACATTTTGCAGCAAGCTTTTTCAGAAGGAGCCGCAGGAAACATGGAAGGCTCAGGAGTCAGGCCAGCTGAGGTCTGGGTTTCCATGGCTTGGTGCCTGGCCCTGTGGCTTTTGGCAGGCGGTCTCACCCCTCTGGGCCTGTTTCTTCCTCTAGAAAACATGCCTCCTGATATCTGTTCTGTAGATGGTTATGGAAATTAAACGAGGTAGTTTGTTAAATGCATCCTCGCACAGCACCTAGCACATAGCAGGCCCTCAGGATAGGACTCGTGTTATAATTTCCTTGTCTGTGTGTGTTTCTTTTTGCCCATTCGGTCAGCACATGTTTACGGAGCTCCCACTCCACTCTGGGCATCGCTCCGGGGGTGGGGGTGGGCCCCAGTCCTCTCTGCACCCCCACAGACACTTGACTGTGAACTCGGATGTCTTAGAATCAATTTTGAGGTGTGGTGGGGTTTTTTAAAAACTAATTTTCCAGATGGTTTCTCCCTATTGAAAGTTTATCTAGAAAAAGGTCACCTCCCAGCTTTTATTTTCTCTTCAAGTTGCTTTTCTTATTCTTACTGTTGTGCCTTTTTAATATACTCTGGCTCTTAAAATCAGCCCCTTTCATTCTATAATTCCGCCCAAATAGATTTTATTACTACCAGACATAATTTCGGGGTTTGGTGTGCAATTTGCTGGGCTTTTATGGCCAGAAGCGAAAATTAATTTCCAGCTCTTATTTAGCCTGTGGAATAGCAGCAATTAAGCCTGCCAGTATTTTTGTTTTTAAAGTCAAGTCGTTATTTTAAATTGTACCTAGTTCTTAGGAAGGGAAGGGTGGGTGCTGGTGGTGGTGGGTTTAAAACTCCGTCGAGCTCCCTCGGGGGCTGACCCCGTGGTGGAAGGAGACGTCGAGGCTTCCCTTTGCGCATGTTTGCAGAGTCCAGAGCAGAGGCGTCGGGGGAAGCCTGGAAGGGGCAGGACCCTCTCGGTGACCTGCGTGACCTGCTGACGGAGGTCCGGGCCCTGCGGACACAGCTGGAAAGGAGCATCGAAACCAACAGCATGCTGCAGGGCAAGCTCCAGGAGCAGCTGGCGAAGGGCGGGGGGCAGGCTCCAGACGCAGCTCTCGCTTTGGCTCTCCAGACCCCGCCCGTGCCCGAACCTGAACCCCTTCAGCCTGACGGGCAAGGTACTGCTCCCGGCTCTCCTTGCCCTTAGAGGAGGCAGCCCTGTGTGTGTGTGCATGTGTGTGTGCGGGACGCGCAAGCTCCTGCATGTGGCCCTTGCTCACAGAGGTGTCTTTCCGTTGACAGCAGGCACACTGTACCCTAACCACTAGTTAGCTGTCACCTTTGGCAAAACGGTGTAATCTCTGTCTGGGGCCTCCTGGTTCTCAGGGAAGGGGAGTTTGGGCTTCCGGCCGCCCTCATGGCCTCCGGTCTTGCTCCCTCCCGTCCATTCAGTCCTGCCCACATCCCTCCGCTGCCGAAAATCCAGTCCCTCTTCCTGCCTTTGAAAGAGAACTTAAACCTCTTGTCCTGGCTGTCCGTGTTTTTCTGAATCTGAAGAGCACCTGGTAGTTAGAAAACTGGTTCTGTTTTGCCCGAGCTTGTGGGTTTACTGTCGAGCCCCGCAGAAGCTGCGTAGGGTGGCGAAGGGGCCAAGACTGGGCTCAGCCCCCTGCCCTCTGCCCAGCGGAGGGCCAGGCTCACAGCGGTCAGGTGGTCGGGCGGGCCGTCCTCTTTGCTCTGGATGGAGCAGTAAGACCCAGCGAGCTGCCCAGAGTGACACAGTGAGTCGGTGACAGAGCTGGGGCTGGAAATCGTTTCCCAGCTCTGAGTCCAGAGCTGCCCCCGAAGCAGCACCGACCTTCCGGAGCCTCGGGTGCCGGGGCCCACCAGCCGGTCCAGTGGCCAGGGAACGCCCACGTGCCCCATACACACGTGTTGTGAGCGTTTGGACTGTCTTTACCGGAATTGGAAGTTACGTCTGTTGCCTTTAATTTAAAAAATTAACATTTCTTGAAGACATCCAGTCAACCTGCCTTAGAGCTCGTGATCGGCTCATTGGTTTCTCCTTACGAGGATTTCACGTTTTTAACTGAAAAGACAATGGGACAATATGAAACAGAAAGTGGGAAAAGATCCTTCACGATCTACAGAAAGACAGTTTCTTACTTGGCATACTTTCCTCTGTCCTAGTCTATGTTTCCCAGGTGTGGGCATGAGTTTATGTTGCTCAGAGTGGCTTCTGTGCCGTTCCATGTCCTTCCTTTGTCTCTGCCCAACCTCACGTCATGAGTGTCTCCCCTCCCCTCCCACGGGCCTCTGGCTATTGTTTGCAGATTATCATTGGTCACCAGACCGCGACCCCAGTGATTATTAATTAGAGTGGTCTCCGATTTCGGGCTTTAGTAGACGTTGGTGTAAATATGCTTGTTGCTAGTAAACAGAATCCTTAGGATACAGTTCTACTAGGAGCACCTCAGAGGGCCCGAAGGTGCGGTATCGCCACCTCCCGCCTGGGGCGCATGTCATCGGTGGGCGTTACTGTTTCACAGGCAGAGGTGTCCCTTCGTAGAGCTTTGAGAGGGGGCCCGGGGGGGCCGCGGGGGTGGGCCGGGAGGCTGAAGCAGGAGACAGTCCCGCGCTTGGGGTGCCCAGGAAGGGGAGTGGGGTGGCTGGAGTGAGGAGACCACTGAACAGCCTGTGCCTGCTGCTGCGCCTGCTCCAGGGTCAGCCCTGCGCAGACCCCACAGGGGCCACCCCGAGGGTGTGTCAGGAATCACATGGCCACCGCAGCGAAACACTCTCCACTTTCCGAGAGTGAAGGTCAGAGCTGTACCAGGCAGCAGCCCCTCCACCTTTGCAGGAGACTTTTCGGGACTGGGTTTACGTGCCCCCATTGGAAAGCTCTGCTGGGAAGACTGCTGTTTTGGGCAGAAAGAGATGCCTTTCAGGAGGCACAGTGCACCCTCTGGAGGTGCCTGGGCGGGAGGAGCTGGGTGGAAGGAGCTGGGTGGTGCATCCCCAGGCCTGGCCGGTTCTCCCTCTGTCACGCACTCCGGGCAGTGCCAGGCAGGTCACCTCTCTGTCTCTCTGCCTTGGTCTCGTCTTCCAGGAAATCTGAATTACACTGCCATCCTGCTCCCCAAGCCACTTACTACATTCCTGAGTGAAAGTGGCTTCTGAATCAGAAGTCACAGGTCATCTTGTGCAGCATCTCATTGATTTCTCGCCCTCACACTGTTTCAAACGCGTCGCCTCCCAAGTCCTACTTTGGGTCGCTCTTCTCTCTGGCTTGGGCTCCTGCAGCAGCCTGCAGACTCACTCCTGCGGGCCAGAGCGCAGATCTCAGCTGGACACTGCCCCGCCCCGCCCCCCCTGAGTGAGTCCCACAGGCTTCACAGCGGCCCCCTGGGCTCTGCCGTGGACCAGCTTCATGCCCCCAGGGGTGTCGTGACAGCTCACCGCTCAGTGCCCCTCTGTCTGCTCCTTCCTCTGCCTGCATTTCACTCTCCCTGCCGCCCCCGGGTTAGCACCCCTCTCCTGAGCTCCCACAGCCCCCGGCCTCCCTCGCTTAGCCCTGACCACCCCGGGGGAAAACTGCTGTTCACCTGTCTGGACAGAAGGGTCCCCCCCGGGAGGGACTGGGCCGGCTCTCTCTCACCCGTGTCCTGCCCCGGCCCGGCAGGAGAGGTGCCGGGGAGGGTGTGAATGGTGCTCGTGTGTCGGGGACTTGACTGTACTCTTCAGTTCTCTCTGAGAAATGAAAACTTTAACGGTTCGTTTCCCTTCTCTCGTACATTTTGTAGACGGTGACAGACGTCCTGTGGCCACTGACAACTCACGTGATCTGTTTGACTCCACCCAGGTGGTGGCCCTGAGATCAGGTACAGAGTGGGAGTCTGGGCTGACGACAGCAGGCTTGGGGTCACCTGTGGGGCTTTTTAGATGGGAGAGGAGGAGGTCCCCGGGCTCAGCCTCGCAGGGTGTTTGGCAGGCTCTGGGATTTCATGTTCTCAGCATCTCCGGCCGGTGATTCCCTTCTCCCAGCCAGCTAGTGTGTCCCTGGGTATGACCAACCTCGGTGGCGTCATCGGGTCTCTGTTGACTTAAGTGTGACACCTTCACGTGACTTTCAAGGGCCCCCAGCAGCCAGCCTCGGTGCGGCCTGTCCGGCCTTGTCCCTTGCCCTCGTGATCTCATCCAGATGGGTCACCGCCCCGCAGACCTGTTCCCCCTTCCCTCCCTCCCTCCCTCCCTCCCGGCCAGACCGCCCTTGTCCCTCCCTGCCAGCGAAAATCCTGCTGCTTCCTCCACGCTCGCTCGCCGTGAGTGCAAACCTCACGGGCGTCCCCAGTCAGAACTATTTATCCGGACATATTTGGATCCAAAGGGAAAAGCAACAGGCTTTTACCTCGATTTAGCATAAACTTTTGCTACCTGTTCAACCCAGCTCAACTGTTGCTTCTTCTAGCAAGCCTTCCCTGACCTCCCTTCCCGCACAGAGAATTGATGTATTTTTAACTCTGAGCCCTGGCCCTTCATCATTGTGCTGTTACGCCTCCCGCGTGGTACCTGTATTCTGAGCCGACCACGGGCTCCTGGAGTGCAGGCACTGGCTCGATTCATCTCTGTGAGTCGGGGTCTTCTGCAGAGTGGGTGCCTGACCTGATAACGTTGGTTGAATTGAACTGAGTGTCTCCCGTACAATGCAGAAGCCCAGCGTGGGGTAATACACAGGCGAGGGCCGCTCGTCGCCCTGCTGGCTGCCTTCAGCGCGGCTGAACGCAGCTCATGGAATGGAGTGCTGCCCCTAGTAGATCTGACATCTTCCCTCTCGTTCTGTAGCTTCAGAGACTCCTTCACTCTCTAGAAATGACGGGGACTCCCTCTCCTGTGACAGTGGCAGCACCACCACCACCGCCCCGTGCATGTCTCGCCTGGTCCCTGGCCACCAGCTGTGGGCCAGCAAGAGTGGCTGCCATGTCCTGGGCCTGATTGAGGACTACGATGCCCTGTGTGAGCACATTGGCCAGGGCCAGAAGCTTCTTGCCGAGATGGACATTCAGATCCAAGAGGCTCCCAGCCCCTCCAGTCGAGAGCAGGGAACAAAGGTAACCTGACCCACGGAGCTGGGGGGAGGCAGATGCTACCTGGGGGCAGGCGTGGACGTGTTGGCTGCGGGTGCTCGGAGGCAGGGGCACGAGTGTCCTCAGGCCTTGAGACGGGAGCCCTGGAAATGCAGCCTCGAGGGCTGAGACGTCGGGTCCAGTCTGGGGGACTGATGCTCTCCCCCGTGGGAGGGGCGCTTGTCCAGGCTGGTACCCTGCAGCGCTGCCGTCGCTCCCCTGCGGTCTGCCCTGCACCTGCCTCTTTCTGTCCAGTCTTTCGTCCATCCTTCTGCCCTTCGGTCCTTCAGCGTGTCCATCGGTCCCCTGCCCAGTCACTTGGCCATCACCCACCTAGGCCTCTGTGCGGGCTCGAGCTGCTGTGAGTGAGGTGGCGACTGTCCTGTGCCTCACGCAGTGGGTGGCAGCCACACAGGAGCTTCTCAGCAGCTCTGCTGAGCCTGCCGGTGTGAGGCGACCCGCAGCCCCTCAAGACTGCTGGCGCTGCCATCCCTCCGTGCAGAGCAGCTTGTCAGCTGGCGTTTTCTCCCGTCCCAGAGCAACCCTGGGAGTGGGTGACGGCATTTCCTGCTGCACAGTGCTGGGGCGCAGTGACTTGGAGCCGTTGAGGTTGGAGCTCAGTTCTCTGCCCTCCAAGGCCCCCTCTCTGTCATGACTCAGCTTCCTGGGGAACGCTGTTCGTCCCCTCACTCCCCTGGGCAGAGACTCCACGTGCCCCGGGAGCAGTTTGGGCACCAGGGGCTTCTCGTTCGCAGGCCTGCTGCCTCCGCCCCCCCCCCCCCCGTGTCATCCCCAGGTACCCCAGGGTGCCCTGCCCCCCACCCCCATCAGCCTGGGCTGCCTGATGTGTCCTGCTTGCTGGCCACAGGTGCCCTCTGGGTTGGAAGACCCCTCAGTGCCCTTCAGCCACGCCCTGTTCCTGCCTCTTCCTGCTGAAATCTTTCTCGGTTAAAGGTACCTTTTTCTGAGGACTCATGTGTCAGGTGCTTGACATCAGATTTCCTTTTCTCCCAGACTGGACCCAAATTCTACTGGTCCCTCTTCTTGGGTTCTTCCTGAGGCTACTTGAGCCCCCTGCTTCCTGATGCCCATTTTGCCTTTTTGTTTTGCACTTTGAGTTGCACTAGATAGTAAGCCCCAGGAGAGCAGGGGTAGAGTCTTGCTCAGGATTGTGTGTCTGCTGCCTGGCTCAGGGCCTGGCTCAGAGTGGGGGGGTGGTAAATATTTGTTGAATAAATCAATAAGTATTAATAAGATTATTGTTCTTTTGTGATTATAGTCTTTATTGTGCAAAAATTAGAAACTAGAGAATCATAAAAACACAATCTATCAAAATACCACATAGTGCCCAACCCTTAAAATTTTGATAATACACTTTTGGCTCATTCATAAAGCTTAATTAAACTGATTCCAACATATATGAATTTTATATTTTGACTTTCAGTTCACAGTGTGTTAACATTTTTCCTGTCTTACTCATTATTATGTTCTAGAACTTGATTTTTATGGCTGCAAAATAAGCTAACATGGATGTATTTACAGCTTCACCTGGCTGTTGGCTGTTTCAGCTGTGACGGTCCTTGTAGATACACCCACCGCTGGTCACGTCTTTGGTCAGTTCCTTAGGGACGAGTTCCCGGGTGTGGAGTGAGGCCCCCGCAGGCTGTGAACTCCTCTGGGTTCTGCCACTGGCGAATCCTGCCCCGTCCCTTCCAGGAGAGTTGTTATGTCCCTGCACCTTTGTCTTCACCGAGTGTTCTTACTTATAAGTGGCTTTTCTGCCAATTTGATAGCTGAACGGGGTGTATTGTTTTATTTTTATTTACTTTATTTTGAAGACAGTGCTCTTTTGTCTTTTAAAAATGTATTTTGGGAATTCTGGCCAAGATGGAGATGTAGGTAGAAACCCTTTGCTTCCTCACACAACCAGAGGAAGGATACCAACCAATAAAAAAATCAATAAACAACCAAAAGCACCAGAAAATCAAACTGCATGGAACTCCGACAACCAAGGAATTAAAGAAAAAATGAACCAGGACAACCAGACTGGTAAGACTGGGCCCGGTCAGCAGACTCACAGAAACCTTGGAGAGGGGCAGCCGAGGGGGTGGGGGCTGGTTGCGGAGCTCAGCGAGCTGCGCAGGAGGGGCTGATGTTAGGGGACTCAGCGGTGGCCGTGGGCTATGGCGGGGGTGCCACTGTGGGAGATACTCCCAGTCTCACACAGGAATCCGAGGGAAAGTGCCCTGTCTTACAACCTATCAGCTTTGCCAAGACAAAGGAATAGGGCCCAAATGAAAGAACAGAGCATAACCTCAGAACTAAGCAATGAGGAGATCGCCAACCTATTTGATGGAGAATTCAAAGCCCTGGTAATCAAAGTGCTCACAGATCTGATTGAGCTTGGTTGAAAAGTGAAAAAACAAATGAAGGGTAGCCAAAGTGATATAGAGCAGAATGTTCAGGGAACCAACAGTGACAGGAAGGAAACCAGGACTCAAAACAATTTGCAACAAAAGGGAAAAATAAACATCCATCCAGAAGAAAACAAAGAAACAAGAATTCGAAAAAGTGAAGGGACTCTTACAAGCCTCTGGGACAACCTGAAACATTCCAATATCAGAATCATAGGGGTGCCAGAAGGAGAAGAACAACAGCAAGAAATTGAAAACTTATTTGAACAAATAATGAAGGGAAACTTCCCCAATCTGGCAAAGGAAATAGACTTCTAGGAAGTCCAGAGAGTCCCAAAGAAGTTGGACCCAAAGAGGAACACACCAAGGCACATCATCACTAAGTTACCCAAGATTAAAGTTAAGGAGAGAATCCTAAAAGAAGCCAGAGAAAAGGAGATAGTTACCTACAAAGGTGTTCCCATGAGATTATCAGCAGATTTCTCCAAAGGAACCTTACAGGCAAGAAGGGGCTGGAAAGAAGTATTTGAAGTCCTGAAAGGCAAGGACCTACATCCAAGAATACTCTGTCCAGCAAAGCTTTCATTTAGAATGGAAGGGCAGAAAAAGTGTTTCTCAGATAAGGTCACACTAAAGGAGTTCATTATCACCAAGCCATTATTATATGAAATGTTAAAGGACTTACGTAAGAAAAAGAAGATAAAAAATGTGAACAGTAAAATGACAATAAACTTACAACTATCAACAAATGAACCTAAAAGAAAAGAAAAACAATGAAAATAAAAACTAAGCAAGCAGCCAGAACAGGAATAGAATCAGAGAAATGGAGATCACATGGAGGGATTTCAGTGGGGGGGGGGGGAGGGACAGGGAAGAAGAAGCATAATTAGTAGGCATAAAATAGACGGGAGAGATAAAAAAAAAAGGTATAGGAAACAGAGAACTCAAAGAACTTATATGTACGACCCATGGACATGAACTAAAGGGGGTGGAATGCTGGAGGGCTGGAGGGGCAGGGTGGAGGGGGGATAAAGGAGAGAAAATTGGAAAAACTGGAATTGCATACTCAATAAAAAATACTTAAAAAAGATTACCCAAAAAATGTATTTTGGGTTTCCCCCTCTCTGGTTCACGTTCCTTGCTTTCTCATGCCCTTGGCATCCCAGTGTGAGTTGGGTCCCGCCAGCAGCGAGGGTGGGAGGGACTTTCGAGGCCCCGCTGTGCGAGGCAGCGGGCAGAGCTGTCCAGGGGGCGCCGTCCAGGGGGCGGCGGGGACAGAGGCGTCCGCGTTGCCTCCCTTGCTGCTGGCGTCGCTTGCCGTCCCGAGAGGCGGTGAGAGTGGTCCCACCACGCTTCCTCTTCTTGGCATAGTAAATATAGTTAATGCAGGTGGCCATTAATCATGGTTATTGTCTGGGCTAAAATCACCGCCGAAGTTCTCTCATGATCTCTAATTCGCCCGCCTTTACGAACAATAAATTGGTGTCGTCTGGCCCCGGGCTCTTGCTCAGCGTGTGGAACACGAGCCCTGCGGTGTGGAGATTTATGCCGCCCGTTACGGCCGGCTCGTCCACAGTCCTTGTCCAGACTGCACGTAACAGCCTTCTCGTCCCCCCACGCAGGGCCTGCACCTGGCGCCCCTGAGCCGGTTTGTCTCCGGCGTGAGCAGAGCCAAGCTGGTCCTGGACGAGGCCGAGAGGTTGCTGACGCTTCTCTGGAGGGTCTCGCTCCCCACGGGTGGCCAGTGCACGCTGCACTGTGAGCAGGTGGGTGGTGCCGCATGGATCCAGAGGCTCAAGGAAGCCCCTAGGGCTTGTGTCTCAGTCTCCTGTGCATCTAGCCCAGGACCTGGCTCACGGCAGTCTGTCGGGTGGGTGCTCAGTGTGGGGTCTGTGCTGGGGTCGGGGGGAGGAGGACAGGGAAGGCGGCATGTTTGCTAAGAGCAGCGTGCCAGGCACCCTGCTGGCTGGCCCCTCGTGCTCCCCCTTCCCCCCCCCCAGCACCCCTGCTGCCCTCACCCTGCCCTGCCCCCACTCCCAGGACATCTGTGTTGAGGGGGATCCTGTTTGCATTCCACGCCCGAGGAACCCGAGGTCGGGGGTGAGGCCCGCGCTGGAGGTTGCAGAGCTGATGTGAATGAACGCGCAAGTGTCTGAACCCAAAGGGTAAACCTTGGTTCTTGGGCTTCGGGTCCCAGCTGGCTCCCTTGTACAGCTCCAAGCCTCTTCCAGTTCAGATGCTTTTCTCCGACGTCCGATGCCTTTTGTTAGCTTTCGGCATCATGTTTCGTGGGCCTCGTCCAGGTCTGTTTTAACTACCTAGAAACTACTTTTTAAAAATCAGTGAAAACCATTCATTATGAAATCGTTGAAACCTCCCTTAAAAGCTTGACTTCCCAGTGAGGCGAGTGTGGCTGAATTAAGAGCAGTCACCCTCGCCCCCATCCTTGTGCCCGTCTCACCGCACCAATCAGGAGTCCGGCAGCGCAGAGCAGGCCCCTGGCTTCCGTCTGCGGGAACCATGCATGGTGACAGGTGGGCGCCCACCGTGGTGGTCAGAAGCCACCCAGGGAGCAGGAGCGCGCAGGTTAAGGAGGCGTCAGGACTCCTTGCTGGGTGGCCTGACAGATGTTCGCCCCCTCGTTCCTCTAACCTACGAGTCCTCGCCACGGGCCGCAGGAAGGCAGCAGGGAATGTGCGTGCGTGTCAGCACTCATCTGGTTACCCCCTCGATAGCGCTCAGGTCTGGTCACCCTGGTGGAGAAGGAGCAGCGAGGCAGCGCTCTCTGCCGCAGGGTCTCGGGAGCCTGGCCTCAGGTTCCCTCTGGGGTCCTGGGGAGCAGGTTTGGGCGCACTAAGCTTGGGATGCACGCCACCAGTCCTGGCGCAGGAAGACCACGCTTTGCCGGTGGGGCCTGGGGCGGGAGAGGGAATGTCGGAGGGAAGGGGGCCTGCTGGTGGGCAGCCCGCATAGGCCTTTCCTCCTGACCCACCACACTGTCTCCCGTCTTAGGCTTAGATGACACAGATGTCCCACTACCTGTCCCCCGCCTCCCTCCCAGCTGGCTGGCTCCCGGCCTTTCAGATCTCGGCTTGCCTGTTTCCTCAAGGTCAGAAAGGACTCCCTGTTCACTCAGTCATAGCTTTTGTTCCGCACGCCCCTAGCACAAACTATAATTACATATTTATTTGTTTAATGTCTGCCTTCCTCTACTTTCAGTGAGGGGCCAAGTCTAATTTGTTTATGTTTTAAATGAATCAATGAATAATTTCCTTTCATACTCAAACCTTTGTCCTCATGATTTTTAAAGCACACTGTGTCTGAACTAAACAATTTATCCTCAGTGCAGGGTTTTTGTCCTCAGCACATAGTGACGTCTGTTAAATAGACAGAGTGCAGTGCTTACTACGAGTGTGTCTGTGTGTGCCTGTGTAAATGCAAATCATACTCACATTGCCCTCCCCCACTAGCGAGTTGGTGCAGGGTCTGGTCTGTGCTCGTGATGGTTCGTCCTGTCTTTCCGAGCCTTTCTGGGGGAGTTGATGATGCTCACTGTAGCGTCACAGAATGTTAGGGCCACAGAAAGGGCCTTCGAGACGCTCCAGTGCGGTCACTGGTGCACACAGCCCCCTGTGTGGCGTCAGATTGCCTCTGGCCACTTTTCTGTCCCTGCCTGTGTTCCCTACACTGTCCCTGCCTGTGTCCCATACACCTGTCCCTGCCTGTGTTCCCTACACTGTCCCTGCCTATGTCCCATACACCTGTCCCTGCCTGTGTTCCCTACACTGTCCCTGCCTATGTCCCATACATCTGTCCCTGCCTGTGTTCCCTACACTGTCCCTGCCTATGTCCCATACACCTGTCTTTGCCTGCGTTCCATGCAGTGCCTTTTCCTTGGTGTTTCCTTTTTCCACGGTGTGAATCAGATTTCCAAGTTTTCACCAGCAACCCCAGTGGCTTTTCACTCCTAGTGTTTTCTCTGAGTGTCATTCATCGATTTGCCTTTTGCATTGAATACACCGTCCCCTACAGTCCCTTGGCCTACTGTGGAACGTGTGACCGTACACCTCAGTTTGTCTAAGAGAGTTGTGGGGGGTTACAAATACATTCACCTGTTCCTGTACACATTTTCTAAAGGGAGGGACACCTGACTGAAGCTGCAGGCTGCCCGTGAGGGTGAGAAGGACGAGGGCAGGCGGGCAGGCCGGAAGGTAGCTTTCTGTGAGTGGCCCTGGTTTTGTAACTTTGACTCTGAAATCATGTAAGTGCTTTACATAATTACAAATAATAAATCAATATGAGAAAAAAGCTGTTTCTAAAGATTCATAGCAGGTTGCAGTGCACCAACCTTAGTGTACGTGGTGTCGCAGGCACAAGCACACAGAGCAAACAGTCCCTGACGGTGATTTGGCTGCACGCATCCCCCGTGGAGATGCTCTGAGGGCAGAAAGAGCTGCAAAAACATTTTAGCTGTTTCCAGTGATTAAATTGTTAGTAACAATACTGGTATGGATATCATGAAACTGTTATATTTCTATTATAAAGATAAAACAAATATGTTGAATTTTTTTACTGTCAGAGAAGAGATAAAATAAATTAAAAATCAATGAAGTAAAATTCCTGCAATCCTTAATTTGAATTGGAAATATCAGTATGAACTCATGATGAATTTACTATTTAAAAAACCTTACAAGTTCTCTTCTTAGAAGGCTTTAAAAGTGTTCAAGCCAGAACAGTGAGCACCCCTGGTGCCAACTCGTGGTTTCTAAGTACCCTTTCCCACTGAAAGGAACTAGGAGTCCTGGAGAAATGGCTTGATCCTAGGTGCGGGGCAGGGAGTGTACAGTATGAGCTCAGAGCTGTTCTTATCCTGGGAAAGGGGGCAGGGGGCGGGGGAGTGAAACTTGCAGGTGTGCGGTGGTTCTCAGACCGTGGCTCCTCCTCCTCCGGCAGCATCAGCACCTCTGGCAACGGGCTGGAAAGGCAGACTGGGGACCTCGTCCCAGACCCGCGGCATCAACAGGTCTGGGAGTGGTCCTGAGTTCTCTCTTTACAAGTCCCGCCAGGGGCTCAGGGAGCCACTGGGTCAAAAGAAATTTAAGAGCCACATCGATCAAACGCAAAATGTGGTGTTTATTTGTATTCCAGTTTAATTGGAACCAAACCAGTTGTTAAAAAACAAAATATGATGCAGTCGGGGAAAAGTGTCCGCTGACACGCACTTGGTGCCAGGAGGCGGTCGTTGTCGTTGTTGGAGTTGTGCTCATACTGTGTGTGGCTTTTTTAAGAGAATCATTTTCTTTTAGAGCTGTACACTGAAATGTTTCATAGATGAAATATGATTGGCTTCCAGGGTCAGTTTTGGAAGTAATTTTAGAGTGAGGATGTTGATGGAACAGATTCGGCCACGATTTGATAATTCCTGGGTACCTTGGTGGTCCATTGTCCTGTTCTTTCTACTTTTGTAAATGTTCGAGTTATCTTCATTGTGAAAGAGAACAGCCTCGACGACCGCAAAGAGCGCCCCGGCTCCAGAGTCAGGTGGACGGATGCTCAGGGGGAAGCCGAGGCCTCCTCTCCTGGGGGCGTGTGGTTTTCCGCTCGGCGCTCAGCTCTGTGGCCTTGAGGAAGGCGGCAGTTCTGTCCAGCTCCTCCCGGGAGTGAGGCGCTCTGCTCCACACTCGGCATCTCACTTTCCCCCTGACAGCAGCCTCCAGAGAGTCAGGTGCTGATTCCTCCCATTTCCTGGAAGCCCGGACTGGAACTCCTCTGCCGCAGCACCACAACGGCTGGGAGTGACTAATGGGGCTGTCGCACCCTGCTGTCTCCGCCGCGGTGTGGTCGTCCTGTGAAAGTGAAGGCTTCGGTTCAGAGGGAGAGCAGACGCATAATAATCTGAGCTCCTCGTTTCAGTGCTGGGCAGAATGTGTACAGTGCGTTTTGAGAGTGCGGGTGACAAGCAACCCCCGCCACCCCGTTGGCAGCCCGTCTCACAGCGCTTACCCGTGCCCGGGGCTGGTGGCCAGAAGGAAGAGCTGAGCTCTGCCCTCAGGCAGCGTGTGGTTCAGGAGGGCAAGCAAACAAGTGAAGGGCCAGCTACTGCCCAGCGTGAGATGGGCAGTGCAGGGGAAGCGTCGCACACAGTGGGCACCCACAGGAGCGGAAGCCAACCTGGACTCCTGGGGCGGAGTCTCAGGGAAAGCTTGCTGGAGGAGGCGACGGCTGAGCTGACTTCAGAGAGAGGGAGGGAGGCCGGCGAGGCAGAGTGGAGGTTAGCCGGGCGGGGCAGCGCGGTCCTCCTCCCCGCCTTCAGGCATCACCTCCGTGGGTCTCACCCTTGCGGTGGAGCGGCGGGTCGGGAGCATCCCCGTTTGCAGATGTGGAAGGGACTCGGGCTCTGTGTGGGGAGGGACCGGCTGTCCTGGGGTGTGCGGCCCTCGAAGCCGTGGCCAGAACACAGATCCCGGGGGGCCCTCAGCAGGAGGAGGAGAGTCGAGAACACCTGACGTTTCCGTTAGGGTGGTTGGGGGAACCGCTGAAGCCCTTGTAGCTGCCACAATTGTTTAATCTTAAAAGTAGGTTAAAGCAGGGAGTAAAAAATTGATACATACCTTAAACATTTCAGTTTAACTTAAAACAGTTAAATGTACATTCATTTGCCGTTCTTTTGATGTAGGGCCAGAGCCTTTGCTTTGAGTACGCGTCTGCTGTGTGGAGGTCCGCGTTTCCTTCCTTTCATAAATTACATCCATAATGTATGTCTGTCACTTCCAATGTCTGTTTCTTTAAGATGAAGGAAAAACTCAGACACATGAAAAGCAATTTGAATATAGAATTTCCCTAGACCGTGTTCTTCCCACAACTTTTATAGTTGATTCACCCACACCTAATTTGCCAGTAATGTGGTTTTTAGTGACTTGCCTCTATCACGCCCTTCCTGAGGCATATGCTAGTTTTCATGCAGCCGGCCCTCTCCCCTCGTGCACATTTCACAGGTTTACTTAATACTCGATTAAATCACATACGGCAAGTCCTCTCTTCACGCCGTCTGTGTGACTTTTAAGCAAAATGACATACAGCGAAACCAGTTTGACCACAGACTGATTGATACAAGCAGGACGGAAGTGCCTGCCGGCACCTCATCAGCGTTAGAACGGAGTGACGTCGTCCCTGACGCTGACGCGAGGGCCTGCCGTGACTGACGCCCTGAGGGCGAGCGCCCAGGTCCCCTCGCGGGAGCAGAGGGGGTGTGACTGGCAGAGGGCAGTCTGGGCCAGGGCACCGTGCAGGCGGCTGGCTTAGAAGGGAGTGTCCGCAAGCCCTCGAACGAGTCCGGAGGAGACTGTTAGGAGGCCTCCGTGGCGTGCACACCTCGCTTCCGGGCACGGGGGTCTCTGGTGTCGCGGCCCCTGTGCTCTCCTCGCCCCCGAAAGGTCAGAATCGGCCGCCCTTCTGGATCACACTCTCCTAGTAACACTTTTCTACTCTTCTTAAGAGTTAACAATTTTTAAAAAATCAACATTGTAGCTTTTGTTTAAAAAATCAATCCTGATAAATTTTTAAAAGCGAAAATAAAACATCCTGAATCACATTTCTTGGGGGTAATCACTCTCAATATTTTGGTGACATTTCTCTGTCACCAGTTCTCTGCAGACATCCTGATGCGCCCATCTGCGGGTATGGAGATGGGTGTTCAGTTTCGTGAAACCGGAACGCGCAGCACACAGTAGCTGTTCCGGGGTCCTTGTCACTAATTACTGTCATCTCGCAATGTCAATGAACAGAGCTCTACAGTACCATTTTTAATGGCTGCAGAACTGCCCCACTGTGTGCGAGCACCGTAACTTGTGTAGCTAGATCCTCACTGAAACAAAGCAGGCAGTTCATTTTTTCCTATTGGGAGCACCACCGAGGTGAGCACCCTTGGGTGCGGGCTTGCTCTTGTGCCTGTGTTACTCCTTGGGGGGTAAATGCCACGGGCAGGATCGCTGGGTCAAGGGGTTCAGTGCATTTTGCAGTTTGGTGAACCTCGACAGGACACGTGTTCCCCCTGGGCCACCAGCGGTCCTGAGAGAGCTTCCCACACCCTCACTGCCGCCGGGTTTTGCGTGTTTTTGCCAATCTGACCGGCAGAAAATGGCTTCTCGTTTTTATTGGGATATCTTTTGTCGGTCAGGGTGAGCATCTTCATATGGTTTTATAATTCTGCCTGTGTGGTAGGATGGTGTTTTATTATTCTCTGTTCAGTTTTCTAATTCCTGTTTTCTTCAGATTGGAGAAATGAAGGCGGAGATCACCAGGCTACATAAAAAATTATTTGAACAGGAAAAGAAGTTGCAGAACACCATGAAGCTTTTGCAGCTGAGCAAGCACCAGGAGAAAGTCATCTTTGATCAGTGTAAGTGAGCGGTCGGGGGTGGCCGCCGTGTCTGACCACTTCCTACCTCTGGGGACTAGAGGGAGCCAGCCCCGGACCACCCCCTTGGGAGCCCGGACCCTTCGTCATCACACCTGCTATGTGTGGGTGTCCTTTCCCACCTCATCCCTGTGGACCCCCACAGACAGATGAATTCACTTACCAGACGTCTGTGGGGGGCCACTGTGCAGGGACTGTCCCCTCCCTGGGGGCCGGTGTGTGGCGTGTGCAGTGTGGGAACATGGGCAGGCTCTCAGGGAGCACTGGGGGCGGGGGGGCAGGTGTCCCTGCGCCCTGGGAGGAGCAGGCACTGGTCAGGTGGGAACGGAGCAGTGTGGACAAAGGCAGAGGGCAAAGAAATGAGGTTTTACGTGCACGAGACCGTCAACACTTCACATCGCTGGACTAAGAGCTGTAAGTGGCCACTCGAGGCAGGAGGGGTCTGGGGGACAGGACTGCATCACAGAAGGCCTGAGGTGTCAGCCTCGGGTGTCCAGCTCTCAGAGCAGAGCGTCAGCCTGTCCCATCTGCGTGCAGGAAGGGCTGGTGAGGAGCAGCCAGTTCTTCAGCCGGGCCGACGAGAAGGACGCCCGGGCCGGACAGTGGGCATCCAGAGGAGGGGGCGGGTTTGAGAAACACTTTCCAGACAGACACAAGACTCCGGGTTGGAGAGGTGGCATAGCTCTGTGAGGTCCGCCCCAGCCCCGATCTGGGAGCTTCGGAGATGGTGGGGAGCAGCTGTGGGTCCCCGCTGTGGACCCTCAGCTCTCGTTCATGCTGCGTGTTCAGAGGCAGCCGCTGGGTTTCCTCCGGAGCCTCCTGGCAGCACAGCCTCGGCCCAGCCTTGGGCTGTCAGCCTGTCACCTCCCTGTCTTCGCAGAACTGCTGACCGCGGCGCTTGCCTTTCCTCGCTGTTTTCTGCGCCGTCTTATCAAAGCCCAGCGTTTCTGGGGCACTTCTGAGAAGTGTAGAACATAGATTAGTGTCAAGTAGGAGTTCTCTGTAGCTCCGTAGGAGCCTTCTGAAAACAGACCGTGAGGCTGGCAGAGTCGGAACGGCAAAGTGAGTTGTTTGGTCACTAGCAGGCCCTGGGTCCTGCTCTGTGCCCCGCGCCAGGTGCCGGGACAGAGGTGAATGAGGCAGTGTTGCCAGGGGGAGCTCTGACTTCATGGGGGTGGCATGAGAATGAGCTGCAGAGTGGTGCACCTGCGTCCCAGGCAGCTGAGAGAGGTGTTTCAAGGCTCTGGACCAACTGGGTCTCAACGGGGTGAGCAGGAGTTAGGGGTAGGACCAGGACCCTGGCCGGCAGCCCCACGGGCAGGAGCTGAGTGTTGAGGGACACGGTTGGGGTGGCCAAGGCTTCTGCTGTGGACAGTGGAGGGAGAGGGCTAAGGAGGGGCCGGGGCACAGAGGGCTGTGGGCTGGACTCGGGAAGGAGCAGCAGGGGCTGACATGGTCCCCCGTGTGTCAGAAGGTCCTGTGGCTCAGCATGGAGGGGCTGGGAGGTGGGGAGACCTCGTCGGGGGCGGTGGCAGTCCCCCAGGCAGGCAGGGGAGAGGCCCGATGGGGCCGACACAGCGCCATGGAGGAGAGAGAGGAGGTCGGAGAGATGAATTTAGGGAGCAGCCCGGCAGAGTGGTGGGTGTCTCTGAGGTTCTAGCCCAGCGGTTCGTGTCACCGCAGAGCAAAGGAGCACTGGGGGGACAGTGTCCGTGGTGGTCGTGTCTGAGGTGGCTGTGGCATGTTTGGGTCACCTCCCGGAGCAGCAGGGGGGCAGGAGTTGTGCTTTAGCTCAGCCCCCAAGTCCAGGGAGAGTCAGAACTCGCTGTATCGGCACCCCCTCAGCAGCCCTGAACAAGTCAGGGCACGCACAGTGAGCCCCGTTCACGGGCGAGCCTGTTCACAGGTGAGCGAGCACCTTCTGGAAGCGGGCGGGAGGTTCAGGTGGGTGAGCTGCCGTGCAGATGCAAAGGACAGAACCCAGCCGATGTGAAGGTTGGTGAGTGTGGACTCGTTAATGAGCGAGTTCAGGTCTCCACTCTGCTGTGTGAACTCTCTGAGCTTCAGATTCGCCATCTCTGACTGGAGACGGTAATTCCGAAGGACCCACACCCGCCAGGCGGGCCTCGGCTCTGAGCACGGCTTTATAAAGTGCCCCAGGTTCCTCGTCGGGTTGGGGCGAAGCCTCAGCTTCACTGTCTTCTTCCTGGGCCAGAGGGGAAGCTCCGCAGATGTCGTGCTCTGCCTCCTCTGTCCCAGTGAGTCAGACTGAACCCCATGTGGAGGCGGCACACTGTGACTGGTGTGAAAAACCCTGGGTGTGTCTCAGCATCTCCCGCGCTCAGACGGTGTCACCCACCTCTGCGTCTCCGAGGCCTGGCACAGAGCGGGTGCGAGGCTCAGTGCCGGGAGAGGGGCGTGCCCAGGGTCCCGCAGCTGGTGGCAGACTGGGCTGGGGCTCTCCTGGCCGGCTCCACAGCTCGTCCTGACGGGCCAGGGCCTTGGAGGTGCTCAGACCCTGCCGGCCTCACGGGCCTGCTCCTGGCTCTCAGTGACTGCGTGGAAGTCGGCATAGTGTCCCCTGCTGACCCTTCTCTGCATGGTGACGAGAGGAGCAAGGGCCTAGGCCTGTTCTCTGCTGGGGGCAAGCTGGACACTGCATCTCCTCCCATAGTCCGCAGGGGACAGGAAGGAAAGACTGTCACCTGAGACCCAAGGACTTTGCCACGCCCTCACCGTGTGACCTGGAATGACCGGCTGCCCTTTCAGCCTCTGGGACAGGACCTGCTGCTCGGGGCTGGGGTAGTCACCGAGGTCACAGTTGTTACCAGCTGGACACCACTGGGTGGTGCCTTCCTGGCCAGTGCTCTGCTAATGCAGAAGGAGCCTGTACTGGGCAGGACGGACCTGGGTTCCAGTCACTCCTCTGCGCCGAGCAAGTCTGGATTTGGGACATGCCCTTTATCACTGTGTCCCTGGGGCTTCTCGCGGCAGTGGGGATTTCCGTGAGCGGGGAGGGCGGGTGGTGCCCCTCAGGTGCGGGGCCCTTCCCGTGGGCCAGGTGAGCCTCCGCTCTCCCACCGGGAGTTGTGTTCTTTAGCGTCTCATGATTCCAACCCCCACGCTGTGATACTCAATCATTGGAGACTCTCGGGAGAGGTGTGACCTCCAGAAAGATGCATGTGTCCACGCACACACTCACACACAGATTTGCACTTAGTTTCTGGGGATTTGCCTACCCCAAAGCCTACCCCTGGGCCCAGGGTAGAAGTGCCCTGCAGCGTGGGATTGGGGGAGGCGTGGAGAAGCAGCGGCGCCTCTGAAATTCTCACTGCCACTCTGTCCTTCCCCCAGTGTCACAGATTCAAACTGACTTCGTTACTGCCAAGTGGACTTATCTGTGAGGCAAGAAATAAGCATTTTCTCAAGGCCACCGCGTGGCGCCTCTGCTGAAATGAGTTGAGGGGGAGTCTGTTTCAGCCTTGGGTGCCACGAGCCAGTGGCCCGGTTCCGGGAGCCTGTGCCGCCTTCCCCGGGGAGCAGACTGATTCCCTGGCCCTCCCCAAGCCCTGCTTAGAGCAGGTCCTGATCAGGCACGGAACTCTCCCTTGGCGGCGTCCTGGCTGCTGGCGTTTGTGTTGGTCGAGAAAAAGCTGGAGGGAAGAAGCAGCTGACTCCCCAGTTGCTGCCCCAAAAGGTGGGCACTGCCGTCCCTCCCATGGGTCCCAACACACTAGCCATCTGCCCATGCCCAGCTCTTGAGTGCCAGGTCTGCAGGCCCCTCTGCAGTCAGCCCCCCAGCGCCCTCCTGTCCTAGGAGAATGTGACTTACTCGGGACCCACGGTGGGCTCCTCTGCCAGCTCAAGGGCAGCTAAGGAGGAAAAATGCCAGAGTTCGCCCTCCCAGGACATTAGGAGCCGATTCCAAGTGCTGCTAGGTTCAAGTTCAACTTTACAGGACTGCCCTCGACCCTTGGCTTGGCCTGCATGCAGGGGTTTGCTTGGAGTGGGGCACACCCCCTTCCCAGCAACCAAAGTGTGCAGGACGCTAGTCAGATGCGGCCCCGCCCTGCTCTGCACTGTCGCCCTCCTGGGCCCGTGGAGGTGAGCCCGGGGCACACCTGAGTGTCCAGCTGGCCTTCAGAGCCCCAGGTGTGTCTAGAACGTGGCGTCATTGCACCCTCTGCTCTGCTCTGGTGTTTCTGGGAGGCTGTGGCTTAGTGTGGCGTCTTGAAGACGTCTTGAAGAGGCACCTCTGGTTCGCCCTCTGGGATGGATTATTTGGTCCTGGTGTGCGGCCTCCACACCTCTCTCTGGCCTGGGTGCTCCAGCTCGTCTGAACCATTTGGGGTCCAGGGGGCTCCTCCTCCCTGCACCTGGCTTTGTGCTGTCTTCTTGGGCCTCTGTGTCTAATCATCCCCTTCTCTGCTCTCTCCTCAGTGGTCGTCACCCACAAGATCCTTCGGAAGGCCAGAGGGAACCTGGAGGTAAAGCCCCTTGGAGTGTCTTTCACTGGAGGCCGTTTGGGATGGGGCATGGGGGAGGCACAGGGCGGGAGGGGGGACAGGGCCCCGGCCCTCCCGGCACTTGTAGCTCCCTGCTGCTCTCCTGTAATCATGCTGGGGGTCCGCGGGTCTGGTTCCTAAACTCGGGTGCAGTTTTCACCGATGAGAAACAATGAATAGTGCCTGGCACGTGGTAGGCACTTAATACAAACTTGTTTAATAAGTGAGAGCAATGTGATCTCATTGTCGTTTGGTTCTACAGATACTTACTGACCAAAAGGTGTCTTTGATGGTAATTTCAGAATAAAATGTCACCTTTAACTCTTACCTCGGGGGTCTTACCTCAGACCCCTCCTCGGACCTAAACTTCTCCTTGTTCTCCTCTCTCTCCCTAGCTGAGGCCCGGGGGCGCCCACCCAGGAGCAGCCAGCCCCAGCAGACCAGGCTCCTGAGAGCTGTCAGACAATAAAGCTGTGGTTCTCCGCTCCCTCTCTGCTCTAAGCGTGGTTCCTACTTACTGAGGAAGAGGGAGCTGTCTGGTCAGAGGAAATCTGTTTTTCCTCTTCATGTTTTCCGTCCTGAAGTCAGTTTGAGAGCTGGTGTCAAGCAAGGCCTGGGCGCTCTGCACCGCGGTGTTGAGCAGGCCTTGGGCACTGGATGCTGGGCCTGTTGTCTCTGGGGCAGCCCGTGGAGTGGGGCGTCCCTACCGCGCACCTCTGGGCCTTGTGTTCTCCCGGTTTTGCTTCCTGCCCAGCCGGCCCCGTGGTTTGAAAGTTCACATGGAATGGTTTGTTTCAGCTCGGTGCTGCATTCGCTTTGGCCTCGAAGCCGAGGTCCCAAACGCCCGAGTGGGGCAGGCTGGGGTCTCAGGGTGGCCCTCAGATGTCGCCCAAGGTCTCTGCCGAGTCCAGTCAGGGGTCTGCAGAGGAACGACGCCATATGGCATGGCTGGGGCACCTGGCATCTGCACCTGGCGTGTGCACTTGGCGTGGACTCAGCAGCGCATAGTGACATCCCAGAGCGGCCCTCTGAGGTCGTGCCATTCCCACCAGGGGGGAAGACCAGGGAGGCCGCAGTGGGGGCTTGGCCTTGTGGTGTCCTCACGATGACCATGATCTTTCTCCTCCACTGTCCTCGTCGCTGCCCGCTGCATGTGCTGCAGCCCTGTCACTGGTCCTCCTGAGTAATTGTGCTGCCCCTTTGCCCTGTGCTTCCTGGTGTTCCTGAGGAACTGGCAGGGCGGGGCTCGGCCCTGTTGGCCCACGAGGCTCCGGACCGGCCATGGGGGCCCGAGAGATGCCGACGGCCGCACCCTGACCTGACACTGCCTGCCCTGCTGTGCTCTCTGGTCTCAGCCCCACGCCCACCACCTGGGCGCCTGCAATGTCAGCCAGGCCCGTGGCCTCATTTGTGCAGCATTTTGGACCAAGACTCACCTCCCTCTGTGGGCCCATTTCTGCCATCACTCTGGGGACTTCGGCATCGGCTTGGCTGACCCCTCAGTTTGCTTCCCTCTGCAGTCAGCCACTCTGACACTCTGCCCTCTGACCATTGCCACCTGCCCTTCAGCTCACCCCTGGTCCCCTCTGCTTCCACCTCCTGGAGATCCTAGTGTCTGGTCCCTTTACCTCTTGCTGTTACTGGGCTCCTTCCTCGTTCCTTTTCCATCGTGTTTCTCTAGTCGGGGGCCCCCCACACCGGAGTCGCACGGTGCCCTGGACCAGATGCTTCCTGCTCTGCATACGTGAGGGGCTTCATCTGAGCTCCTCACGCACGGACTCAGGTCTGGCCCTGTGGCACCCTGGCTCCCTCATCTCACACCCTCACCCTTCGTGGTCTCGGCAGACTGAGCTGTCTTCTGCTCACAAAGGTGCCCTTCCCAGCCTCTGCCCAAGACTCGCCCTCTCTTCCAGCCAGTTTTTCATGGTCCTTGCGAGGCCCTCCCCTGCTGTGGTGGCTGAGCAACGTGATGACTCCATATAACTGGTCCCCACTACTTCCTTAGTCCGAGACCTCACTGGAGGTGAGGGCGATGGAGGGTCTGGGCCAGGCCTGTGTTCACAGCACAGCTGAATGACTCATCCAAGGCCCTACCCTTGTGAGGCAGAGCTGGGACCGGATCCCTCCTGTCCCAAACCCCAAAGTGCTCTCTACTGCCTGCCCTGCTGGTGCCCCTGCGGCTCCCCAGACAGGATGGTGACTTGAGCTGGCGTGATTGCATTGGCTGGAGGCATGGGGAGTGGAGGAACGGAAGCCAGGCTGGGAGTCAGGGAACCGGCCTCACCCCTGGCCCCCCCGCCCACCCGTTTTCTGCCTGTTGCCCATCAGGTGAGGGGCGGGGCAAGGGGCAGGAAGGACCCGGACTGTTTGGGTTCCTGTCACCTGAGCTCTCTCATGACAAGTGTTTGCACAGATGGACCTTAATACCTCCCAGGGTGCGAAAACTCAGGTTCAGGCACAAAGTTACCTGGCAGCTCCGTTCTCTAGAAGTCACACTTGGCGGATGCCTCCCTGGGAGCCCTGATTTGCGGCCAGGGTGGCTCCACATGGTTCTGTGGAGGGAGCAGGAGGCCGGCTTCTAGTCCCAAGTCACATGCTCCTGTCGCCATCTAGACCCCTGTGAAATGGGAATCCCCCTTCGCCCAGCCCTGATCAGCGTGGGAGCCTCAAAGGCGGAAGTAGCCAAACCCTTTCCAAAAAGTAGCAACTCTTATTCAGTGTCTCCCAGTGACTGGGCTTGAGGTCAAGTTTTCAAAGCACTATTTTACGTTCCCATATAAGTTTTTGCTGAGGGGGCAGGGTAGGTCGTACAGGACAGTGGTCAGAGCTCAGGTGGGGCTTGGAAGTCAGACCCGTGTTCACATGTACCCACAGGGGAGCAATCTGCCTCCCTCATTGGCGGCTGTGAGCGTACTGCCTGTCTGGGGGCCCGCACACAGCCCTTGGTTGCTGAGCTCGGTCGTTGGCAAGGGCATGGTGCGCAGGGCTGTGAGGGCAGATACACTTGATGTGGCACATTCCAGGCCCCCACGGTTGGCTGACAGCAGGGCCTTGGGAGCAGGCGCTCTGGGCGTCCAGCCGGCCACTCTCCTCGGTCACTCGCAGCTTTTCGGGAACACAGCAGTCCAAGGCAAAGCGTATTTTTATCTCCCAGTTCAGTGTTGTGAGAAACACTCCCAGCCTTGGACTAGAGAAGGCCCTCCCTCCTCTGGGAGGTGGAGGAGCAGCCCGGTTCGGGCTGGATTCAGGCCAAGAACAAACTCCGCAAATAAGGACAATTTGGACCTTGGAAAAGGCTCCATTGTCCCTGGCGAGTTAATTTTACCAGCAGCTGAATTCAGGGGGCTCTGAAGCAGTAATCAGAAAAGGCGTCCGTTTCCGGTTGGGGAAATTAATCACCACCTGTGTCCACAGAGCTGGCGCTGCACCTGAGAGGAACAGCTGCAGGGGCAGAATATAGGGAGGGGAGGGGGGCAGAGAGGCACGGGGCCTCCACCTCGCCCCGCCCCCAGGGGGCCCACCTGCCCAGGTCCCCCGCTGAGTCCAGAGGGTAAAACTCTATCACCCCTCCAGGCTGCTGCCCACCTGCTCAGCAGTGGCCACACTGTTCATCATCTCAATTAATCCGCACCGCCCTGTCCATTTTACAAAGGAGAAAACGCGTGGAGAGCCACCTTAGTAAGTGCTGGAGCCAGGACTTGAACCTGAGTCTGTCACAACCTGCTTTCTAAACTGTCCTGTCCTCTGGATTATTGTGTCTCCCTGAGATGCTGCCTGTCCCCCAAAGTGCAGTCCTCCCCTCTGCAGTCACAGCCCCAAGTTTTCCCACCGTGCCTTTCGGACAGCACACCTCTGGGTGGCCAGAGCGGGGGCCCAGAGACCCGCAATTGAATTGCTGGGCACGGCGGCCCCGAGAACCGCTTGTAAATGGGGCTGCGGACAGGAGAAAGAGTGATCTTGTTAATAAGTTCTCAGCATTGTGGAGGCAGAGAAACCTGCCTGGGGGCTCCTGACCCTGCCAAATTGCCTCTTCAATCTTGGCCATATTTTAAGTCTAACTCAAAAATTCAATTATCAAAATTACTCATCCAGTCTCCCGAGAAGCCCAGGACTCTGCCTTCAGGGCCAGACGTGTTTACCTCTCGCCACAGACGGGCCGTCCCAACTCGCCCTGCTGGGCAGCAGGTGTGGGGGGCAGGTCGGGGGCCGGAGCGGGCCCAGAGACCCAGGGCCTTGCCGCTGCCTCCGGGGCTCTAGTAGAACCGAGCCTCATTTCTGCCGCGAGACTGTGATGTGGGGAGGGAAAGGCAGCTGTGAGGCCCGGACATTGGCCAGACCCCTGGGGTTTGCTTGTTTGCTCATCTCAGTGAGGGTTCTGCCCCCCACCAGCAGCTTATACTGAAGTCAGCCACCCCGCCCCACCTCCTCCCTCCCCCTGTCGCTCCCAAGGGCATGACCATTGCTTCTTCATCACCACCTCAGTCCAGGTCTCTCACCTGGACCACTTGCTATAATGGTTTCCCAGCTGACCTCCCTGCATCCACCCCTACCCTCTCCGGTGCCCCCAAACCACCGCTAGAGTGGTTCTTCAAAGTGCAAAACCGATCGTATTGTCTCTGTGTTTAAAATGTCGACTGCTTCCCATCCCACTTAGTGTGACCTGCAGGTAGTGTACCGAGTCCTGCCTGTCCCTCATTTCCCCCACCTGCACCCCTCTCGTGGGGCTTTCCTTTCTGGCCCCAGGGCCTTTGCACAGGCTTCCCTGCCTTGCATCTTCCCATCTACGTCCCTGGCATCCCTTGCTTCTCTCGCTGGTTGGCTGCTGCTTGTGCCTCAGAGGGAAGTCTTCCAATCAGAAGCCCCTGTCACACACACACAGCATGAGCTCCTCCTCGCCGGCGCTCGGCCACCGTGGTGACTTGGGACTGTGCGAGTGTGGTTTTCTTTGGTCACGCCACTAGCTGGCAGGCCTGTGAGGGCACAGGCCCGTGCGCTCTGCTCCCCGTGCCGGCCCTGGTGAATACCTTTACTCACTGAGCACTCTCAGAGCTGCTCTCGCCTCCTCCTGGAAGAACCCAGGCTATTGGGGGGAGGGGGGAGAACACCGGTAGTAACGCCAGCAGGGAAGACTAGTTTCTGAGCCAGCAGCGTCTGTGACCTCATGTCTGTGACAGCCTTGTCGGGGAGATGCTGCTTTTTTTCAGCTGAAGGACAGGGTGCAGAGTAAACTTCCCAAAATCACGGGGCAGCGGGGCCGTGGAGCTGGATTCCAACAAGCCACCAGCAGGCTGCGGCCCCCAGGCCCCACCCGGTGTTTCGGGTGAGCCCAGTTCAGGGTGGTGAGTGCCGAGACGGCTTGGGTGGGCGGGGCGCCGTCCGCACCCAGTGTCTGAGCGCGCTGGCGGCCTTCCCAGAAGCTTTCCGCCACCCCATCCAGAGCCCTGCCCCGCCCCTGGCTTGGCCAGTGTCTGCCACTCTCTGGGCATCAG